ATGCTTTTTATCATATTTCCGATGATATGAATATATATTCTATATAAGAATGACGCTACATTCAATCTAAGACCAATATCTCAAAGAATTCCTCATTTAAGTATTACTTTTCATTTTTATTCAATTTTCGAACGGTTTTCGTAAATTTTGCATCATTTCATTTTTTAATGGGAAAATCATCTATATTTAATCAAAAAAGAGCAAACTTTACAGACGAAAATAAAATATTTATCAGGGAACAATCTGATAAATACCAAAAATCAACATCGAGAGATGAAAAAACGAATATAATCAAACAAGTTCTTCAATATTTTAATATTAAATACGCCGAAAATGAATCTAAAGCTGTCAGAAGATATTTTAGTTATATTGCAGTTAAAAATATTCCCGCAGTTACTGGAAAATATCCTGATACAATTGTTCGCAAAGATATGCTTTATTCGCATGATCATACAAATATTATTAATTCAAATAATATTGAACGTTACTACCGTTGCATCGATCATTCTTGTCAAGCACGTTATTTAGTTAAAATTGAGAACAGTTCAGTTTCCGAAGATTTACAAAAGGAACATATACCCGAATGCAGACAATTTAAAAAGTTACAAAATGAAAAAAATGATCTTCATAAATCAATGACTCTGACAGAAATATACAATAAGGCAATGGCAAAATTTTCTGAAGACAACGGCACTTTTCAGCAGATTAAAAAATTTATGACAGAACTTGCTGTTGGTACTGATGAAAACCCATTAATTAAAGATTCATTGGTCAGGGAAGTTTATAATAAGTCCAGAAAATTTTCTGTTGGAGAAAAAATTACAGACGATGAAATTGCTAATTTTTGTTTAATAAATGGCGAGCAGTTTTTCATTGGCCATAATTTTCAAGCAAATTGTGAGACGATGTTTTTTGGTTTTGAGAAGGCAATTCAATTTGCAAAAGAAGCCACAGATTTATTTTGCGATGGAACTTTTAAAATTACACCAAAACATTTTCAAAAAGGACAGATGCTAACAATTATGATTTGTGAACCTTCAACAAATCAATATCTACCACTTTTATTTATATTCATGAAAAACCGCACATTTGAATCTTATAAGAAGGCATTTGAATATATTTTTACTGTCAAGGGTATTCAATTTTCAAAGCTAATTCAAATTCATTGTGATTTTGAAAAGGGAATGATAGAGGCACTTCAACAAATTTTCCCTAAAGTCCGTATAATTGGATGCCTATTTCATTTCAAACAAGCTTTACACAGGAAACTTGTAGCACTTTATACAAAAAATTTCAATACTTTACAAAATTCTTTATTTAAGCTATATTCTATTACTCCATTCATGTCTCATGAAGAATTTGTACTTACAATGCATATAATTAATCAAAATAAAGTTGATTCGATCAAAGATTATATTGATTATTTCAACAAAGTTTGGTTGCCGCACTACAATTTAATATCTCAATATAATAATGCAACTGCAATATTCACTAATGATTGCCTCGAGAGTATGCATTCAGAATTTTCTTCGTTAAAACATCCAAACATTTATGAAGCTATTAAGAAGATATCTCAAATCCAATTAGATAGTTAGTATACATATAATGTGTACGGAGGCACTGTGAGCCTCCTTACCCATTATATGTGAATTTGACACTTTACAAAACCGTTAACGTATATTTTACAACACAAACACAAACACCAACTTAACCTTAAATATTTATAAAGCCGCCAACCACTTCACCTCACTAACGTTTTCACAAACGACTTCACTACTGTAAAAAATAAACGTTCTCACTTACAAAAGTATTGCAACTCCTCCCATTGCTGTGCTTCACACAATACTTCATATTCTTCAGTATCGCTGCTGTCGCTCCAATCGTCAGAGTCAAAGTCACTGTCAAAATAAATGTTAGTAAGTTTTGACAAAGCTAATGAAACACGTTTACCGTTTGTATCGTATGCTTGTATAAACTTTCCATTCTTCATTCCTTCATAAACGCTCAAACTAACTTTACCCTTTCTCCCTCGTATCTGATAGAATGTATTTTCACGAGGAACGAAGAACAAATTCTTGAACTCATGACCGTTGTAGTTTGTTATCTCAATAGTTTTCGTCATTTATATAAAAATAAAATAAAAAATAAACTTAAAAATTAATGATATCACCACCCTCACACGTATGAAAACATAGCACAAAAATAAATTTAGGTGAAGTGGTGAAATCTCACCTCCTTTTTCACCCGGTTTTTCACCCTGTTGAATTCATTGCTTTATAACTCTCTTCCTTTCTCCAACTCTTCTAACTTCTTCTTAAGTTCAGCAATGTTGTCCTCATGAAGTTTAATCTTCCTTAATATACCTTCTCTATCTAATGGTTGCTTTATCTTTCTAAACTGAACTCTACCATCCTTCATAGTATGAATGTAAAAACCTTCTGGAATAGTTCCTGATTTAATGTATTCTACCAAAAACTTTTGTTTCATTGCTTCAGTGACTTTATTTGTCATTTCAATCAAATAAAAATTTTAACATTAAATAAAAATAACGTTATTTTTTCAGTAAGGAAACGCAGGAGTTTTACGATTTATTTGAGGAGTAGGTTCTGGTTTAAATGTTGGAGTCGGTTTAGGAGTTGACTTTTGAACAGGAGTTTGTACTTCCATAGGTTCAGGAGTCATTGAAGGTTTTGCTTGTGAAGGCGTTGGTTTTGGCGAAGGTGTTGGAGTTTGTTTAACTTAAGCTACTTCAGTATTATTTACAACATTTGCTTTATTTCTTTTCAACATCATAACTGCTCCTGCTGTAGCTAGCAAACCTAGTGGGAGACCATATCTTATATAAGGACTTGACCAAATGCTATTTTTGACAGGAGCTGGTGGAACACCTAACCTTGGTGAGACTGCTCTTTGCCATTGTGCAGCTCGTAAGAAATATTCAATAGGTGCTCCATAATCGTTTGGTAAAGTTTGTTTCATAGATGGTGAAGGTTCACGAGAGCTTGATGAAGAACTCATTTATAAGCTTTAAAAATAAACGTTCATCCTTTATTCCTCACTGTCGTCCGTAGCTAAGTTATAGTCATCTAATCTTATTATGGGGATGCCATTAGCACGCACCTGAATGGCAAAGCAACAATCCCTCATAAATCCAATAAGTGGCTTTGGTACATTTTCAGTTGCTAGTTCAATAGGTCCTTTAACAGACAATTTGTATGTTATTGGAGCAGTAGATGTTTGACCTTGCTGGAAGCAAAAGTCCACTTCTGTTGGAAAACCACATAAGAAATGTGTGTTGTCATAGCTATCCCATTTATGTTCCACACTACCATCATCCACCAATGACCTCATAACATCTTCATTAAATCCTATCATATCATTGTTTGTATTGCAGGCGTTCGCAACCATTTCATAAAATACAGGTCCATATGATTTTTCGGGTTCTGCAGGCATATTTCCATAAGCTCCCATGGAAAGCTGAAGATATTTAAACTTAGGGTTCTCAAAATTAACATAATAGTTGTCTTTCTTTCTAAATAGTGCCCAAATACTTTTAACATTAATAGGCGTATAAGCTGCTGTAAATGTTGCACTTGAACTATCTGTATTCTTTGAGAATGAACCGTCCATAGGAATCCAATCCATAACTTTAACAGGAAAACATAAAGCCTCGTTTGTATAATGTTCTACAAGTTCTGTATAAATGTTAGGGTCTAAAGAGAATGACTTTGGATGAATGAAACATTCATTAAAATCCATCTTTGTTCGAAATAGTTGCTGGGTTACAGTTGTAATAGTAACTGTTCCACTAGCTTCTACTGCCTTCGTTATCATAGTGAATGGTTCATTCCATGGAACAAATTTATTTGTCGGTGGATTTGAATCTGAAGCAAATGCAACTTTAAGAGTTGGATTGAAAGCAATGATATCATTTACAGATATAGATGTGCATTGTAAGGCGTCGCTACTGAACTTTACTTTAAGCTGAATGTTTCCTGCAAAAGCTGGAATAAATCGAATAGCTTCTAATGGAAGGAATCTTCTAACAGGAATTCTTAAACGAAGCTTAAAATCAAATGATTTTCCTGCTGTAATTGGACCACTAACAATTTGTCCTGTTCTGCATGTTCCCGAATGACTCCATACATCTTCATGTCGAGTCTTTGAGAAAACATCTACTTTCTTTATTTGTTCGGTAGTTTGTGAGTTTGAAGTTATATATGCTTCTTCTCTTGCGTTGTCTTGAGAATATACGATACGACCATTTGCAAGGATTTGATATCCAGCAACTGCATAGAAAGCGTCATCGAAACCAATCCAAAATCCTGGTGAGTTTGTTTTATTGGAACCTGAACCAATTTCTTTATCTACAATAAATTGACCTTCCATTTTATACGTAATGAATGTATTGTAAAGGTCCAACATATTTTCACCAGGAGGTGAGAGATTGAATGTTACCCATGTGTTATCTTTAGCAGTTCCAGGTTGTGATGGAATCTTTGTGTCAGAATATTTTCTATTAGTGTCACCAATTTGAACTGCATTGTCTATGATATCGAAATATGAGCGAATCTGATGAATATGCTCTGCTGGAGTAAATTCGTTTAGCTGTTCGTTCTGCATGTATTTACTTCAGATAAAAATATCTATTTACTTCATTATTCTCACTCTTCTTCTTGGCATTCGTGGTGGAAGTTGTTTCTTGACATTTTCAATGAACTGTACATTCTCTTTTGTCTCAACTTCTTTCACTGGCGGGTCAGGATTCTTTGACTCGGTTTGTTTTTCAATGAAATTCACGAACTTTGCAATAAGCTCTTGGTTCGTTATTGAAAGTACATCTGGCTTCTTTTCTTCTGGTTCTATTGACTTTTCAGTTTGAATAGAAGGCTTAACATGGGCTTCGCCCTCGGTGCCATGCACCTTAATACTGTCGCTTTCTGCATTCGCTAATGGAACCTTTCTTTTTCTTACGTATATTTTACCATCTTTACTCTGACTTACGTAATAGAAAGGATGTTGTATTCCTCTTGCGTCATTTAATATAATAGACTCTCGCTCTGATTTTGACAAGCTCATTTTACATCGGTTAAAGTTTTAATTTTGTTTTTTATCTGCAGTCAAATGACTCAGACAAGCCCTACGGACAAGACCCAAGGGGTCATAGATGTTGAAGCATTGAAGAAAGAAATTCGTGAGCAAATTTTATCCGAACTGAAGGAACAAAAACAAGAACAAAAGCCAGAGAGACCAAAGAGAAAACTTAGTGACAAACAACTTGCTGCATTAGCTGCTGGAAGACAAAAGAACCCAAGACTACTGGCGAAAAAAGCTAGAGAAGAAGCTGAAGCAAAAGCTAAAGAAGCTGAAGCAAAGAAAGAGTAAATGGTTTATTTTTATCCGAATTAAATGTATAGACAAATACCTTTATCTGTTGCGTTCAGTAGTGAAAACCCTGACGTCAAAATAAAGGGGAACAGAGTAACGTTTAAGTTTCCAACAGACTGGATTGTGAACATAAATGAAGAGAAGTACATTGGCATAACATCTATGTATATAACACGTGCTTTCAGAAAGGTTGACTTTATACTTCAAGTCGAGATAGAAAATGACGAACAATCTTTAAGCGCCCAAAACATTCACATATACAAATACTTTAAAGACGATACAACATTGTTGCAATGTATGATTTCATTTAATGAGATGTTCGAGAAAAAGTTCAACATTGAAGTACAAACTTTACAGCCTTTATGTGAGTTTCTTGCACAACTGAAAGAAGAAGGTAGTCGGCCACAACTTATAGACTTTCATTATGAATTTAATGAAAATGAAGATGGAACTCATGACTGTCAGTTTGTTATATATTCACCATTCAATGAAGTAGCTAAAAAGAAAGAAAATCCATTACGTATAAGATTTCAAATCTCTGAACCAAGTGATGATTTCAAGAATGTTTTCAATTATGATGCAATGCTTCCGAGGAAAAATGAATTTTCAAAGATTGTAACACCTGGCATTTGGGATAGAAAGCAAGTTATATTATATTCAAACTTAAGTAAGGGAGTTGAAAATGAGTTCGTTGGTCATACAATAACTTCACCACTTCCTAACCCTAAATACTATAAATTAACTGGCTTCAATCGTGAGTTTTGGATAGACATGTTCTCCACTCATGACCATAACTGCCCAGTGTTCTTACCTCCAGACCATAAGGACTGTCTCTACATTGAAGCACAACTCTTAAACTCTACCATCGCAGTATTGTAAAATCTACGCTAGTTTTATTTTTTTCTGAAAATTTTATTTGAGTGAAAGGCATGGAAGGTGAAGGACATTGGCAAACACTCGAACATGACAATGACTATGAAATCTTTTCAGAGTACCCTTATCCAATTAGACGTATAAGCAATAAAAGAGTTGTTAGTGAGTTTGACCAAGGAGATGGTTATATTTGTGTAAATTTAAACAAACACAAGCTGATGAAACATAGAATAGTTGCAGAAACTTTCATTCCGAACCCTGAAGGACTTCGTGAAGTAGACCATATAAACAGAGACAGAGGAGACTTTCATATCTCGAACTTAAGATGGACGACAAGAAGAGAAACATGAGAAATATTTCTGGTTCAAATGGCTATTGGTTTGACATTGTTGACTCTCTTCCTGAAGACGCTGTTGAAATTATACAATACTCATATCACACGTTAGAGAACTACTACTATGTCCCAAGTGAAGATGCCTTTTACTATTTCATGGGAACTCAATACAGACGAATGAATGTCTTAAGACAGTATAACAAAGATTATATAAACATTACAGATGTAGAAGGAAGAAGAACAAAGCTGTCTATTGCAAAGTTTAAGAGAGACAATGGTTATACATAAATGACAAAAATATATGACCTCATGGGCTTCGCCCTTGCCGCTAGCGGTTTATTTTTATCACGAATGACCTCATTGCTGACAAAAATAAATGACCTCAGAACTTCAACTTACGAATAAAGCTTGTTTTAGTCGTTATTGAGAAGTTAAACTTTTCAGCAAAGCAAGGACTAGAAGACTTACATAAGTCAAATCCAATCTCTTGACCATCATGAAGTGCTTTGTAAAGTTTCATTAAACTGAACTCAGAGTCTTTGTCATATGTTCCAACAGGTATGTGAATGTTCTTATCTTCATTGTAATAGCATTGTATAGCTTCAGGAACATTTCATTAGCTGTTAAAGCAAGAACGTCTTGTTTTACACCTTTACAACGTGCATGGAATGCAACTTCATTTAAATCGTTAGTGAGTAAGTCTATGTAGGTCTTCTTTCCACAAAATATTGACTTGTATGCTAAACTTTGTTTTCCAGGTGTTATTTCTGCGAAGTCAGAATGAAATTGACCAAGGTTCTTTCCTATAAGTTCGCGACCGTATCTCTTCTTAAACTCTGCTGCAAGCTTTGGTATGTCTTCATTGAAAATATGCATGCTATCACAGTCCTGGTAAAAATATTTGAAGTCCCATATCTTCAGCAGTACAGAATACTTCACACATTATTTCTCTTCGACATTGACAGAATATTAACACCAAGTGGACAGAAGTTAGAGTGTCTGCAAATGCTTTTCGTTAGCTTTGAAAATAGTTTTATCTGAACCATCCAAACCTTCGAACTTCACTATATGGTTGTAGTTTTCTGATGGCATATCTTATATAGCATCTTTGTCATTTATATGGTTATTTTTGTCAATAGGAGATAGAATAGTTTTGCCATAAATACTGTTCAGAATGAGCTTTATATTTTCTTGCAAAGGATTTCCTTCTTTCTTATACTTTAACCTTAACTCAAACAACTTCTTTACTTCATCTCTTATTCTAATATCTCTGTTTCCATCGTAATAGTATCCTTGCAACACTTCACATTTGACACCTTGATATTTTATGAGGTCTTGTAATGTTATATGGTCAACATACATTAAACAGCAAGTGTTTGAACTTCTGGGAACGTTAAGTTCTGGATTTAGTTCAGGGTCACAAACTATTAAAGGAAAGTGTCTATGTATTCCAATCTCTGTTATCTTAATGAGAACAAAGAAGCCAGACATAAACTTTTCACCAATGGGTTCCTTTTGGTCGTCATCGAATAAATGTCTCATGAGATACTCTGTGCTTAACATTTCTTTCTTCATAACCTTTGGAATACCTTCTAAAGTATAAAGTCTTGCTATAGCTGATGGATATAATGAAACAGCGTCGAAATCAGCAATGAGTTTCTTTTCGCTCTTTTGTTTCATGTTATCTGACAGCATACATCTTCCACCTTGAATACAGCGTGAAATAAATTCTCTTGGTTTATTTGAGAGGTCATATAAATTTCCATTCGGGAAGTACACTCTGTTCTCAAACAATTTGTTAGCAATAGAACAAATACTAACGTAGTCATAAACGTTTAAATCAAATTCTTTTAATATGTCATTGCGGAACTTAACAAAACCTTCTCTTAAAATTCTTACATCTTGTTTGCAATAAAATGTGCTATACTTTTCTAAGTCGAAGTGGTTTTCATCTATTCTGCAACCTTTGATGGAATCTATGTTTTTCATGAACGTATCATATTACAAACTTACACGCTTCAGAAATGACACCAGTTCTGTTGTCATTTGCTAAAAAGAGCTGAATATATTGATACGGAAATACTTCTTTCACCTGTGAAACATAGGAAATAGTTTAAGCTTCTTATTTATAACACTGTAAGAGTCTTTTATAATAATTGCTTCCTTTATATAGCCAGTTATTTGCATTGTTCGTGAACCTTTAATGATGGGAGTTCCTTTCACTTCTGTCATGTGTCTTAAGATGAAGTTTATATCATAACTGAGGTTATGGAAATATATTAAACTCTTGTCAGGAAGTCGTTCCAAAAATTCTGTTGCACAGTTCTGACCCCAAATGCTTTCACTCACTGAACCATCTTCACTGTCATAACAGATGTTAAAAGCTTTATGAAAGCCATCGTGCTACACTCAAAGTCAGCAAAGAAAACGTGCTCAGGAATGAACTTGCACTTATTTTTATTTACTTCTTTTGACTCGGCTTTCTTCTTCAGTTGTACACAATACTTTGGAGCATATGTCAAATCTTTAAATGGTGCAAGGTTCTGTTTATATAAGTCAGTCGTATATGTGAAAAGTTCTCCATAAGAAATAGGTTCGAAATATTTGCACTCCCACAATGTTTTCATAACATCCCATAACGGTGTTGTTCTATCATAACGAACTACATATTTGTTCTCTCTCTTTGTATAAATCTTCATCTGTTTCTCAATGTTCATTCCACCACACTCCTTCAAGATTTCTATATAGTTGCGAATGAAATATGTTGTCATTGGTAATCTTTCATTTAGCATGTAGTGGTCTTCAACAAGAAGTAAGTCAATAGTTCGAACAGTTTCACATTCTTTTGGTATGTATCTCTTTATTTCATTATGTCTTGAGTCATTGAAGTAACCAATGGTAACATTAAATGCTATACCTGTTGCGTCAGAAATTTCTTGTACTTTACTTTGAGGAAAGTCTCTAACACGAATGACTTCTCTCATGTGGTCAATAGTTTCTTCATTTACTCCAGCCTGAATGCAAGCATAAACGAAACAATTGTCTTCTGTCATAAGTGTTGCAGTTCTTTTGTTCAGTTCATTGAAGATTTGGTAGCGTTCAAGATTTATAGGTAATGTGCAAAGATACTTCCAGAACTGACCGCTTCTCTTCTTATAAAACTTCTTTTCACCATTATCTTTCCAAAAGCTTTCTATAAGTGCTGGGTTTCCTGTTTGCTTAAGAGCTTCCAAAATGGCTTTCTGGTCATTTGTCAGTGTGCTTTCATCTCTATATGGTCTCTTTTTTGGTTTGCCTTTCTTTACATCTGACATCGTTAAGCCTTCATATTCTGTTAAATCATACATCTTTATTTCAGTAAGATTCTTTATGTTTGTCAAGAAGAAGTCATAGTGCATTTCAACAATACCTGCAGCATTTGCTTCTATCTCTGATATAAAGTTCTCCTTCAAGAGCTGATGTAGTAATGTTCCAATATTATTGAGGTTTAACGTAGAACATTCATACTTTCCACCAAGTTTATAACATACCATCCATCTTTGTTGGGAGTTTATTTTAATCTTCTCTAAGAGTCTCATGAAAACCTTACCGAAATGTTTGTGTAAGTAGTCTCTGTTTGGTTCATCTAAAGCTTCGATGTTAAAGTCAATGAGTCTATTGCCTGTCTTAACATTCCTCTTCCTATTCTCTTCATCTTTCTTTAACCATCTCTCACCTTCTTTTGGTTTGTCGTCAATGGAACGAATGACATCGTTAGCTTTGCGAACTTGTTCTATAGCGCTCTTAAACATCTCTCTTCTCTGTTGTTTCAGTGTGTCGTCTCTTCTTCTTGTTTCACCAACGTTTGCATTTGTTATGTCAAACATTTCTCTTCTTACTTCATGAGGTACTGAACGTCTATGATATAAGTCAATAGCAACGTCATTTAAAGGAAATGCTCTTGCATGGACTTCGTCCTCGCCGCGTTGCGGCTTTATGAACTCATGAATTCTATCATAACTTATTGCACCATTATAGTCATTGAGGATGTCAGCGAGTGCTTTTTTGTTTGTTGCGTAATGCTTTGCAACATCTATATTAGCTTCTGTAAGAAGTTGTTTTATTTCCGAGTGTTCTAACTTAGACAACTTCCGATACATCTTTAGTAGGAAATAAAAAAATATTTTTTGAAAAAATTAGATTAGATTTTTTTAAGTTATTTTTCAAAATAATTTAATATTTTTATTTTAATGAAACACATGCAAGATTGCAAGTTCTTTTCATACAATGCTCTCGCTACTGCCATCAAGAATGAGTTCAATAATGCTTCAAATGTTAATGTTATCTTTAACAAGAAGTTTGTGAAAGAATCTAAGTTTGGTCAGTATGTCAGACCATTAGCTATCGTCATTGACCGCAAACGTTATACTTCACAAGAGTTAGCAGTAGTTTTGAAACAAAAGAGTTTCTTCGTGAATGTCAAAGATACTCATTATACTGTCATAAAGAACTCTAACGTTGACTTCTTCAGTATTGCTTTAAATCTTTCCGAACAGAAAGAATATAAGAAAGGTGAAACAAATGTGAAATATTATCCTTCATCTCTGAAGACAATAACGAACAAAGATGTTATACAGAAATTCTTACCAAAGGTTGAAGAAGCTTCTATTGACATTGACGAAGGAAGTGAAATGGTTGAAGAAATTGACCCTGAAGCTTTATAAGAAAATTTATTTTTGAATAACTGATGGTGACACTGAAAACATTCGTGAAAAAATTAATGAAATCATTAACGTAAACATTAACGATAAAATTTATTTCCAGGACTGTTGTCTAAATGTCATGTTGTCATCATTTTTCAGTTGCGATGGAATATATCTAACCCTCCCTTAACTAATAAACTTGACGATCAGACAATTCTCCCTTCGTCAATTATGTTCGACACGGAGCATTTATGGAAACAATTAAATGGTAAAAACAAAATAATGACGAAGGGTTTTGTTTTTTATCGTGGTTTTCTCCACTATGGTCCTAACGTGGCACCCGACGAGATTTTTTTTCATTCTTCCTCTTTGAAGTTGTCGAAATATTCTGTTATTTTTTCCTTCAGTAATGTTAAGTCTTCTTTGAATGTAAGTATTGTACAACCTTTGATGTCATAGTGTGTTTGAGGAAGAGTATTTTTGACAATTTCCTTTATTTGTTCATTCGGTGTCATTGAAATCGGTAAGTTTTCACGATAGAACCAGTTTCTGTCAGATTTATATATCTTAGCTAAGTCATAAAAGCTCTTGTTGTTTCTTCTGACTAAATGTAACATAACCATATCTTTATCTTCTTCTTTCTCCAACTCTTCAGTATATATCATATACTTATAACTCTTTTCCTTTCCTTTTGGTACTGAACGCGGTATTCTTTTCTGTATGCTTTTGTCTTGGATTCAATGACTTCATCTTTTGCTTGAAGTTTCTTTTCCAACTCTCCACGTTCTGCTTTATATAGTTCATCTAACATCATGAAAATATAACAAGCATAACGAGGTGAAGTCCACATTGCTACAGCGTTTACTAAAAGTCTATGAAATAAATAACCTTTCAAACCAGGAGCCAAATTCTTGCGATTTTCATACGGAATCTCTTCCCTCGGTTTCCGAGGGAAGCAATCATATGAGGAAATTCTTCTAAAAGTTCTTTTGTCTGTTGGTTTTCAAACCAATGATATGCTTGCTTTGTAGAACGAAGAGCATTCGTTATACTTTGCATTTGGTACATATCGTCTTTGACTGAACGAATGAGACGTAACTGTTTGTTATACTGTATGTACTCGTATTCTTCATTTATAGCTTCATGGACTATAACTGTTGTTGTGTTCTCTGATGTTGACATTACTGTCTTTACATACAAAATAAAAAAATAAATAAAAATAAAACTAACTTTATTTCTTCTTTATTTCTTTATTCCCGTGGAAGAAGGGTTTTGCCGTTTTTTCTCAGCCGAAATCAATGATTTTTTCATTTTTGGAATCCTTAGCGAATGAGGAATCTTTTCTCTCGTGGAAGCTTTGAACAAAAATAATGTTTAGGTGAAGAGGTGAGATTTCACCTCTTTTTTCACCTGTTTTTCACCTCTTTTTTTCACAAGCGTTTACATGAATTGTACGATGTATATTTGAAATCCTAAACAATTTCGTAGCTTCTATTTCTTCTTTTAGTACATTGAATGTTTTAATCATGCCGAAAGTCTCTTTATATTTCTTCCTGACGTCAGACAGAAGGAAATCTTCTGCTGTTGGATAGTTTTTATTAAAAATGTCAACATATCCATTTTATCTTCTGCTGGCTTTTCTGCTTCTTTCTTTAAGTCTGCATAGTCGTTTCGCATTCTTTCTATCTCTTTGACTGAGTAGTTATATTTTCTTATTGCTGCTTTACATTTTGAACATTGCGGCATCGTTTTTGCGTTATAATACATTGAAACATTACCAGCTAAAACAACTAAAGCGTCAATTGCTCTCTTCATCTCAAACATAGCGGGTCTTATTTGTTCGTTCCATACTTTGCCTCTTCTATCTTTATCTCTTATTTCCCAAACACATTTTGCAACTAATGAAACAAAGTTATCGTATGTCTTAAATTCTGGATTTGTAAAGGTCAGAAATATTTTTATAAACCATGTCGCAATCTTTGTCCATAACTTTATGGTTGCAATGAAAACCAAGGAATTCATAATTTACTTTATGTATGAATTTCTTAATTTCTACTGAGTCAGTTGCTTTGACTTCAATTTCGTCGAATTCAGGAATAGTTAGTTTTTGCTGCTGAATTTCAGGTAGTTTAGGCAAATGGTCGATGAGGTCCTCCATTTCATAAAGATACTGTTCATTTGTTTCATCTTTCGCACTACAGTCTAAATTACTTGTTTAAAAGTTCTTGCTTTATCTTCTGGATTTCTGTTTCAAAAGTATATGAAGAAGGAATAAAGCTTTTCATCTCTATCAACATTGACGTAGGATTCATGACTAACGAGTTTGGTGCTGTAGTTGTGGACAGAGTCCCGCCGTTCGCAGCTTGAATTGTTGTTGTGCCTATTGTTGAAATCATATCTTTTATACAAAATAAAAAAATAAATAAAAATAAAACTAACTTTATTTTTTCTATCTTAAGGAAATTCATGAAAATTCACGAGGGTGAAAAAACAGGTGAAAAAGAGGTGAAATCTCACCTCTTCACCTAAACATTATTTTTGTCTGATTTACATCTAATGAAAAAGTTTAGAAGAATTTTCTTATTCTTTCTGGCATATTTTTGTCTTTCCAGTACTCCCGCTCTAATGGTCCCAGATGTTGTTGGCTTCGACTCTCTCAAGTTCTTAGATGGTATAACATCTTCAACGCCTCCTTCATATCTTACTTTATAAGTGTCATCGTTTATGTTATAGCCAAGTATTTCAATAACCACTCCTCGCTTTGCTTCGTCAATGGTTTCAGCAAGTTTGCCATTACTACCTTCGACTAATTTATGTCGAGGATAAAACGCAATGGAGTCGTCAGCAGCTTTTATAAGATATCCATTACCTTGCGTAGAGTCTACGATATAATAGTTTCTACTTAACCTTAAACGTTTCTTTGTCAACGGTTTGTCGTCAAGAACTACACGAACTTTGTGTACCAGGAATGAGGGTAAATTGTGTTGAATTTCTGATATTTTTGTGTTTGACTTCGTTTCTTTTGTATATACTTTTCTTCTTGTTGTTGTGTCATTGAATTTGGTGTTGTCCTGTTGTAGAGTGTGTTGAGGAATTATATACTTCGAGAAAATGTTTCATTGTTTCTTCGGTAAAGTCTCGCTCTTGGTTTAAATCTCTGAGCGTTCTTATGAAGCGGTTTATGATGCCGAGTATGTTATGGTTATGGTCTTCAGTAGTGTAGTGAGTTATGTTATGCTTAATGAGAAAATCTGTGATTTCATTGCTGAGGTATGCACCGTCTTGGTCTGATGTTAAGTACTTGGGCTATGTTCTGCTACAAACTTTTGTAAAACTCTTAACACTTCACGAGTTCCTTTATTTTTCATTGGATATGCATATGCTTTGCGAGTGTTAACATTAATGAAGATGAGGAATGGTGGCTTTCTTCCTTTCTTACTCTGAACGAGAGTGTCAAATTGGTATGCGTCAGGAGCGTTGGAGTAAATTGGTAAAAAGTAGTCGTAAGGGTTTATTTTTGTTTGATGTACAACATTTTTGTCAAAGAACCTTTTCACTTCAGCTCTGTTAGTAAATCCTCAACTCTTTGCAGCTTCATTGAATTTCTTAAATGACCTCCATGGATGTTGTTCGAATACTTCTTTCAAGCTCATTTATGTAAAGTTAAAGATTTTATTCAAGACGGTAAGCCTTGACCCAAAGGGTCTAGGCTCAAGCGCGTTCATTGAACGCGGTACCATGCGAATACAGTCATAAATGGTGGCATATAATCTGCACCCGAGCCTGTTGGATTTGTTGTGAAAGTATGGACATGATTTCCTCCTGGTTCAGTTGGTCGAAAAGTCTTTTTTGCTGAATTGTTATAAGATGGAGATAAAACGTCATTGCCAGCTTTATAGTCTGAGTTGTATAATGGGTGGTCTCTTAATGAGTGGCTATGGTCGCCAGAAAAGTTTGTCGTTCCTGTATGAGTGTGCGCAGGTAAGTTTGCTTCTTTAATTTTCTTTGAGCCACCTGTTTGATTTGAAGAGTTAGCACAGTATAAGAATTTATCTACAATCTGCTGCCACGTACCAAAACCTAAAACACTTGCCGGATTTGTTGAGTTCATTGACGTATAAATAGAGCCTATAGGATATATGGTTTCAAGAATCTGAGTCTTCATTGTTTGAAGTTCATGTTTAACATTTATAAATCCATCGCCATCTACAATATTTATATTGTTTGTTATTAAACCATTAGGAAAAGTAGGAGGATAAATATTTTGTTCAACTAAAGGTGTACCGTCTCTTCCTGTTTTTGTTACTTCTTCAATGTATGCATTAATTTCTTTAATCCTGATTGTTTGAAATTCTTCATGCACGTGCTCTTTGTCAGCTTTTCCATTAACCGCATCATTTACTTCCGACTTCTTTGCATAATTTTCATCTACATAAGTTTTGTCGGCTTTCTTATCATATAAATCTTGAGCAGTGAATTTAACATTATTTTCATCATCCATGACATAAACATTTTTACAGCTAATTTCTTTCTTCGTTGTTATGTTTTCATTCGATGTTAAACCTTGTGGAAAGTTAGGAGGTTTATAATATAATGCATCCCCACCAGTTCCGCCAACCGTTCCTTCAATACTTTCTATAGCAACAGTTGAGAAGGAGTTATGTGTATGTTCTTTATCTGCTTTTTTATCTAACATTGCTGGTAGTTCATGTGTTTCAAAGTTTCTGACATGACCTTCAATGTTCATACATTTACTATTTAAGGAGTTTAGTGTATCTTTTACGCTTGTACTTGGATTCTCTAAAGGTGCACTTGAACCAAGGGTATAGTTCAATATTATGTCGTCTGCTCTAACAGTAGTGAAGGATTCATGTGTATGGTTCTTGTCAGCTTTACTTTTAATAGCATCTTCAAAAGTTATTTTTGCCTTAACTCTCAAAGTAAATCTTGGTTCAACTAATACACCGTTACCAGAGAAACTAGAAGCATAAATTTCATCGTTATAACCAAATGCTTCTGGTGCTTTACCTGTGTCATACTGTACAGTACAGCGGATGTCATAACCTTCAGCACGAATGAATTTATATCTTCTTTCATTAACATCTTTTGTCTTCACTCTTTCTTCAGTTCGTGTTAAATATCCATGGTAGTCCGTTATAATCTGTTCGTCTGAACTTATATAATGAACATGGTTTTTATCTGCTTTTTCGGCTAATTTCTCTTCTATCTCATTTATTTCAAGTTCATGCCTACCACCACCTCCCGAAGAAGTATTTTTCAGCTCTTGAAGAACGTCCACTTCGCCATCTTTGGTGTCAATAATGAGACTTTGAGTTAAAACCTTTCCTGTCTTAATGGATGTTTGTAAAACTTCTTCTTCACCGTGTTCGGGGTCATGGTCGTCATCATATCTTGCGAAATCAGAGATGTTGTCATACATTAAGCATATCTGTCTCAAAAGTTCTGCTATTTGAAACTGGAACGAAAGATATACAGAACTTTCATCATCTCCTAAAGTCAAGTCTGCTTTCTTAAGTATTTCTTGAATGTATGCAATGAGAACAGAGTACCTTGGAAAATATTCGAACAATATTTCATTAGCTGTTGGTTTTGGTGGTTCTTCTGGAGTTTCTGTTGTTTCAGTTCCTTCTGTAGGTTCTGTTGGAGTTTCTGCATCTCTTGACTTCAATGCTCTTGCTCTCAAAGACCTAAATGTTAGAGCACCAGGTTTTACAAAGGACTTTATAAATGCTTTAATAGTTCCTGGTAAGTTATTGTTAGCATTAAGTAAGTTCCTTATGCTTCCATCATGTACGTCCATAGCACTATGTAAAAAATCTATACTTTTCTTGTAGTCAGCAATAGACTGACTGTGATTTTTTAAAGATTTGTCAATACCTTTAAGCCAATCTTCATGCATGTCTGATACTGAGCCAAGAATATCATTTGCTTCCTTTAGTGTATTTTGTGCTTCTCGTAAAGTATCCAATCCCGTACGTGCATTGTTTGCTATACGTCTTACAGTATCTATTTGACTCCTTGTTTCTTGCATCCAACCAGATAAAGTTTTAATAGTATCCGAACCATTTGAAATGAAGTTCAAAGCATTTTTAACGTCATCTAAAACTTCTTCACCAAGTACTGCCCATATCTTTCCGATTTGGTATTGAAGAACTCCATATGAAGCAGCTGTTAAACCAGTATTTATAAGGTTCCATATCCATGATTTAGCAGTTTTTCCATCCTTTCCATCTTCACCATCCAAACCGTTTTCGCCTTGAGGTCCTTGTATTCCTTGTATTCCTTGTATTCCTTGTGGTCCTTGAGGTCCGGTGTCACCCTTCTCTCCTTTCAGTTCATCTTTATGTTCGTTATAATATTCTAATGTCATAAGGTGTACATCATTACTGCTACCAGCAACGCCGAGAATTTGTTTCTCATTCATGACTAAATTCTTTAGGCATTTAATGTTGTCGTCAAATCGAAAGCTCTTTAACAATTCAATGAGAACATTTAATACTTTCACTAATGAGGCATCTACTGTAGAATTTATATATTGCACCGTTCCATCATTTATGATAGGAACTTTACTTATTGTAATGAATGGGTCATAAGTGTTAAAAGTATCGAAATCAATGACTTTTTTAGTTTTTCCATCGTCAATGACTAAATCATTGCCTTCAATGGTTAAAGTTGAGTTTTCGTTTACTAGTTCATGTGCTCTTCTTGCTTCATTTGTTTCATACGCATATGCAGCAATAGTCATATTTTAATGAGAATAAAATGTTGTTCTATTTGCAAAGTACAGACCCAAACGAATACGGGACAGTAAAGCTACAAACAAACTTAGGTCTTCAGAATGAAGCGCTTGCTTTCAGAGTTGTTGACTTCAATACTATCGCAACTTTTGTCATAACAGATGAAACAGATTTCATAGAGATTGAAATAGATGACAAAAGAAGTTATAACATTTCCTAACAGAGCTGGGTATAGAATAGATAAAATTGCTGGAGTCATAGATACTCTCATAAATGAAGAAACTATTGACAACATAGATGTCGAACTCTCTTCTGAGGGAACATTGAAGTTCAGCAGCGAAAGAGTTTAAGATACCAAGAATGAGTCATAGAGTTCAATTGCTTCTGGGTGCATACCATATGACATTTCCTTTGAAAAGTGTTGACAAAACGATTGAGATGAAATCTGTTCCATACGTATGTTATGGCAATTGTTTGTACATTGAGTCAAAAATAGCTAATGTCACAGGTATTTCAGGAGTTAATAGTAAAGGTTCAGTAGAATATAAGTCTTTCTGTTATGAAGTAAATTCAATGTTCATTCCAAACGTTCCTGTCATAGCAACTCATTTAGGTAAATGGGTTCGCATTAGTCCTCATAATTTGAAAGACATGCAATTCAGACTTGTTGACTTTCAAGGAGAGCCTGTAGAACTGAAGGCACCAGTGCGAATGACTGTTGAAGTTGACTTTTTAGAAAATATTAAATGCAACAGCTTACAAGAGAACTCAGAGCTAAAAATATAAAGTATGAATGTTATGTATTAGGTCATGAACTTTGGTTGTTGCTGTTTGATGAAACAAATGAGTTAGTTATGTCAGTCAAGAGAACAGAAAAATATTGTGTTAGTGAAAACTGCACCAAGTCAATAAGATTAGGTTTGCATTATGAAGATGAGTTCGATACTGTTGAAGAAGTTTTGGATAGATATTACAAATTGCTAACTTGAAATTTTTTGACTGACGGCGCAAAGCGCCAAGACCGAAGGTCCTGACTGCTTTAATTTACTAAAACATATTTCAAACAAAGTTTATAGTCAGTAGATAGCTTTGTATACTCATTCGAATATTTATACTTAAACTCAACTCCTGTAGTTCCTGGTGTTTCAATGATGCGGATGTTACCTATTTTCATGAATAGTGGAGTTTGACCACAGCATTCGATTTCAGGGTCGAGATAGTCAATGACACATTGTTTCCCTGTTATTCGTGAGATAACATTTTCAAGGTCCTCCTTTGTTAGAATTATTTGGTTCTTACTTATAAGATTTGTCAAAAGCTTCTTATCGTCTTTGAGTAAAATTGTTTGGTATAACTGAAGAAGGTAATGGTCTACGTTATCTGAAGGATTTGTTTGAACATTTGTGTAAGGGTTGTCGTTGGCTTCTCTTGAAAGAATTTGGTCCAGTGGTGGATACTCTAACTTAACATCTGATGTAGCGTTAGCGTTTGAAGCTGTTTAAATTCACCGACTTAAGTTCTGGTTCTTTTTCTTTCAAACACTCTGAACTATAGTTCTTTATGACAATATTGTTTGTCGTTCGTGAGTCAACATTTGATGTTGGTTCAATTGGAACATTAACGGCACCAGCTAAGATGGATTTGCTTCTCATTTCATATAGAATAAAAACCTTTTATATGTATGAAATGAACAATATACTCGACAAGGGTTTGAATGTAAAGCTAACGAATGAAAATATTGTTGAATTCACTGAGACAGGTGCTGTGTATAAAGATGTAGAACTACTGAACAAAAGAGCTAAGGGAAGAAGCAGGAACATGAACAAAGGGTGGAAGCCTATAAAAATTTATGTCAATGATGGCTCAGGAGGTTCAAACATAAAGTATGCAGAAAGTTATAGAGTTTATGCTCTCAAAGGTGAAAAGCCTTCATTTAAGAACAGCTATTCTAACGCATATCCTCAAAAGCTAACGGATGGGGAAGTGGATGATATGAATGACAGCAAAAATATTAACAGAAATGGCGACAGAGATGCATGGAATTTGTTTACCATCAGTCAATTGAAGGTTAAACTTTAAAACAATGTTGGTCGTTCCCATGGAATATTTTTGACTTTAATGGTATTAGTCATGATATGAATCTCAAGGTATGAACGAGGAGAGATGAGAGACTTATATGCTTCCCAAATTTCTTCAAAAGGTAATGTTATACCTGACTGTTTCCAAATGAGTTCAATATCATAACGTGAGAAACCTTGAAAGATAACGAAGTCAGTTATGAGACGTTTTATGTTTAAAGCTAAAAACCTCCATGTTTGCATAAGTATTGCTACAGTTAAGTGGTAATGTCTGACTTTAGTAATGATGTTAGCTAATGGTGAGTCTGGTTTTGACACTAAACCTTTTCCGGCGAAGTCGTCACAACTAAAAAGTGTTTGAAGGATATTTTTTGAAGGGGTATTTTGAAAGTTTTGACAGAATGTAGTTTGTAAGTCGTTTCATATCGTAAACTCCTGAGTATTGACGTAAGTGGTGTTTGTCAATAATTCTTTCCATCTCCTCAGAAGTCTTTTGCATTCCTGACTGTATAAATTCAACGATGGCATAATATTTCCTCTTACGTCGAATGTAACGTTGAAGAAATTCAATGAGTTCACTGTCTGGAACTTTAACGACAGAGGCTTGAACTTTTGACATAAATGTTTTCGCTGTTGAGTCCATAGAGTCTGAAGTTGCTGATATAATGATTTGGTCATAGTAAGAGTCGTTTCCTAAACGCTCTGTTATGAGTATATGACGAATGATTAAATGTCTTACCTGAACCCATCTTTCCACAATAGAAATAAACACCATTTGAACAGAACTCATAGTCCTTACTGAAAGGAAGAATGAGAGAAAGTTAAGTTTTCACTGTTTCATTCATGTCTTCATCTACGTCATGTATTAAATGCTTCATTTTATCTCCATTAAAAATGCAAGTCAGAAATATTCAGAACATAGCACCGAGTCTAACTGACAAGAGTATAAAGATATACTATGAACATGTTATGATGAAACCAACCAAAATTCAAGAAAGTCAGTATACTTATGAATATCCAAGACACTGGGTAGAGTATGTAGGAGGTGAGAAAGCTATTGAAATCAGACAGGTTCGAAGTATTCCAGCAGGAAGAACAATATTATTGAAGAACTTTAATGTTTTGAGATATAATGATGAAACAAAGAAGCAAGATAGTTTTCCTGTTGCTGTGTATGTGAACTTAGATACAGGAGATGACATGAAAGTTTTTAATACAAAGCTTCAAACGGTAGTGAGAGAACAACTGACTGCGGAAGGCATCCATTACCTTCAGAAGTTACCATAGCATATAATTTTGAAACAAACTCAATAGATTTTAAAGTCATCTCTGCAAAGAAGTCAGGTTTTACATTTAATGAAGCAGATGTATATTCGAATGAAAACTTCAAAGCTATTGCATGGTTAGATAATGACGATTGCTTTAAGAAAATATTTAAATTCAGTGACTCAACGATGTCAATAGATGACCTTCGTGGAATGTTACCATCGACGTTTACAGTAGAAGGTTCAGCAGGATTGCTTACAAGATTGTCAATTGGTGGTATTTGGTCTCGTGAGAACATTGTTATAAAATCCAGTATAAGTGAATTTGCTGAAGAATCTATATTATGTCTTTCAAACTACATGTATTCGCCGCCGAAGCATTATAGTATAACAAACTTTGTCAGTAAGTTTAACATAAGACTTGTCGAACCTTCTTCAATGAAAGATGTTGTGCTACCAAAAGGAAAGGATGGACTCATTATTGAGATGATTTTAATAGCATATTAAATGAGCTTGTTCTTGAAGGTCATTCATGATGAAATAACTGTTGTAGAAGATGTTAGCAATTGTTCAGACATTTTGAAGCGTATAGATGATATAAGAAAGAAGTTAGATAGACCGCAAAGCGGTGAGGGCGAAGCCCGTGAGAACGCTTATGTTTCATTGACTTTCTCCAGTAACGAGAACTTTTATGAGATAATATTGAAGAGAGATGATTTTAATATGGTGTAAATGGTAGCTTGGGCAGCTTTAGGCGCAATGGGAACAAAAGCATTAGCATTTGGAGCAAAAGCACTTGGAGCTTATGACGCAGTAAATAAAATGAGTGGAGGAAGGGTTTCGAAGACATTAGATGCAAATAAAGGAAGATTGGAGGCTGGGTTGCAAAGAAGTTAAGATTAAATAAAATAGGGCTCATAAATAAAGCATCCAATTTGGTTGCGACTGAGTCAGAAAATGCTTTAGGAAAGGACGATGAGTTTGCAAAACACGCAAAAGACTTTAATGACCAGATGAAAGGTGAAACAATGCATTTAAATAGAGTCGATGGAACTAAAGAAAATGTTTCTTCTCCACCAGGTTTTCCGTATGGACCTATGGAATGTATGGAAACCCTTACGAAAGACCATTTGACCCATTGACTGGTGGAAGTAATTGGTATCATTACGGACGAAGAAGAAAGACAGTCAAGTTGGAGACAGACGTGAAGAAAGCAACTAAAAAGAAACCAAGAAGAGAGTTATAAAGCAATGAATTCAACAGGGTGAAAAACGGGTGAAAAAAGAGGTGAGATTTCACCACTTCACCTAAATTTATTTTTGTGCTATGTTTTCATACGTGTGAGGGTGGTGATATCATTAATTTTTAAGTTTATTTTTTATTTTATTTTTATATAAATGACGAAAACTATTGAGATAACAAACTACAACGGTCATGAGTTCAAGAATTTGTTCTTCGTTCCTCGTGAAAATACATTCTATCAGATACGAGGGAGAAAGGGTAAAGTTAGTTTGAGCGTTTATGAAGGAATGAAGAATGGAAAGTTTATACAAGCATACGATACAAACGGTAAACGTGTTTCATTAGCTTTGTCAAAACTTACTAACATTTATTTTGACAGTGACTTTGACTCTGACGATTGGAGCGACAGCAGCGATACTGAAGAATATGAAGTATTGTGTGAAGCACAGCAATGGGAGGAGTTGCAATACTTTTGTAAGTGAGAACGTTTATTTTTTACAGTAGTGAAGTCGTTTGTGAAAACGTTAGTGAGGTGAAGTGGTTGGCGGTTTTATAAATATTCAAGGTTAAGTTGGTGTTTGTGTTTGTGTTGTAAAATATACGTTAACGGTTTTGTAAAGTGTCAAATTCACATATAATGGGTAAGGAGGCTCACAGTGCCTCCGTACACATTATATGTATACTAACTTAGATAAATATAACGCCATCAAAAATAACCAGAAGATCGAGCGCCATATAAAAACCGTTATCACTGATAGCTACAAAAATTATATTCTTGACTGCTTTCAAAAAGAACTTGAGAAAACAATTTTTTCTATCAAACAATACAACGTAAGTGATCTTTCTTTGGCTCAGAACGAGATTTCTCCATTTGGTTCCATAGAATCGAGTTCATTGTTCGAAAATATTCCAGTTCATGATGCAGATATACTCAAATCGATCGATCTAACAGATAAAGATACAATGATCACTAAGTTTATTAATGAAAAAAGAGAAAAAATTATGGCATTATTTCATGAAACATTAAATCATCCAGATTTTAATTCATCCACTCCAATTCAAACTAATTTTGAGCAAGCCGATACAAATCAAGGTTCAGATGCTCCAATTCGCTCCGAAAATTCAAATATTGCAGACTCTACAGATTTAGAACCAGAAAATCAAAACCATCCTTCTACAAATCAAATGTCTAGTAATCTAGAACATAAGCTGGACCTTCTTGATCATATTGAAAAACAATTATCGAAAATGTGCTCGTTATTGGGAATTCTTCCTACTACAAATGCTATTGTTGGGCCGTCAAAACAAGTTTCAGTTAATAGCAAGCAAAATTCTGGAAAAAATAAGAAAAAATCTTCCATAACAACAAAATCAAACAATAAAAAAATTCATCCGACAATCCTCCTAAACGTAAAGCTCCTATTTCGGATGTAATAAACAGAAATTCATCAAAAGTGACAGCTCTCGATTTTTTGACATTTGTAAATTCTAAATTGAATGAGAAAAATGAAATAATACTAAGCATAATACAATATTCTAGATTTAATTATAATTAGGAAAAAGTTAGTTTTGAGAGTACTTTTCATAGGCATATAGAATGAAATCTTCTGAAAAATAATATCACATAAACTCATATTATTTTCTAATATATAACTATTTTATATAAAAATCAAATTCAATGATCTTAAAAGCGAAGGATAAACCTCAAAATTTACGAATATAATGAGTGGGAATAGGCGTAAAGCAAAAATTGATATTTCATATGGTTTTATGATAGATAAGCATTATATTCCCACTCATTATATTCGTAAATTTTGAGGTTTATCCTTCGCTTTTAAGATCATTGAATTTGATTTTTATATAAAATAGTTATATATTAGAAAAATAATATGAGTTTATGTGATATTATTTTTCAGAAGATTTTGTGTTCTTCTTCAAAATTTTATTTTTTTATTAAAAAGAATCTTTACAAAATATACATTTACTTTAATTAATATTTAAAAACGTGCTCTATCAAAAGTTCCAAAAATTCAATATTTTAGCTTTTCTGAAGTGTCACTTTTGATGAATTTCTGTTTACAACAAGAGTTATCTCAAATATTTTAGGTAAATACACCGGCAAACCCTGGAAAATAAATGAGAAGATTTTACTACAATAATTTAGAAGTTTTTTTTTTTTTTTGTAAAAATACGAAGAACGAATAGAATCGTAAATAAATTGGGTATTCATTAACTAAGGATTTAAAAAAAGTTCGCAAAATGGCGAATTGCGCCACTTCTAATTTTTTGGCGAATTCGCCATTTTTCAATTTCCAAACCATATAAAAGGGTCTGTTATTTTTATTTTGTGGAATTCTCGTTTTTTATTAATAAAGGGTCTTACATTTTTATTGTGTGATAGTCTTCATGATTTTAAGATATGGTCTATTATTTTTATTTTGGGATTATCGTTTTCCTCTCAATTTTACTTTACAAAATGGTGATCGCCAAATGGCGAATTCGCAATTTGGCGAAGACGTTAAGGCCAATATTATGTTTCCATTTTTCTTATCAATTTGCAAAATATATTTGATGAATATATATATTATGACAATAAAGTTCATATTTGTTCACGATTAAAAAATATTATTTTTTTTGGTTTTGCATTTCATTATGCTGATTGCAAAATTAGCTTTTCTTGATGTTAGTTTGATTAAATCATAACAATTTATTCTCATACTAACTAATCAGAATAATTTTGAATTCAAAAATAAGAACTTTATGATTAAGTTCGTTATAAATTATTACTCATAACATAAACAGTTTTTATGTGCGCTTTAAGAAATGGCATGGTTTTAATTTTAAAAATTTGAATGAAATAAATTGTTGCCTTTTCCGCACACTAATACTTAATATTATTAATATTATTTGGAATCTCTTCCTTTATGATATTGTGAAGGAATTTATCTAAAATTAGATAATATTTGCAAATATTTAGGTTTTTCTCAATTACTCAGCATTTCTAATAATAGGATTTACTTGTGTAAAAAGATAATTGAAAAGAAGAAGAAATTATTCAATATAATGAGATAAATAAAAGATATTATCGAGATTATCTAAAAAACACGAGAAGTCATTACAGTATTTGCATGGTACTGTATTAATATATTTGAAGTTATATGATAAGTTTCCAAAAACAAGTATTGACGCCTTGAATCTGTCAATTATTCACTTAAATTCAAAATGGTTATCATGAGCATCATGACTATACGAAATAAAGTTATAAACATACTGTAACTATTTGACATATGCAAAAATTATCAATGATTATAGCGAGATTCAGTATAAATTATGTCACTTTTTGAGTTCGCCGAATTCGAAAAAAACAGGCTGAGTTAGCGAATTTTCAGCAATTCGCCATTTGGCGAAACCGTTTTTAAATCCCTACATTAACTGATAGTGATTTTTCCAATATTATCTTTTTAATTGATATTAAAAAAATCAAAATATTTATAAAATTATCATTTTATGTTAAAACATTAGTTTGTTGCACCATGTGAAATAAGAAGTTCGGCGGTTTTTTCACTATGATTTAAGGTTGCTATATGAAGAGCGGTTTCTCCATATATATCTTTTTCATTGATATTTGCACCATGTGAAATAAGAACTTCAGCTGTTTCTTTACTATTCCCACGTGCTGCAAAATGAAGAGCGATTTCTCCAAATTTATCTTTTTCATTGATATTTGCACCATGTGAAATAAGAAATTCAGCTGTTTCTTTACTATTCTCACGTGCTGCAAAATGAAGAGCGATTTCTCCAAATTTATCTTTTTCATTGATATTTGCACCATGTGAAATAAGAAATTCAGCTGTTTCTTTACTATTCCCACGTGCTGCAAAATGAAGAGCGATTTCTCCAAATTTATCTTTTTCATTGATATTTGCACCATGTGAAATAAGAAATTCAGCTGTTTCTTTACTATTCTCACGTGCTGCAAAATGAAGAGCGATTTCTCCAAATTTATCTTTTTCATTGATATTTGCACCATGTGAAATAAGAAATTCAGCTGTTTCTTTACTATTCTCACGTGCTGCAAAATGAAGAGCGATTTCTCCAAATTTATCTTTTTCATTGATATTTGCACCATATGAAATAAGAAGTTCTGCTATTTCTTTACGATTATATTCTGCTGCAATATGAAGAGCAGTTTCTCCATCTTTATCTTTTTCATTGATATTTGCATCATGTGAAATAAGAAGTTCTGCTATTTCTTTACGATTATATTCTGCTGCAATATGAAGAGCAGTTTCTCCATCTTTATCTTTTTCATTGATATTTGCATCATGTGAAATAAGAAGTTCTGCAATTTCTTTACGATTATATTCTGCTGCAATATGAAGAGCAGTTTTTCCATATTTATCTTTTTCATCTCCATCTGAAAGTTTCTTATTGATATCTACACCTAATGAAAGGAAATATTCACAAAGGGATGGAATATTGAACATCGGTGAAAAAACCAAGCAGCTGACTAAAAGATTAGTTTGATCGTAAAAAACTAAAAATGAATCAAGATTATTATATTTTTTGCAAGCAGGCAAGTCGATACTCATGATATGCTCATTCACTAAGAATGTTACAAAATCAATGTTATGTGAAATAATTGCATATTCCATGCATTCTTGATCTGGTTTTTGTTGTTTCAAACATTCACTCATTATCTCATGATTTCTTCCCAAAAATGAAAATGTTAGACATCTTTTTGTTATTTCTGAGTTAAATTTAGTTCTTAAGGGTGCACACGAGAGGATCATGTAAACTTCAGAATTTAGAACCTTATTTTTAGGCATTATCTTGGCTACCTATTTAGGCTCGAAAAGCAAAAAATATCAAAAAATACAACTTGAGTCCATTATGACCCTTTCATGGAGGTAGTTTTTATCCGCTAGTATTTTCCCTTTGAATCTCTTTACAATTCGAAATCAAATTCAAACCTCAGTAGAAGAAAGGAAGAATCGACTTACTACGGTTGTAATACGAATAAATACATATATTTAATTATTTTTATTTACATAATAATTGTTTGGAGCTCATATTCCATCAAATTTTTAAATAAAAACATTAAAATGTTGAAAATGTTCATATATTTTAATAGGGTTTTGGCACTTTATTGAGGAATTACTACATACATAGTCGAACTGAACTTGATATTTTGAAATTTAAATTATTTATCAAAATTAAAATTTAACTTGAAATTTATAATTATTTAGTCATATTTTGCATAATTCTAAGTAGATTTTGTAAAAAATCAAGAAAGAAAAATTTTAACGTGCTTTATTTTTTCTTTTTTATAATAATACATATTATTATATAATTAACATATTCATAATGTTTCACCCTTTCAAAAATATAATCTTCCTCCTCTCAAATAAACGTACATACGGGTGGCCTCTTTTTTCAAAAAATTAAAATTTGAAATTTTGGGCTCAAATATTAGAGATTTTTTCAACCTTCAACGATATATGTTGTCTATATCAGACCTCCTTTCTTTTTGATACTTAACATTGTTCCTAAATCTTAGCCGTTAAGGCTGTTCTGAAAATATTTTTTTTTCGAAAAAATTCGAAAAAAATTCTTAAAATTCAAAAATCCCTTAATTCCTGAGGATTTTGGAAAAAAGTTTTTACATGAACATGTGTATATTATATGAAGTATATTGATAAGGTAAAAATCAAATTTTATTGCATATTCATCGAGAAAATAAACTAACGAATCCCTCAAAATTGAGAGGGTAATCCTCCTCCTCTCAAATAAACGTACATACGGGTGCACCCTTAAGAACTTGAAACAAACAACATAATTCAAGTAATGAATATCCATAGTAAGAATATGGATATAAACTACTTCTAAGTGTTTGATTTACAGCAAATCCTTCTCTTTCAGTGAATGAAATGAATACTTCTAAGTCATTATTCATAATTGCTTTGTAAATTGTATTTTCTTTAAGAATGTCGAGATTTTCTGATTTAATTTTTTCGAAATTAACAGACTTGTCTAATTTAATGCCATATTCTTTGTAAAACAAAAAGTTTGAAACATATTCAACATTACAGACCTCTTTGATTTGATAATCATCTGATACGAGTTTTGCAAGATATAAATATGACTTTGTATAGCGATTATTATACGGAACGATACCCAAAATATCTTTTATTATAATTTGGGGAAGACGCTTCTTTGAATCAATCAAATTCGTTTTGATCATTTTGTAAATCGAGTTTAAATCTTCTTCTTTTTCCGTTTTCAGCTGATATAACGCATCATACGAATCAATGTAGTATTTGTAGACACTTCGCAGTTTACTGTATTTGCTCTGATTACTGTCTTGATCAGACATTAAAAAAATTTAAGAAGTAAAATATTACTAAAGAGATTGATTAAAATGTGGTACACTATTATCTTGTGGTGTAATTGCTTTACAGCTTCATAAGTTACGAAATTTTTCAATTTTAATATGCTCAAATTTATGATTTATTTCATTATTTAGGAAGCAACGGAGTCAGTAAAACTTAATGTTAGTATCGTTTGTTCATATATCAACAATGAAAAATATTGTCAATTCTAATATGCTCAAATCCATGATTTATTTCATTATTTAGGAAGCAACGGAGTCAGTAAGACTTATCATTAGTATCGTTTGTTCATATATCAACAATTAAAAATATTGTCAATTCTAATATGCTCAAATCCATGATTCATTTCATTATTTAGGAAGCAACGATGTCAGTAAGATTTATCGTTAGTATCGTTTGTTCATATATCAACAATGAAAAAAAAATATTGAATTCGACGATGAAACTGAATTCAAATCTCAAACCGCCCAAATTTTCGATGTCGAATCTCGGATCAATTGGATCTGAACAGATCGAACAAGAAAAGATACAGCAGGCAAATGCCATTGTAATCGACTCTGCACAATCACAGCACGAACAATCTCTTGAAGACGCACGTACTTGCATGTCAAATCGCGATGTCAACATCAGGACTAACGGTCTTAAAATGATTTTAGCTATGATGTCGAAAGGCCATGATGTTTCTGAGTTTGCACCACTTGTTGTACAAGAAGTTGCTTCACCAGATCCTGTTGGCCGTCAACTCGCCTATGTATACTTGAATCAGTACGCTGATGATGCTCTTGATTCAATTGTATTGGCTGTCAACACCTTCCAGAGATCCCTTACCGACTCTGATCCGCTAATGCGTGCATTAGCTATCAAAGTCATGTCATCCATCCGTTCTAGAGAGACAATTCCAGCTGTCCGCGATGCAATCATCCAGGTTTCTGGTGATGCATCACCTTACGTTAAGAAGGCGGCTGCATTTGCAATTATTAAAGCGGCAGGACTCGCTGAAGACGAAACAGAGACCGAGGAATACCTTCCTTCCCTCGAGCGCTTCATCAACGACGAGAATCCAATTACTTTTTCAGGTGCAATCGCTGCATATATGGCACTTTGCCCTGACAACATCGAATTACTTCATCCAAGGTTCAGATGGATCTGCCAGAACTTACCAAAACTCGATCCATGGGCACAAGTCTTTACTCTTCGCGCAATGACGATTTATGCTCGTTATTGCTTCAAGAACCCTGCAACGACAGATGTTGACGAGTCAAATGTTGCCTTCTGGGATGAGAATGCTCAAAAGGATCAGATTTCATCTGATCTTCTTCTTCTTTTATCCGCTGCCAAAAAGTGCTTCCTTTCCATCAATCCAGCGGTCGTTCTTGCTGCTGTCTCTCTTATATTCTACAGCGCACCTCCGTCTCAAATTTCCTGCGTCGCTCGTCCATTAATCAGATTATTCTACGATTCTCAACTTACAGCGCAGATCGCACTTACCACAGCCCTTACAATTGCTACAGTCTATCCACACGTGTTCCTTCCACACATGAACCACTTCTTTGTCCGTCGTAGCGACCTAACAGCCGTAAAGAAGCTCAAACTCCGAATCCTTACAGTTCTTGCAACTCCTGAGAACTCAGATCAGATCCTCTGCGAGCTCGCAATGTACTCCGGCTCTTCCGACCTCGAATTCGCCACTGCCGCCGTCAAAACCATGGGAAAGGTCTCAAACAACAACGACGTGATCATTCCTCTCTGCCTCATCAAGCTCCTGAAGTTGATGAACCACTCAGAAGGAGCTGTTCTCGCTGAAGTTGTGTTAGTTATCGCTCATATCCTCAGAAAGAACAGAAAGACCGATGATGAGTCACACGCACTTAAATTACTCTGCAAGAAATTCATTACAGTCAAGGATCCAGCTGCTCGTTCAGCTGTTCTTTCGATTGTCGGCGATATGCACCCAATTCATCCAGAATTTGCACCAGTTCTCCTCAAATGCATCGCAAAGCACTTCGGAGAAGAGCCTTCTGAAGTCCGTCTTCAAGCATTAACTCTCGCGGCAAAGATATTCTCTACCGGAAAGTCAGACAGTAAAATACCGATGTACATCATACAGCTTGGCATGAGAGACCAAGAGTTCGACGTCAGGGACCGCGCCAGATTCTTGGACGCTTTATTAACCACATCGAGTAAGAATATTTCGGATCGCGTACAGCACCTTTTGTTCCCAGAGAGGAAGGCTCCAACGTGGACCTCGAACGAGACACGTTTCATGAACTACCAGATCGGAACTTTGTCTCATCTCTTCGAGAGAGAGGTTGACGGGTACGAGGGACTCCCAGACTGGGCTCCTGAGGACCAGTTGCCTGATGAGTCTGTTAGATACGTCAAAGGACTCAAACCAACATCTTATGAAGACGATTTCAACAGAGACGATGGCGATGATGAAAACGAGGATGGTGGAAATGATGGAAAGAAGAAGGATGACGCTGGAGATCTCAATGACTTCTTCGGAGACGAGGAAAAGGAATATTATTCCGAAATCATCGAGGAAGAGGAAGAAGAAGTCGTTGAAGAAGCTGACGGCGAAGAAGACCAGGAATAAAAAAATATCTAGATATCTTTTTTTATATAATTTTATATTTTTTGAATTTTTATTAATTGGATTCTTACGTTTAAACCAATTACACATCATTAAAAATCTATTTAATCTCATTTTAACTTAGAATTTTGAAAAAATTCAATAAAAATAATTTTAAAAAGTTAGGATTTTGATATTTTTAGTCATGAAAAGTCAAATAAAATGGCAAATGATAATACATATGATAATACTGGACTCAATGAGAAACAATTGGAACAATAAAATTTGCAATTTTTGATCTGCCAACCAGTTAGCTTAACAATTGTTATTTTAATCATCCCATTTCCAGCTCTAGTATCGTTTAAACTTAATGTGTTAGTTAAATAATAATCAGGACCCAATTTATAACCAGGAGGTTTGTATGAATTCTCAGTGAGCAAGTAACCTGAGCCCCCAGCAGCTCCAAAACCTAATCCTCCAGGAGCTCCTCCTTCATACCAACCTCCCCCGCCGCCAGGAGAGGAATATCCACCTGCTCCACCAGTATTTGAACCTCCTAATCCAAATTCAGTGGGAATTGTTTTTTCTTTCTCTAAATTAACACCTCCTGGATTAGTTTGATTCCCTCCATAACTTTCAAATCCTCTGTAACTAGGATTAGTAGTGCTGTCTGCACCTTTATCTCCTCCTCCATATCCTCCTGTGTTATGGGTGGCATAATAATTTTTTGTAAAAGCATATCCAAAACCAGAACCTCCCCCACCGCCTGACACTATAATGCGGTGATAGAGTGTGTTAGAGAGGAGTCTGATATCAGTACCTCCTCCTCCACCTGAACCATAACTAGGTGATGAAAAATGTCCATGTCCGCCTCCGTTGTAGCCGCCATTTTGAGGGCCTTCAGTATGATTGGCAGTCCCTTGTCCGCCGATATAGAGAAAACCGTTTGTTGCTTGTTTGAGAAATATTGTTCCTCGTGAATAGCCACCTTTCCCACCATTACCATTATGGTAGCTTCCACCTTGTGCTCCCCAGGTCTCTAAAGTGTAATATCCTGGAGAGAAAGTGACAATATATGGGGTACATTCGAATAAACTTTCGCATGGATAATTGAATGTATATTCCTTCTCATCGCTAATTGTGACATTTAATTGTCCTTTTTCAGGTGACTGGAGTAAATATAAGAGAGCCATTCATTGAATTCATACCAATCCATTTTTTGCCATAATGTATAATGCTCAAAAATGTTTTCAATATATAAGTGAATATAAATATGTTCCATTGAACTATGGGATAATCTCGAGATTAAAAAAATTCATCCTTCAGAGTTGAAAATATAATAGACAGTAAATATACAAAATAACTAATAAATTCACAAAGCAGTTAAGTCCAAAGCTTTTGTTTCAAATTTCATGATTTTTTTGGATGAGAATAAAGCTTAAAGAAAGATCGTCCAAAAAGATGAAACTGAGGAATATGTGAATCACTTATTAAAAGCTATAAAATTTATCATGAAAATTATTTGACATGTAAATTTGTCAAAATATTTTTTGCTATGAGGAGTGCAACTGAAGAAAGCGTTGGAATCACTGAATACAATAATGATTTTGCAGGTATGAACGGAATTATAAAGCATAGGTACTCTGATTTTCATGTTCATGAAATTGATCAAGATGGAAAGATCATTTATCTTACTTCTCTTGAAAAATTAGAACCTGTTCCATTCCCAGAAGGTTTTGAAGAATGGGTTTCTAAATCTGGCTATCCATTTTTCAAATTTACTCCAGAAAATAAATATCAACTTTCACAAATTTACTTTAAACATCCAGAATTGAAAATTTCAATTGAAAACAAAGTAGTTACACTTGAAAAACAGACAAGAAGAAGGCCAAGACCAATGGTTATTTCAATGGTCATTTGTAAAGAGAATACAAACCAGCAAGAGTCCATTTCAAAGCTTTCCAAAAAGCTTAACATCAAGAAGAACCAAATAGGAATTGCCGGAAACAAAGACAAACGTGCAATTACAACACAAGTCATGACAATCAGAGATGTAGGCATTAATTCACTTGAACAACTAGCAAACCTTACAGACAAAATCAAATGCGGCATGTTTTACCAAGCAATGAATCCTGTAAACCTTGGAGATTTAAATGGAAATCATTTTACTTTAGTTCTTCGAAATTTAACAATCCCTGGATGCGAAACAGTCGAAGAACTTAGGGAAGGTCTGAAAATCAGAATGGAAGCTTTATCAGAAAAAGGATTTATAAATTATTTCGGAATGCAACGATTTGGAACAACAGCGATGTCCACGCATACAATAGGTATCGCAATACTTCGTAAGGAATGGCAGAAAGTCATTGATATGATCATGTCTCCTATAGAAGGAAACCAAGAAGATGTAAACAAGGCGAAAACGATTTACATGAAGACGCATGATGCAGAAAAGGCCTATGCATTAATGCCGAAGCATGCAGCTACAGAGAAATCCATTTTGGCCGCTGCGAAGAAAGGAATTAAAAATCCATTTGAATTATTTAAAGTAATTGACAGAAGACAGAGACTTTTGTATTGCCATGCTTATCAGAGTTATGTATGGAACCATTGTGCAAGTGCTAGAGTAAAAAGAAGTGGTTTTAAAGTTGTTCCAGGAGATATTGTCGAAGAAAACAGAAATTACGTGACAGTTAAAGCAGGAAATGAAAGCAAATATTCCCCGTTCGATATTGTCATCCCTCTTCCAGCAGATGGCTGCATTTCACCAGATGCCGAAGAATTACTCAAAAAAGACGGAATAGAACAATCAATGTTCTCTGCTCAGAAGGAACTTGGCCTTGTAGGTGATTATAGAAAGTTATTTGCTCAACCAACAGATATTTCCTTTGATATCATTGAACACGACGATAACGATGCAGAACTTATTGATTCCGATATAGACAAATTAGAAGGAAGAACAAACAAAGGAAATCACGTTCCTGGAGGAAAATTCAAATCTGCAGTTGTTGAATTCTCTCTTGGACCAAGCCAATACGCAACAATGTGCATGAGAGAACTCATGAAACGTACTACTGAGTGGTGGAATGACTCTGACATGTCAAATAAGTCTGAATCTGGTTGTTCGAGCTGGCACTGCAGAATTTGCTAAAATCAGATCAATGCTTATCTTGTATATTTGATATTAATATATTGCAATTAGAATTATAAAGAATTGTGTTTTTTTGGAAAAATAATTTTTTATAACACATTAAACTAACCACTCAATGTATTATAAAATGAGTTTGATGACTCATATACCCTTCCACTATGAATACTTAAGAATAATTTATGATGAATAAATTATTCTTAGAAATGATTGAGTAATTAGTCATTATTAGAGTTTTCTATAAGTAATTTGTATCAAACCGAAATCTTACTCAATGACACAAGAATATATGATCTATATCAATACAATTTTTAGGAAATTAAACCAAATTCTGTTGGCAATAGAGATAGTTGGACGAGTTTTAGCAAAAGAAGTCATGCTTGTGATCTATGGATACTCAAATCAGAAAAATCATTAAAAAAATAATAAAATTTTGGTGTTTATCAAAAATATAATAATAGTGTAATAGTGTATGTTGGACTGAAGCTTATTTCCTAATAGAATTCAATATTATTTCTCTTTGTTTCGCTTGGAAAATCGGAATTCCTAATTTTGTCACTTTTTAATGGAGCTTGAGAAGTGGATTGAACTTATAAAAACAGGAAACCCCTTACCAGAGAGCTGTCTTATGATGCTTCTTGACAAGCTTTCTGAAGTGTTATATCAAGAGCCAACATTAATTCCTATGCAATTACCAATTACAATTTGTGGCGACGTCCATGGACAGCTCTTCGATGTTTTCGAACTATTCCGCGTTGGAGGACCTGTTAAGGAAAATAACTACCTGTTTTTGGGTGATTATGTCGATAGAGGTTACTTTTCTATTGAAACTTTTTCATACCTTGCATGTTTGAAGCTATTATATCCAGGACATGTTACATTACTTCGTGGCAACCACGAAGCTCGTCAAGTTAATGGAACATACGGTTTATATGACGAATGCATTAGTAAATACGGACATGGAGGCATTTTCCGTGCATTAAACGAAGTATTCGATCTTCTTCCAATCGCTGCTATCGTCAATGACTCTATTTTATGCGTTCATGGTGGTCTTTCTCCAAGTATCAAATTTGTCGAGCAAATTCCAATTTACAATCGTAACCAAGAGCTCCCAACAAAAGGACCTCTTTGTGACCTTTGCTGGTCAGATCCTATCGATGGATGCGACGATTGGAAACAGAATGAGCGCGGTGCTGGTTATATCTTCGGCCAACAGCAAACAAACGAGTTTATGCATAATAACAAACTCACTTTGATTGCTCGCGCCCATCAAATTGCAAATGAAGGATATCAATATTTCTTTGGCGAAGAAAATATCGTCACGGTTTGGTCGGCACCTAACTATACATATAGATTAAAGAACAAAGCTTCAGTTTTGAAGATAGGAACAGATATGAAGCGAAATTTCTTAATTTTCGACGCTGTTCCTGATGATCAGAGAGTCATTCCTGAAGAACTTCAGTCTGCGTACTTCGCATGATATATGTTTTAATTATTACCTTTTTAAAAAAATAATTATATTAATAAGCACTTTTCTTTTTTTGTTTCTGGCTTGATTTCTGTGTATTCTGCTGTATCTAAGTCTGAATGTATTGATATCTCGAATGATTTTGTATCAAAGAGTAAATATTCGATCTTATTTTCGTGAAAATTAAAAGTTCCGACTGAAGCAACTCTGTTGTAAAAATCTATAAAGCTAGGTTCAACATATGATGAAATTAAGAAGCTAAATTGGCCAATTGCTCGATTCAGATGCTCTTGAAGGAATAAAGTAAATCTTAAACCTGAATCTTCAGAAACATTGTATGCATTACCGGCACAATCGGTAATGTATAACTTAAATACCTTAGATTCCTGATTAATGGTCAAAATTCCAACATGTTCTTTGATTATGTCTATTTGTGTGTTTGTATATGAACATATTGGCAATCTCTCTTCGTCTCCTGAAATCACATGTATTTTGCATGTGTATGATAACAAGCTATCGAGAAATATTGTTATGTATTTTTCTTTTTCAGTAATTTGTGAATCTAAGATGTTTCCCATAATAAACACATCGGTTGGATTAGTTTTTTCTATTAAACTCGCTAAACACTCGTTGAAAGTTTGGAGATTTTGTTCAAATTCTCTACTTTTTCCAATTTGTGGCTTTCCTATCATTAATATATTTGTTCCATTCAGAGTAATATTCCTTCTTGTAACATTTCTTTGTAAAACAGATGCAGTGCTCTTGAGATTGAACAATGGCTTAGACATAAAGCTAAAATCCTTCAAAATTTTCGTCATGTAAATTGTAAACTAATAATTTGTCAAATAATATTTTTTCGTGATGCCTGTCAATTAATTTTGAGAAGTTTACACTTGGCTTCCAAAATTACTGATGGCCGCTCACAAGACCCTCAGAACAAAGCGCATCCTTTGCAAGGCAATGAAGGTTAACCGCCCAATGCCACAGTTCATCCGCCAGATGACCGGCGTTCGCCATATCCGTAACCCACTCACACGCCACTGGCGCAGAAGGAAGATGAACATCTAAACTATCGATGATTATAACATTTTAATGCTGTTAACGCTCCTATTTAGAATAAAGTTTATATACATCGAACTTATTACCTTTATTTTTTCTGATATATCATAATTTTTTATTTTTCTTCTTTTTCATAATTTATAATCAAAAGACATTGTTTTATAATCTATTTCCTTTGAGTTCTTCCATATAACTTTATCATATTTTTTTAATGTCTCAAGTTTCAATTACCAATCTGAGTTTTAGAACTACGCCAGATGACTTGTACAGAGCTTTCAGTCCATTTGGTGAATTAACAGAGTGCAGATTAGTTATAAATGAACGTCAAGAATCAAAAGGATATGGTTTTATATCATACAAAAGTTCGTATTGTGCATCTCAGGCTATTGCAGCTATGAATGGCTTCAAAATGGATGGATGTAATATAGTAGTTAGTTTATCTCATTCTCGCAAAGGAGAAAAAAATACAAATCCGAATCAATTAGATGATGCTCCACGAGATGGAGATAGCAGACCAATGTACAATAGGCGTAATTGAAATACAAAAGCGTACATTAATTGCTAGCTTCCTTGAAAAAAATAATCAAATGTATTTCTTACTTTTCCATTTGAAATGGAGAACCTGTTAATCCTCATAATTTGTTTTGTTTGTAAGTAATAAAACTCCTAATGTTTTTAAGGCATCCAAATCATTTTTCATTGACATTGCTAAAATCTCGGTTTTATGTAATTAACTGTTCAGATACTTGATGATTTTTAGATTTGTAAGACAATAGGGCCTTGTTTTGAAATTAAATATGACAGATTTCGTTTTCATGATTTCAGAGAGCAGAAGTGTTTTGAATCAGAAAAAAAGTTGTTTATATCGCTGACAATTGTAAAGTGGTATTATTTAGTTTAATCATAAAAAATGAAAGAGTTGCTTACTCAAATGGAGAACCGCCAGCCTGTTCCTGAGAAGGAGCTTGAGCTGGTGCCTCGGTGGATGTAGTGTTGAGGAGGCCTTCAAGTTCCTCATTCGAAACAATGCAAGCGTTTCTAAGCTGCTCGTATGCATCTGATTTAGCCTTTTCGATTTCAGCGATAGCGCTACCCAAGCTAGCATAAGCATGCTTTAGGCGGCGAACTTTGAAATCATTATACTTTTCTTTAACAGCTATGAATTCCTGAAGCTTTTTATCGGCTTCATCAATAGTCTTCTTCTTAGCTTCGATAGCATTTCTAATATCATTCTCAAGTTTGGCTTGTTTTGTTCCACCTTTCTGGCGATCGACTTCAAGGTCATCGCGGAGTTTCTTAATGTGAGCTGAAGCTTTCTTGACTGCAGCTGTCTTTTCCATTGTCTCATCTGACACACGGAAAACAACATCAAAGCGGGCAGCAATATCATTCAAGTCTTCAGCTGTTCTAGACTCTGCATTGACAAGCTTCTGGTTGTATTCGAGAACTGTTTCAAACTTTTCGCAAACTTGATTGAATTTATCGACAAATTCTGGAGTTTCCTTTTCTACAACAATTTTAAGATTCTTAAGAAATTGTCTCATGTTCTCGATCTCCTTGTTGTGGTAGTCAGCTGACTCACGGCTGCGATCGACAATTTCAAAGAGGTCGGAGAGAAGTTTCTTTTTTGTCATGAAATAAAAGGTGACGTTTTGTTCTAATTACAATGACACTTCATATTATCAAAAGGAGTGTAAAGATTTAGTTGCCTGTGATTTTTATGCTTATTTATAAATAGGTTAAGCCTGAACTATAAAAATTTGAATATGAAAAATCTACATTTCTTATAATATGCTTAACCACAGAAGGCACACCTAATTTTGTAGTGTTATAAAGCTATCTATAAGTCAAAATTTGAATATTATTAATTTCATTTGATAATGAAAAATATTGAAGGATGATAAGCCTAACAACATTAATGGAGTGATAAACTTACATTTTGTGAAGGGATACTTAATGATTTTTATGAGCTATATTAGATATTTAATACCAATGCACAATTTCCCAAAACAATATGTTCAAAAAAGCTTTGATAATTGCAATAATAAAAGACATGTTAGGTTCCTCTATGTATTTCAAAAACTCGAAGGGAAAAATAAAACAAAATAGTTGAAATTTTTAATTTCAATTTTAATGAATTGGGCACATCTCGTCGATGACCTTTGCGACCTCTTCCTTTGTGTTGTGATTGCAAATCTCAGCGAAATTGCCGAGCTTTGTGTATTCAGCTTCCTCGAACTTGCATTGTTTGATCGCTTTATCGACAGCGCGGCCGTAGCACTCCCAATCCTTGATCTTGATATCGTCGGATGGCTTAGAGTTGTGTCCTCCGAGTTTGTGGACGATATCTAAGATTGTCTGCTTGGCCTTCTTGTGGCGAGCGATTTCATCATGGAGCTTCTTAGCGTACTTGGCAGCTGTGATGGAATCCTTAGCTGTTTCCATACGCTTCTTGAGGAAGGTCTCTTCTGTCTTCATCTGGTCAACTCTTGACTTAATTGGAGTTGCGATTTCGGCGTTCTCGTAGTTGATGTCCATTGGCTCGGCTTCGAGGAGGAACTCGGAGAGTGGTGTTTCAAGCATGTCCTTGTCACCATAGTAGCGGGTATCAGAGCCGTAAGTGTGGATTCTTGTATAATTGACAAGGCCGCCGATTGTGGACTCTGGATGGGTCAAGATGAAGTGGAGTAAGTGGTTTGTCCACTCGTTTGTACGGAATGTTTCGATTTCGTAGTCATAACCGTGGGAATATGAGGACTGGATGGAGTTAGCAGCTGAGAGGACGGCTATGTTATCTCTGCCCTTGAAAAGCTTGGAAACGGAGCCGGAGTAGCAAGCTTCAATGGCGATGAAGAGCTTTCCGAACATTCCTTTCTGTTCCATAAGATCAACAACTTCCTTGATCTCCCAACCATTGATATGGTGGCCGCCGGCTGGAGCGCAAAGGTAGCCCTTGAAGCCGTGGTCATTATAGTAGACGAAAACGTTATCCTCTTCAGTTGAGCGTAAAACTGGAAGGCCTGGAACCTTCTTGCCTGTAAGAACGTTGTAGAAGTTCCATGCTGTGACGTTCTCACCGCGGTAATCGATATTCTTTCTTCCTGGATAAACGCTGACGTACTTCTTGATGTTGTAGACGTAACCTGGATATGGGTTTTCATCGCAATCAACAATATCATCATAAGCCATTAAGATAATATGGTCTTTCTTGAATCCTCTTGAACGAAGAATTTGATACATCTGAAAAGCATCAGCTTGATGGCGATAGTTCTTGTATGTCTTTGAGCCTGCCATAATAACAGCCCAATTCTCTGCTGAAACTAACTGAGCTAGGAAAGCAGCAAGCATTTTGGCAGATTGACAGACTTGACAACAAAATTTCAAAATTGACAAAAGAGCTTGTCAGATAATAATATCCTTATATTGATGTCTTCTATTAAATTTCTTCAAAATAGGTTAGAGATTTTATTATTTCTGAGGTTTACAATATTACATTCAAAATATCAGATTCATGAAATCACTGCATAATTACAATCGTTGAATAACCCTTTAAATTTGGCAATATTTGATTAGTGTATCTAACGGAAATTCTTGGCTCTTTTTTCAAACCTTTGCAAAATTTCAAATCTTACTCAGCTAATCATACGATAACTAAGATATATTATATGATCATGAAATACATATTTAGAATTTCTTTGCAGAAGCCTTTCTTTTTTCTGGATTTAATCGCTCAGTGTTTCGCATGGACTAAGCTCTACTTATGCTTGATTTTTAGATTTAACTGACAATAAACTTTTTCATACCATTCATACGCAATACAACTCTTCAAATTAACACAAAAATTGATTAAATTGTGCTAATGCAGAGGTATTGTAAACTATGTAAGTAGTCAAGTAAAAACTGTGATATCCTAAATATATAAATTTATACAAACAAAAAATAAAATATAAAATAAAAAATGAATAAAATTATATCTAGTTGCGGGTTGCTGTCTGAGGTCTTCTTCTAACGGTTTTTGGTCTCTTGATCTCAATCTGGTTATTAAGTTGGCGAGATGAGTTTGCAGCTGTAATAATTGCAGGATGAGCAAAAATTTCATTGTGTTCTTCACCAGGAAGCTGTGGGAGCTCTGTCTTCAATACAAAACCACCACCAAACTCTGGTAGTGCTGTATCTTTTGCGTTCTGAGTGATAAAGAAAGTAGATTCACCAACAGTTGAAGCAGTTTTAGGTCTCGTGCCTTGAGATGTCTTTGCACGAATAATCTTGCTCACATTGTAGTTCTTTCCGCGTAAAACTGCTGTTGTTCCTCTTCTTTGTGTCACTTTTCCTCTTAAAGCATCAATTTTTTCTTTGATTATTTCGATTTGTTCTCTTGTGTCATCGATTTTTTCACTTATTTCCTTGATCTCTCTATCCTTATCAGCTATAGCATTTGTCAAATTCTCTATATTTGTCGGATAAGCAGCTGTCAACTTCTTTCCATGAGGAAGAACTTTTTGATTTTTCATTTCAATTTTCTTTTCTATTTCCTTCTTTTCGTCGAGTAATTTCAGCCATTTTACATGAGCTTCATCAAGTCTTGCAGTTAATATGCAGTGGTATCTTAGTTGCTGTGCATAAGCAGGATTCGTGAATTGATAAACACTCCATCTATGTATATTTCTTGGTATTCCAAATTCGTTTGTAATTGCAACGGTTTTTTGCATTTCCAAATTGTATTCGTTGTAATATCTTCTGTAATCGCTTTGCAAAGTCTTCACTGATCTCTTCTTCTCTTCCAAGATAAGTTGTGTATGGACAAGCTTGGAATACTCGTTCTCTAACCTCTCAATTTCTTGTTTCTTCGTATCAAACAATGTATAACCTTTTTCCAATCTGTTTTGGATTGTTTTTATGTCATATCTTAATTGGTTAACCAATTTAGTTCTTTCATGTAATTGTTCGTTCATAACTTGTATTGATGTCTTTATAGCAGTTATCTTCTTGCTTTCCAATGACTTTTTGTGTTCGAAATCATCATAAACATTCGTCAAAATCTGTTTCTGTGACTTTAAACCTTCACTTGCTCTTGTTGCTTCAATGACCATTTTTTGTAAATCATTTCTTTCTTGAGTTAAATTTATGACTTCGTTTCGAGCTGTTTGAGTCAAGAAACTTGTTTTAGCAGCTTTGAGCTCTGTTTCTCTAAGATTTGTTGATAATTCACTATAGATATCACATTGTTCTTCCAAAGACTGCAAAAGATCTTTTTGTTCATCGACCAATTTGATCCATTTTCTTTTGAAAGCGTTTCTTTCATTTCTGTTCACTTCTATGAGTTCTGATTGTCTTCTGGTTTTGTCTTCATAGGAATCTAGTAACTTAGTATCATCCTCTATCTTCTGGAGAGTTCCTTCGCGTTCATCTGATACTAAAAGCTCTCTGGCCATCAAATGCTGAATTTCGGATGTTTTGTTATCGATATCAATCTCGAAATTGCGCAATTTAATATTAACATCTTGAGCATCTTTCTTTTCTAAGAACTTTTGGTTCCGAAGATTTTGATTTTCTCCTTGAATTTCCATTTGTTTCGTTTTTTCTTCGGAAAGATGTTTCTTTATGACTGTCTTTTCATGAATAATAGATTGGATGTTCCTTTGATATCTTTTTGACTCATTTTGATCTCGAGTAATTTGATTTTGTTTCATATTCATATCATTTTTGAGTTTTTGGTTATCTTTTCGAGCTTGAAACTTCTGAGCAAGCATTTCCTTCCTCATTTCCTCTGTATCATGTAAACTTTGGGTAGTTAATTCTACCATTTCTTTTGCATTTTCAAGTTGACTTTGAAGATTCTTAATTTCTATCTCGCTTTCACCTATATTAGAGTTAACTCTAAGAGCATCTGCCTTTTTCATGTGGTTGTTATTAACTAATTCGTTATGTTGCTTTCCTTTTGCCATAATTGTCTGTTTCATCTCGCGCAGCTTCTTCATTTCATCTAGTTGACTCTTAACGAGATTGCTTTTAACAACCATTTGCTTGCCAATTCGATCATTTTGAGTAACGATTTTTTCACGATTTTTAACAACTGTTTCTTTAATTGACTTGTTTTCATCTTTGACAACGAGACACTTTTCTCTAAGATCATTACGTTCTTTCGATGTTTTATCATAGTTTGTTTTGATATTTGCTAATTCTGCTTCCATTTTATCAGAATTTTCGGTAATTGTTTTAATGTGATCTAATATTTGTTTAGTTACTGCGTTTTCTTTTGATATTTGCGTGGACAAATCATGAATTTGCTCTTCTCCTTTTGAAATCTCTTCGCGTAACATTTTAACATCATTTGCTACTTGTATCGCAGATTCTTCATCTCCATTTGAAAACAGTCCATCCTTTTCTACTTGGTTTTGAAGAGTATATAAAGTTTTTGATAACGATTCTATTATAGAACGAGAACTTGTTTCTGATTTATGTAAAGATTCAATAATACTAAGAACTTCTGCGTGTCTTTGCTTGAAACTATTTAATTTTTCTGTATCTTCATTTGAGGTTTTTAATATTGTTTGAATCTTTGATGCTGCTGATATGATTTGTGCATTCTGATCTGATAATTTAGCAAGAAGCAATTGATTTTTGTTGAATATGCTTTGAAAAAACGTTAATTCTTTATTAAATTTTGCTTTATATGGGAAAAATGGAGAATCATCCGGAATTTCTTCCTGTACTTGAGCAGCTAGTACTTTTACTTCTTCAAAGGAAGCTGATTCTGTGTCAAAAGTAATTTCATTGAGTTTAGAATCATTTCCTTTCATAAATTAAATTTAACGTACATTTATTTACAACTATTTATTCAATTCAATGAGCTTTATCAAAAGTCATAATCGACAATTACTTCTAAAAACGCGTTTTTAGGAAGTCAATCATTAGGTTAAAGAGTACAACATGTGTAAATTCCTATCATAATAGCTATTTATTTTATTTAATGCTTAATTATCGCATATTCTTTCAAATTTTCGATATCAAGTTTTTTAATTTTTTGCATATAAAGCATCATCGACCAGTTATTAGTTTATATCATGCTTTGTATTGCATGGAAGCTTAAAATCTTATAGTATCACCATATTTTTATATCAAAAATGAATTCAATTAATCAAAACTACAGTATGCTGTTAACAAAAATAAATTATGTTTATAGTTAATTCGTTTTGTAAATACATAAGGAAAAAATGCTATAAATAAAATACAAAAATTTTTTATTAAGTTTACAAATAAAAGATAACAATATAGCTTAGTCTGAATCACTATCGTTATTATAAGAGCGTCTTGTATAGTTTGATCTTCCGCCTCTTCCGCGTGTTGGTCTTCCTTTTTCGCGAGTTTGTGGTTTGTAGCCTTTGTAGCTAAATCCAGATGATGGAGGCCTCTTCTTAGAGAAGTCCGTATTGAATCCACTTGCTGAATTATTCGATGCTGATGTCGAATTCTGGGATTTCTTAGAATCTAAGTGTTTCTTAAGAAGATCTTGGTATGTGAAGCCTGTATCCTTGGATTCTTGCTGTTTTTCGGGTTGTGAACTCTTCTTCTTATTTGAATCCGAATCTGAGTCAGAACTAGAATCAGAATCAGAATCTGAGTCAGATTTATCAGAATCAGAGTTGCTATCTGAAGAATCTGAATCACTTCTAGCTAATTGTCTGGAAGAGCTCTGAGTTTCTGGTTTTGAAGCTGATCCCATTGAAAAATCAAAAGTAGAAAAGTCAGAATCTTTCTGCTTTGGTGCAACTGGGCGGAGATTTGCAAAACCTAGTTTTCTAACTGGCTCTGGTTCTTTTGGCTTCTCTTCTTCATGTTCTGATTCAGAAGATTCTTGTGATTCTGATTTTTGACTTTCTGTATCAGACTGAGATGAAGAACTATTGGTAGATGAACTACTGGTAGAATTTTGAGAAGATTCTGTGGTTGATTCTTTGGATTCTTCAGATTGTTGTTGATTTGTAGTAGAATCATTATCATTCTGTAATGCTTGTGTATTATTTTCTGATTTAGCAATTTCAGTAATGGTTGGTGCAGGAGATACAACTTGTGGAATAATTTTCTGTTCATTTTGAACTTCTTTCGGAACAATTTGGGTATTTGTGGTTGTATTTGAAGCTCTATCAAATGATCGTCTAATATTAATTGCAATTTCACGAAATTCTTCATCCCAATTTGGTCTATAATCTGTTGGAACTGAAATATCTGTTTCAATTGATGTATCCTTAAATTTAGACAATGATGGTCCAGCTTGAACTGAATAATTAGATTTTTCAGAAATTTTCATTGGATTAATAGAAAATTCTTGGGGTTTTCTTACAGCATCTGCAAAAGGATGTGGTTCTGGAATTGGACTGCATGATTCTCTTTGTCTTTTCTTACTTTCTTCCTCTGATAAGCCTAAAAATTTCCAAAGAAACGACATTGAGAAATTGAAAAAAAAATTGCCAAATTTGAAAAAGAAAAAAGTAATTGGTTCCACCAGGAATCGAACCTGGATTTAGGGATTCAGAGTCCCCAGTGATAGCCATTACACTATGGAACCTTCACATTGATCTTTGTTTTTTCAAAATAAAGTTAAACTCAAATTTACAAATACATTCAATTGGGACTGAGCAACAAATTTCAATGAATCTTCAAGGATTAGAGAGTCTTCCAACAGTAATATTCGAATTACATGGACAAAAGCCTAAACCACCAACTGCACATACAGCAAAATCAACTAAATCTTCACACGATATCGATTATGGTGTTGTAGCCACTATAATTGTTATAATATTAATCATTTTACTCGCAATTGCAATATATTATTTAATTAAAAGGCAGAAGAAAGCTAACAATGATAATGATATAGAATATACTCGGGCAATTTTAGGTGATGATACATTTGAATTTAGCCAATTGGATACAATTTAATATATTTATTCCTAGTCATTCTGTCCAATTGAAATTTCATTGTGTGTCATCATTTACCGTTTTTCAACAAAACCAAAGTATTTCCAGGCGGATATTTAGTATTCATATTTAAAACCATATGCCTATCATCCCTTGTTATTAAACCTTATTACATTTTTAATTACTTTTTGCTTTTTATACGAAAGAAATATCTAAAATTAATTCTAACTATTATAGAATGAGACATTATGATGACAACTTCTTTCATTCTTCAAACTCTATCAGTTTCCTCATTATATAAAGCTTTTGAGATTATGAACATATTGATAGCTGTAATATGTCATTTGTGCTCTGATATCATTATTTTTGTTGAAATAAAATGTGAACATATCATATCATCAGAGGATTGTTTAAAATTAAAAGAAATTGGATTTATTCATCAATGTTTATAGAAGAAATAGTTGACTCTCATTTGATGATTCTTGTTTTCATCATAGAAATTGGTGTATATCATTTTTACATTGTAGTAATCATGATTGGCTGACACTTTTCAAAATTGAAAGGGCACCGTTTAAAAATTAAATAATCTTAGAAAAAAATGGAGGATTTGAGTTCGAGTTCTTACAATACTGAGAAGGAAGATTTAGTTATTCCTGATCAGGATAAGTCTATTACTGTTCAAGATTTAACTTACAAAAACGAAAGGCTTCAGGAAATGAACAGTCAACTTCAATCTTCATTAGAAACGGTCAAAAATCAGCTCAAAGAAGCATTAACATATAAGAATTCGATATCATCGATGGGACAACAAATTCAATCACTCCAAGAAAAAGTAACAGAAACAACAGAGCAAAATAAGAAATTAACAAAGCAATTACAATTATTATCTAACCAAAAGGAAGAGAATGAAAAAGCATTAAAAGAAGAGATTACAAAGGCTAAGAATCAATACAACGAAGCAGTTTCTAGCAATCAAAAACTCAACGATAAGAATCTTCGCCTTAGAAAAGAAAGGGATGATATTGTTGCAGAGCTCGGTAAAAAGCAAGAATTGGCAGAAGCAGTCGGAATCGAATTGCAAAAGCTTATGAAAAAGAAGAAACGAATTTGTGATAAATTATCAGCAGCAAACACAGCAAATCAACAACTTAAAGTTTCGATTACAGATAATGAACGTAGAATACAAAACATATCAGCTGAAAATAAGCTTCTAAAGCAGGAAATCGACGATCTTAAGTTACAAGTCGGTACCCAACAAGCTATTCAAGGCGGTAATTCTAATGCTATTGGACGTCTTAATGATGATCTTAAAGTTAAAATGGAGAGTATTTCAGTTCTTGAAGATACAATCAAATCTCAACTTTCTGAAATCGAGCAATTAACAGAACAGCGTGATACTCTTGTTCAGCTCCTTCAGAAATCACATTGTGTTTTATGCAAGACAGAAACAACAACTTTTTCAATGAAATCGGAACTTGATTCTTTGAAAGCAAGACAACAACAGGTTCAATCGAAGAATTTCAAGATGTTCCCAGAGCCATCATTCTCTCTTTCCGGCTTAAATATTCCATTTGAAGGAGCTCTTGGAAATGAAACTCAAAAAATTGTTAAATATGAGCATTATCAGCCACAACAACGCATCCAACTCATATTAAATGAATCACAAAAGAGAATTGCTCAATTAGAATCAACAGTTTCAGAATTACAAGAAGAAAAGGCGAAATTTGAAACAATTTCAACAGAATCAGAGAAGAAAGCAGAGATGAATCTAGAATTCCTTAATGCAATCATCAAAGAACTCAAGAACCTTGCATCAAATGAAACACAACTCTCAAGAACATCAGGAATCAAAGAAGACAGAAGTTTCATTTCTTTTGTTGCCCAAAAATGTTCTGAAGTTGATCCTCTCATCAAAGAGATTGCAGCAAGTAACTCTAAATACATTCCTTCATACTTCTTCTTCGCTGATGACCAAGAACAAAGAATTGCAACCCTTCAAAGACTTTTGAGTCCAAATGAAGAAACAATGTCACTTTTCATGACACAATTCTTGTTAAATATCCAACTTAGAAGGCAATTAAACAAAGCAACAATTGCTGCAGAACAAGCACATGAATTCCAGCCAATCATTGAATCCCTTGGTGTCCAGAAAGCTGATGAAATTCCATTGTTAATTGATGACTACAAAGAACAGATTGAAAAACTTTCTACAGCAAGAACACAACTCAGAAAGAGTCTAAAACAGTCTCAAGCAGCTTTATTGCAACAGAACAAAGCAGACAACACATGCCAAGTTGCATTAGAAAAGCTGCAATTGCAAGTTGACACACTTTCAAATGAAAGAGAAATTTTGGAAGTGAAAGTCAATGTCATGGAAAACGACATCAGAGCTAAAGACACAGAAATCAAGTCCCTCAATAAACAGTTAACCGATGCATTGGCAAGATGCAATGGCGAAAAAGAAACAGAACTCGAAATGGACATCCAAAACAAACAGAACCAAATCAAATCATTGAATGAACAAATTTCGCAATTACAGAATCAACTTGAAGGAGCAGCAGCTATCCAACAAAGAGCATTAAAGAAGCAAGAGAATGCTCATAGAAAGATGCTCGAAGAACTCAGTCTCCAGCTCACACAAGTTGCTGAAGAAAACGAAAGAAAATTCCAGAAATCGAAGAAAATCATAAAAGCTTTGAAAACAAATCATCAGCTGGAAATGGAGAAATGCAAGTCGAATTACGAAGCTTCTAAGGCAATGCTGGAACAATCAAATGCACAGCTTGCAAATAAAGCTAAAGAAGCAACAGAAAACACTCAAAAACTAATCCAAAACTTGGCAGATTCCGAAAAGGAAATTCAAAAATTGTCAAGTGAAAATGCGAAATTATGTGCGACACAGAAAGCTCTTGAAGTCCAATTAGCAGCAGCAAAGGATAAAGCTGTAAAAGAGAAACAGAACTCGCAGAACCAGATAGCTGCACAAGCTTTGGTCATTGAATCAAAGATTCAAGAGAGAGCAAACCAAATTAAACAGGAATTCAATGAGCAGAAGAAAAATTTGGTAGATTCTGTATTGCGGACTATTGGACAAGTGTATAGTATTAATCATAATGTGTTTGATGAACAGAATTTGGATCAATTGTTGATTCAAGCTCAAAAGGATCTTGAAAAATTCAAAATGTTCCAATCATCGACTCCCACTTGCTGTTTAACAGATCATTAATTCATTTGTTTTGTTTGATTCTTTAATTATTCTTTGTAAATTTTAGGTATTCTTATTTTTTTTCGAAAATACATATGATTTTTAACAAGAAAAGGACTTATTATGCGAAAGTATAAATATATTACTGAAAACCTATACTAATTAAAATTGATGAAATAATTAAACTCTATATTATAGATTATTGCATTTCGGATCCTAAAATTCTTCAAATCTCGCATGGTATAAGTAGTCAGCCAATTTTCGCTTGATATTTGTCCGGCGATTGATGAAAATTTTATGGAGTGTCAAAATTCTGGCCGGCCAGTTTTCTTTTGAAATTTTTCTGGAAAAGGAAAAATCTCTGATATCACTTCATTTTTATCGATGTTTGATATATTCGACAGTCCAATACTCTATAGAAGAGTTCCATCACTCTTCGAGGTCGCTCGTGCTATGCAAAGACAAAGAATGTTAGAAGATCTCTGGCTCTCAGATTTCGATGTCCCAGAAATGTACTTCTACTTCACATCAAACGGTTCCAAGGCTAATAAGAAGAACAAGAAGACAAGAGCTGAGAAGAGATTAGCTAAGTCTCAAAAGGAACAAGAAGCTAAATCAGAAGAATCTCCTAAAGAAGAAATTCCAGCCAAGGAAGAAGAGAAACCAGTTGAAGACAAGAAACAAGAAGAAGCTCCAAAGGCTCCAGAAGAAGCTGTTATTCCATCTAATGAATCTGCAACTCCAATTGAAACTGAGAAGACCGACATTGAAGCTCTAAAGGTCGAAGAAACTAAGGAAGAAGTCGAAGCTCCAAAGTCTGAAGAGAAACCAGAAGAAGTTCCAGAACCAATGAAGATCTCTCCATCATTCTCTGAAGAATTACCAAAGCTTGAAGAAACTCCAGTGTTAGAAGAAGCAAAAGTAGAACCAGAATCATCAATCAAGCAATCAAAGTCCGAGGAACTTCCAAAGTTAGAAGAGAAGGAAGTCATTGAACAGAAGCCAAAGGAAGTTATTCCAGCTAGACCTGAAGAAGATGATGATGAATTCACATGTGAAACACGTACAATAACAAAGAAGGGTGGTTTCAAGCATGTAATCCGTACAGAACGTAATGAAAATACAGGAATTATCATTGTTACAGAAACTAGGGAGATTGGTGATAAGTCAATGTCTCTTAAGAGAGTAATGTACCCAGATGGTGAAGTTGAAGAATTTGAGTCAAAGAAGAATCTTACTGATGCAGATTTAGAAGAATTCAAAGCAAATTGGATCAAAGCTTTTCCTGTTGAGTAAATAATTTAATTTTATTTAAATATAGTTGAATTTTTTGAATATATTTGGTTTTGAAATGAATGAATGGCAGTTTCCAAAATCAATACTTGAAAATCACATTACAATGTGGCGAAAATGCTTAATTCTCTTGAAGATATGTTATATTTAGCCATTATCTGTTAACTTTTGTTAGTATATAGTTAAGTAATGAATGTAGTATAGATATTTTGATGAAATATTGTTTAAGTGAATATTGAGAAATAATGAAATGGTTTTAATGTAATTTCTGCATAATTAATCAAAATAATATATAAAATGAAACAATTTTTCCGATTTTATTTCTTGATTTGTTCAGCACAATATATGAAAAATTTAAATGGACTAAGAAATTTTCCAAAAAAATTTCAATTTTCGTTTTTTTAAAATCAAAAATGTTAGATTTCAAAGCATTTTCATGATTTTGAATTTTTTTTTGGAAATATCGCAAAGTTCGATATTATACAGGAAGCCTGCCTCAAGGTTAATCATGGCAATTTCGAGCTCATATCCAGTTTATAAATTTAAAATTGTATTTTTGGCTAATAAAAGATATTTTGATCAACAACTATAATCACAATCATCAGACATACACACCCACATTTCAAAATGAACATTTTACGTATTCTTCCCTTATTCTTCGTTAAATTTCCTATTTACAATTGAAATATCTTAGTAGAATTCAGCAGGTATAAATTACATTCGAAAGCAATTAAATTTTACTACTGAATTCTCATCTTTTATTCCTTTTTATTGTCATATTTTTCAATTTATATCAAAATTCCAAAATCCATGAGAATTTACGTATTGTACTAAATTGAAATGAAAATTTATTATACATTTTCACATAAGTTACAAATATCAGTTCTATATGAATAATTTGACTACATATCTTTTGAATAATATTGATATCGTATGAAATATAAATAATAAAAATAGATTAACATTTATAATAAAAAAATAATAAAACTTAATTTGATGGAAGAATTCCTCCCTTAAAGAATCTTGTTGAGTTAAATGGCTGTATTTCAGTCTTATCAACCTCTTCGTAAATGTCTGTTTTCTCAAATCTCTCCAAATAAAGCATTAATGGGATGACATCAGAAGTTTTGACGTTGGACAGGTTTGCTTGGTAACTTCCCATCATTGTTGCCATTGACCATTCAGGGAGAGCAGCGATTCCAGGGAAAATTTTGATGATTACAGCAGCAGTAAGTAAATACAACGCGTGCTTAGGATTTTCCATGCATAACATGCCTAGCCATAAATACCAAATATCGCTGAATGAACGTTTGTATATCAAAACGTATTCAGAATAAGTAAAAACCAAATCTGTGTTTCCACTTAACTTAAAGAAGAGATATGTGATAGGACTGAATTTCTTAATGACCTTTACAGCGGTATTAGTTACAGTTCTGCACATTTTCGTTAAGTTTGGCAAGAAATAATCATGACCTAACGAATTTATCATTCCGTCATAGGTCCAAAACACCATAGCAAGCTTATCTACAAGATTATCGCATAGAGGAGTACCGTTTTCATCCCAATCAGGTATATACGCGTGTAAGAAAGGAACAATTAAGTCATTCATGCCTTGGAGATAAGAAACGTCTGGTCTGTAAAGTAGATAACAGTTCAACAGTTCCGAAAGAATCTTCAGACCTTCGCCTTTGTCATTTCTGAAGGCTTTAAGTTCGCGATCTGTACGATGTACGTCGTTTCTGATGACAATAGACAAAGGGAAGAAGAGATTGTTGTTTTCCTTTTGTTCCTTTGACATCTGATTGTACTGAACTTGAAGCATTTTGTATTGTTTGATTAAATCTTTTTTAATCTCTTCTCTTTCAGCGAAAGTACTATGAGGTTGGTATATACCTGTTAAGAATGGTAAGAGTTCTGGTAAACAATTGCTATCTAAACCTGAATTTGAAATTCTTTTCTTTAATAACTCGAAATCAAGGAATCTGCCTTCAGAATCATAAAGAGTCTTTAAATCATCGGCAGTAAGTCGTTTGTATTTTGGTACAATGATTCTGTTTATCGCTCTTTGTCCGTCACTGACAGCAAAGGATGCAATTGCAACAAGTAAATCAGATGGGATCGCATTCATTGCTTCATACTGCATAATAACATTGGATGCGAATTCTGTAATGTTGTTAAAGAGATTTTCAATATGACTGTCATAAGTTATCGACAAGTGCAATGGATGGAATGGGAATAAGCTTTTGTATGTATGGCTGTATACTTCTAACGATAAATTAAGCTTCGCTGTCGGTAAAGCTATGCCATGAATGATTATTTGTTCGAGAAATTCAGTAAAATTAGTACCATGAGACTGATTTATGATAAATTCTCGGTTTTCTTTGCCTTTTGGCGAAATTATAAAGCGCAGAGGATCTGATGAAAGAGTGAAAAATTCAACTGAAAGAATATTAATGAGGAATTGCTGTCCAGCTACCCAATTATTCGATTCTAAAGATGATGGGTCGATCATGGCGTTGACAACCCATGATTTTGATGAATTTTCTAGTAAAGTAAAGTATAATTGAAAAGCTTCGCCTACAGAACATAGCGTTATATTACCTCTGACACTAGAAGTCGGAGAAAGTTGTTCTGTAACATCTTCAAGAATTGCAATTGTAATCCGGGGTTCACTCATTTCAAAATAATAAAATCTTAAAAAAATTAAGAATTTACAAAGCCTTATTGATCGTGAAAACAAATTTTACAATTGAATTGAGATGATATTTTGGCAGATTAAAATACCCCAATCATATTATTGCTTTATATGAGTCCTAGTTATAAATTTAAATTATAGGTAAGCAAAAAACATAGTATCTCTAATCTCAATTATCAAATTTCATAAATAAAATTTCAAATAAAAAATGTAATCTTTTATTGTAACAAACAAGTATAAAGCAGTGTCAAAGTTACCTCTGAATAGATTGTATATTGACTCTTGATTAAAATTCTAAATAATATCGTGGTTTTAAATTTTCTTTCATTTTTGATTGATTTATAATAAGAATCAGTCAGAATCTGATAAGAAACTTTGCTGATTGGCAACTACTGCTCTTTCTTCAGGTGATAATGAATCAAGATAGTCATTGAAAGCAGCCATTCGTGCATAGTATTCCTCTTCGTTAATGATGTTTTGCTCTAGTTCAGCCAACTGCATTTCATTCTCTTGTTCGATCATTCGGTCAATTTGATCTGAAATTCCTACATTTTGGCTTAAATTTTCGTTAACTCTCACTTCTCTGAGCTGAGAGATAAAATTCTCGCGTGCAGCTGTCGATTTCTCTGTATGCGGCTTGTAGTTTCTGCTTGAATTCTCCATTGTCTTTCCAAGAAAAAATTTTGAAACGAAAAAAAAAGAGAGGAACTTCCTCTAAATTTTTCTAAACGTAAATATTTTCTTCCATCTGGTTCATTTACATATTTGGATGTCTTGTTGGACACACTTATAATAACAGTGATTGAAATTCAGATATTTTTATTTTTCAAATGATTGATACTGATAAGGAAAATGAAATTGTAAGAAAAATAAATATCGGAACACTTCAGAAACGAGTAGATAGGAGTATTGGAAACTATTTAAGCTCCTATTCTGATTGTAATTCATATGTTCGTGTTGAATATGAATGGAAAAAGCTGAAAATATCAGGCTGTTTGTTTACGGCAATTACAAGAAATCCAAATCAAATCATCCTTGTTATGTTAAATGACATTAGCTACATTGATTTGAAAGATTTAATTCTAAAGATCGAAAAAAATACAAAAATATCAGTCAAAGACAATCTTTTATACATCAGAACAGATAACAACGAGTTTCTTATTTCACTTAGCTCAAATGAAGATGCTCAAAATTTATTTAGCGAAATTTACAAGTTCTTACATAATAATGATTAGACAAAACTAATGCATTTTCAACTCAATCTTCAAAATACGAGGATTTTCAACATTTTCGATTTTACCCATAACGTGGGTGATTTTTCACCCAGCCGTAAGGGGCTGAACTTTTGAGAGTTTTACATGGCATTTGCCGGCAAATGCCATGTAATTTATTCTCAATTATTTCCCAGGGGTTGCCGGTGCATTTACCCTAAAATATTTGAGATAACTTTACATGGCATTTGCCGGCAAATACCATGTAAAACTCTCAAAAGTGTGATCCTTATGGCTGGGTGAAAAATCACCCACGTTATAATTTAACTGTTTATGGTTTAAGATGGATATCAAAAGTTATAATTCCATTTGAGAACCTATATTTCTCAATCTTATTTGGCTTGGATAAAAGATTAAAAAAAAAAACAAAGAAGAAGAAAAAACTTTATTCTCTATTAGATTGTCACTTTAATAATATAAACATTTAGAGATATCACTCTCTTGTTAAATATTTTTATGATTTACCAGTGAATTTGATTGAAATGAGAAAAATTGTTAGGAAATAACATCAGTGAATATTTTTGCGCAGAATATTATCTATACAAAACCATAATTTATACGGAAAGAATTTCCCGGCATATAAAGTCATTTCACATACATTATTGACAAAAAATGAGTCAAAAATTTTTTCTGACTTCATCAATGAGTTTACCAGAAACATGCATATGCCCAATTACCGGAAATGTACATAAAATAGTATACAAAAATCAAAACAAGCAAGAATTTATCAATTACATTAACAATGAAATCGAGGAATTAAAAAATAATAAACAAATGTATAAAACTTTCGCAGTTCACACTGATAGATCATTAAAGCAATTCGGTTTTAATGATCTTGCTGTCATTGAGATTGCTCAATGCTTTAGAGATTTTCCAAATCTGCGTAAATTCAAAATTGATCCAAAACAAGAACAATATACGAACCTTGAAGACGGATTTATTATAATTCAACCTGATGGTGATATTAAGAAAGTACTCGGCAGCCTATTTTATGCTCCAAGAGCGAATTTTATTTTCTTTGATCTCATTCATGAAGCTACTGTATTAAGATCAAACAAGATCAAAGTAAATATAGGATGTAATATTGATGGTAAATACTATTCCCCAATGATTGATACATCAATAAGAAGAAATCGAGAACATTTCAAGACTCTTGAAGATGCCGCAAGTAACTTCCCCTTTACATGCCTCGAGAACATTAATGCAATCAAAGATGCTTCAAATTACGACATTCCAAAAATAATTTTCGAATGTCAAAATTTGAGCGACGATGAAATCATTAATAAATACGCAGAACTCCTTCCATACTACTCCTCTCGTGCTGCTCTTGTTGCTCTCTCTGTTCTCAAGACTATTTCGGATGAAGGAATGCTTAAAAATATCGGTTATCTGATAATACAAAAAGTTAAAAAATTCAATCAAACAAGTCTACTTTGGAACAAGATTAATTTTAATTGTCATCTCCTTACAAACATGGAAAACCATATTCAAGCAAGCTGGCTCTATGTCAATAACTTGATCGTTCACAAAAATGAAATTCAAAAAATTAAACCAAATTTCAAGTATTTGCCAAAACTCAATGAATATCTGGATTATTGTCTTCAAAAACTTGGTGTCAAGAAAGATGAAGAATTACCCGAACCAGAAACAAAAACAACTTACACACAAACAACTCCATTCTCCAAAAAATTGATTGATTTAAAGATTACAGGAAATCTTTATGATTTGTTGAAGACACAACGCAGTGTTATGAATTTAAAGGACACACCAGCCGATTTGCATTACGACGCTGTTATTCAGTATTTCAATAATCCACTTTTGATGATATCAATTGAAGCAACATCACAAATTTCGGATAAAACAACCCGTGATGAACAATTTGAGAAAATATTTGAAGTTTTATTCAATCAAGATGATGATGATAATAAAGAAGAATAAAAATATAATAATTGTATAAACTCTTTTTTTTAATTTTAGGGTAAATACACGGGAAAATCTCGAAAAACAATTGAGAAGGTTTTACATGGCATTTGTCAACAAATATCATGTAAAACCTTCTCAAAAATGCGATCCTTTTGGCTGGGCGAAAAGTCATACACATTATTGATTATTTATAGGTTAGATAATTCCCACTTTTCTTCCATAAATAATAAATACTTATAAACCGAATTCAATTCGCTACTCTATTTAATAAGTCAGAAGGCAATGATATTTAACTACACGCAATTCAAAATAAAACTCATATGGAATTTGGCCTTTTTCTAAGGCTGCACCTACACCCATCTGACTTTAATTCAAATTTTTTGACAACTGGCGTGAAGCACCATTGAAAATTAGCCTTAAATATCTGAATTGAAGGCCCTGTCATAGGGGCGTATGTGCACCCTTAAGCTCTTTAAAAATCAATATATCTTTATTTTAACAGCAAAAACCTATAACATCCATATTAGGCACTATATAATGATTAATAGTTACTTTCTCCTGACCAAAAATATTAACTTTTGATCTTAGAATATTGGGAGAGAAAGCTTGTGTGTCAAAAAAAAATTGAGATAATGTCAGAAAGTGGTAAGTGCCCCCTTAATGAAATATCTCATTTCAATTCATAATGTCAAATTCTACCAGATGGAAATTCTAAAAACTATCGTACAAAGTTAAATTTAAAAGTAAAAATTCTCATTTATCAGAAGTGTTTCTCTTTCAATAAAAGTAGCCAGATTGTTCATGATGACAACTATGAATGCATATTTTAACTTAATACATAATGTTTGCATTTTTTATCTTAGGAAAAATCTAAATTAAGTAAAAAATATTCATTTTCCTTAATAAGAATGTAACGAATAAGTAAATTAAGTAATAATGCATGTTTGATACAATAAAGTATAATTACACTTAATTTCAGCTAATTTTGTTTCATTTTATGGAATCTTAGCCACTTTAATTGATCTCTTCTTAATAAAAAATGAAATCAATTTTAATTAGAGAACAAAATTAGCCTTATTTACAAATTCTAATTTCAGGAATTAATTTATAACATCAAGTGATTATGCTTCGATTTTGTAGCACTAATTGCGTATATTTCATGTCATTATAATGTTTAGTGCATATAAGAAGTTTAAAATCAAGATTAATATCAATGAATAAATCAATCTCCATATGAAAAAAAAAATTCTGAGCAACAATAACGTGTTTGCAGAATTATTTTTGCATTTTTCCCTAAAAATATTATTTTTATCATATGATAAACTTCAACAAATTTAATACCTTTTTTACACTTTTAACGGTTCTATAGAAAAAGAAAAAGGGACTAATTTACATTTTGATCTGATTTTGGATAGAGCACGTTAGTGGTGAATTCAAACAATCGATCTAATATCAGAATCAGAGTGAACTGAGATCTAATTTATTTTGAGTGCTTAAAATTATACATCAAACAAACATTTTTTTTATTTCTGACTTATTTTGATTCTGATCTATTTTTTCTTTTATTATAGCTCCAATACCGAATATTATAGGTATAGGGATGAGAATGATGAAGTTTTGATTGGATGCTCTCCAGATTTATCTGGAGATGTAGTGATTCCTCAGAATGTTAAAAAAATTTATAGCGAAAGTAAAGAAAATTATGCATTTAAAGATTGTAAGAACACAATAACATCTCTTAATTTCTCTGAAAATAGTCAAATTGAAAATATTTACAAATTTAGTTTCTTCAACACAAGTCTTGAATCAGCAGATTTCAGAAATTGTCAAAAACTCACATTACTTAGTGCTTCATTATTTCAAGAATGTTATGACTTGAAATCAATTTTTCTTCCTCCCGGTCTTATAGGTATTAAAGAATATTGTTTTTACTTCAATATAAATTTACAAACATTTGATATTCCAGATAGTGTACAATATATTGAAATACATGCACTTGAAGGCTGTAAATCAATTAAAACAGTGATTCTACCACCAAATCTCCGTGTTATAACTTCATATATGCTTACATCATGTGAAACATTAGAAAACATTGTTTTAAACGATATATTAGAAAAAATATATGACAATGCCTTCAACGGATGTTATAAATTATCATCAATTATTCTTCCAAGTTCATTAAATGAGATCAGTAATAACGCATTTCGAAATTGTATTTCATTGAAAACAATTCATTTTCCAGAATTAATTTTTCAAATTAAATTTGAAGCATTTTCAAATTGTTCATCATTAGATAATATTAAATTTCCTAACTATGTAGGCAAAATTGAATTTGCATTATTTCGATATTGTACATCATTAACAACTATTACAATTCCAGATAGTGTCACGGAAATTGACATGAATGCGTTTAGTTACTGTACATCATTAACAAATATTAAAATTCCAAATATTGTTACAACAATTGCAGCAGAAACATTTAGTAATTGCACATCATTAACAAGAATTTCAATACCAGAAACTATCTCAAAAATTGATAATAAAGCATTTATTTATTGTACAAAATTAACAAGTATTTCAATACCAGATAGTGTTCAGGATATTGGCGATGCAGCATTTAGTTATTGTTCATCTTTATTTTCCATAACATTACCTCAATACATAGGGACAATAAATCTAGAGACATTCAGTTATTGCACATCTCTAACATATATTTCTCTTCCAAACAATGTCAATACCATTGTATGGAAAGCATTTAGTCATTGTTCATCATTAACAAGTATTACCTTCCCATCAAGTATTTCAACCATTCAATTTAATGCATTTGAATATTGTACAAATTTAAGAACAATTAGATTTGAAAATAATTATAACTACATCAAATTTGAAGAAAATCCATTTTACAAAGTTCAAAACAAATTAAATATATATATTCCAGGACAATTTAATATTAATGAAGCTAAATCTCGTGCATTTCCAAAGAGAAGTCATTTATATATTACAGGTCAAACAACTTTATCAGACAGATGCAAAATGTTATTTGGATATCGATCTGTTTATGTTCACAATGAAGATGCTGATTCAATAATCTATACCAAAACACTTGATGTTATTAATTATATCAATATTACAGATATTACAAATATTTCATTAACAGAATCAATCTCCTATTTCGACCATGGAAAAATATACAGGAGACGTTGAAAAAATATGTTGTATCTAATTTAAAAATTCAATATAAATTGAAAGATTCTCATTTACAAAGAATGAAACCCCAAAGCATTACTTATTACTGTTTATTAACTCGCATAAAAGAATAATAGTAGTGCTTTCTTAATTTTTAAGATTGCTTTGTTTATTTAGTAAAAAATTAGATTCTCATTTTACCAAATTTTGAACTTCATATGCCAAATTATTATGCAAAAGTATGCAGTCAGCTTATAAGGAAATTATCTTAAGATGGCCGATTCTGGTTAATAACCGCTGGGAAACGTACCCCAAGGTAAAAAAATCTGGTTAATATGGAAATAAAATTTTTTTATTTTTGGTTTTTCAAAATATTTTTGGAGAGATTATATTTGTTTCCCGTATAATTTGTCGGTGCAATATGCATTTGCTATTCATGACGGTGCCTACTATCCTAATTTCGTGCGAATCTCATGCTTTTTTTTATTATCATTTATGGTGTTCTTTCACCATTTTTTCCAGAATCGATATAGTGTTCATATGCAAAAAGTGAAACTACTATGGTGTGGAAAAAAATATCAAAGTTCCCCACTTAAACACTATATATGTAAAAGTTAAATTCAAAGTATATGTTTGATTATTAAAAATTCTCATATATCAGAAGTGTTCCTCTTTAAATAACAGTAACCTGATTGTTCATGATGACAACACTAAGGCCTGCTTTTTAACTAATACATAATGTTTGCATTTTTTTTTATCTTAGGAAAAATCTAAATTAGGTAAAAATATTCATTTTCCTTAATAAGAATGTAACAAATAAGTAAATTAGGTCACAGTTCATGCTTCGATACAATAAAGTATAATTGTATTTAATTTCAGCTAATTTTGTTTCATATTTATGGAATCTTAGTCACTTTAAGTCATCAAATCTTAATAAAAAGTGAAAATGATTTTAATTAGAAAACAAAATCTATCTTATTTACAGATTCTAATTTCAGGAATTAATTTATAACATCAAGTGATTATGCTTCGATTTTGTAGCACTAATTGCGTATATTTCATGTCATTATAATGTTTAGTGCATATAAGAAGTTTAAAATCAAGATTAATATCAATGGATAAATCAATTTCCATATGTAAAAAAAGTTCTGACCAACTATAACGTGCTTCTGGAATTATTTTTGCTTTTTTCCACTAAAATTTTTATTTTTATTATATGATAAGCTTCAACAAATTTTTACATTTATGTCTGATATATTGAATATAGCACGCTATCGGTTTTAGTGGATACCAGCTATTAATCTAATAACGGAATCAAAGTAAACTGAGTTCAACATTATTTTGAGTGGCTAAAATTTTACATCATACAAACATTTTTTTTTTGATTTTGATTTATTTTTTCTTTTATCATAGCTTCAATACCGAATATTTTAGGTATAGGGATGAGAATGATGAAGTTTTGATTGGATGCTCTCCAGATTTATCTGGAGATGTAGTGATTCCTCAGAATGTTAAAAAAATTTATAGCGAAAGCGAAGAAAATTATGCATTTAAAGATTGTAAGAACACAATAACATCTCTTAATTTCTCTGAAAATAGCCAAATTGAAAATATTAACGAATTTAGTTTCTTCAACACAAGTCTTGAATCAGCAGATTTCAGAAATTGTCAAAAACTCAAATTACTTAATGCTTCATTATTTCAAGAATATTATGACTTGAAATCAATATTTCTTCCTCCCAAAGTTTCAATGATTGGAAAATATTGTTTTTACTTCAATATAAATTTACAAACATTTGATATTCCAGATAGTGTAATAGATATTGCAGAACATGCACTTGAAGGATGTAAATCAATTAAAACAATAACTCTACCACCAAATTTCATTTTTATAACTTCATATATGCTTACATCATGTGAAACATTAGATAACATTGTTGTAAACAATGAATTAAAAGTAATATATGACAATGCCTTCAACGGATGTTATAAATTATCATCAATTATTCTTCCAAGTTCATTAAATGAGATCAGTAATAACGCATTTCGAAATTGTATTTCATTGAAAACAATTTATTTTCCACAATTTATTTTACAAATTCATTTTGAAGCATTTTGTAATTGTTCATCATTAGATAATATTATACTTCCTAACTATTTAACTCAAATTGAATTTGCCTTATTTCGATATTGTAGATCATTAACAACTATTATAATTCCAAATAGTGTCAAAACGATTGACATGAATGCCTTTAGTCATTGTACATCATTAACAAATATTACAATACCAGAGAGTATGACAACAATTGGTATAGAAACATTTAGTTTTTGTACATCATTAACAAGCATTTCAATACCAAATAGTGTTACAGATATTGGTTATGGTGTATTTAGTTATTGTACATCTTTATTAACGATAACATTACCTCAAAACATAGAGACAATAAATCGAGAGACATTCAGTTATTGCACATCTCTAACATATATTTCTCTTCCAAACAATGTCAATACCATTGTATGGAAAGCATTTAGTCATTGTTCATCATTAACAAGTATTACCTTCCCATCAAGTATATCAACCATTCAATTTAATGCATTTGAATATTGTTCAAATCTAACAACAATTGGATTTGAAAGTAATTATAACAAAATCGGATTTGCTCTAAATACATTTTACAAAGTTCAAAACAAATTAAATATATATATTCCAGGACGATTTAATATTAATGAAACTTCATCACGTGCATTTCCAAAGAGGAGTCATTTATATATCACAAGTCAAACAACTTTATCAGACAGCTGCAAACCATTTTTTGGACATCGATCTGTTTATGTTCACAACGGAAATCCAATTTCAAAAATCGATCCCATCACACTTGATGTTATTAATTACATCAATATTTCAGATATTGATGTAACAGATCCAATTTTCATGATTAACCAACAAAAAATATTCAGAAGACGTTGAAAAATGTGATTCATATACTTCAAAAATTCAATATAAATTGAAAGATTCTTGTTTGCAAAGAATGAAACTCCAAAAAAGTATACTATTCAAAAAATCCAGGGTCCAATCTTGAATACTTTGCTCACAATTTTTCTGTGAATTAGTGTTATGAAACTACTAAATTATTGAACAAAATTATTACCTATTAACACTCTCAAACGAATAATAGTATTGCTTTCTTAATTTTTAAGATTGCTTTGTTTATTTAGTAAAAAATTAGATTCTCATTTTACCAAATTTTGAACTTCATATGCCAAATTATTATGAAAAAGTATACTTTTAACTTATAAGGCAATTAAATCATATTTTGTTATAAATTGTCAATGAAAATGGTTGAAATTTAATTAATAAACCGAAAAATTATCATCACTTCACACCACTATTTTCTAAAAATCTTTCTATCGTCGTAATATGTCTGAAAAGCCTCCACGAGTTGTTCTGAAGGAAGGAACAACCGTGGGAAATTTCACAATAGGCAAACAGATCGGACATGGCGGATATGGTGATGTTTATATCGTAACTCACAATAAATCAAACAAAATGTTCGCATTTAAAGCTGAAATCTTGCAAAAAAAGAGACCTACGCTTCAGCATGAAGTCAAAGTACTAAGAAAACTTTCCTCACCAGAATATCCAACAGTTTTAGCAACTGGTGGCACAGATCAATTCAAATGGTTTGTTATGGACTTATACGGCAAATCATTATCGCAATTACGCAGATTATTACCAGGAAGGAAGTTTCCCATGATGTTTGTTGTCCCAATTGCTCACGAAACTTTTCGACTTCTGAAAAAACTGCATCAGAAAGGATATATTCACAGAGATGTAAAACCAAGCAATTTTGTATATCGACGTATTAAAAATACTCAACCAATTGTTTTGATAGATTTCGGATTTGCAAAAAAACATATCGACCCTTCTACTGGAAAACCATTTCCTGTTAACAACGGGATAGGGTTTGTAGGCACTACGATGTATGCCTCAGACAATGCGCTCAAAGGCTGCGACCTTGGGCGTTGCGATGATTTAATGTCATGGTTTTATATGATTGTCGAGTTTGTACAAGGGAAATTACCATGGGCGTGCGGTGGACAACGAAGTGACGTTGTCAGATTACGACAAAGAGTTACACAATCTGAAATTCTTTTAAATATGCCTTCACAACTCAAAAATATCTACAATTATCTTCAAGAACTTAAGTACGAAGATGACCCAGACTATGATAGAATCGAGAGGCAGTTAAGAGATGCAGCAGATAAATACAATACAAAGAATGATGATATTCTTTGGAATGCGTTCGATGAGTACCTGTTTGGAACAGGAAAATTCGAAGAGGAAGAAGATGATGAAGAAGAGGACGATTATAGTTTAACTTTAAGTGCCCTCGATGAAGGCTGTCGTATTAATTAATTTTTTTTTGTTTTTATATTATATAAATATTGTTAGTATCTTTCTTTTTAGATCAGAATCATGTAATGATACCGAAATCTAAAAATTCCCGGAAATTCGGAAAAAATAAAAATTGTAAAAAAAAGGAAACTAAGTAAATTAATTTAGAAACAGCACATCTTTAGTGTTTAGCAAACTCTATTGTTATAGTTTTGTTTGGTATCAAATTTAATCTAAAGTATTCTTTGTATGCATCTTAGCGCATTCTTTAATGTTTGCATCGTATAATGGCCTGTTCATCATGTAGTTATCGTAGTTAACTTGATGTGCAGGGCTCTCTGGATTTGGCTCAATCAAAAGTTTTTGAATTCCTACAAGAATCTGTCTAAGGTTGATAGATGGTTTCCATCCATCTGTAAGAATTGATAAGCAAACCTTTCCTGATGGAAATACATTCACATGAGGAACGATTGGGTCGAATTTTGCAATAGGAGCGTTGATTGGGTATGATGTTGGGAATGATAAGAGCAATCTATAAAATCCACCTTCCCAAAGGCTTTTTTCTGGACCAGGAATTAAGCATTCCCAGTTAAAAAGATCGAGATTTCCATTTCTCTGCTTGATAGGACGAGCAATGAAGCCTGCAGGATGGTCTTTACGCCATCTTGAACGCTCTTCTGTAAGCCTTTGAATAGCAAAAGAAGCTTGATCTTGCATTCAAAAATAGAATTTTTTTTATTGGTAAACAGATTTCATAAGAATGCGGAGGGAAAACCAAAAATAAGCCAATAAAAGTTGAGAACTCATGCTACTCAATGCTTTGGAAGGACCGATGTTGAAGGCTGATCGAAATTATTAATTGTAATTTTTCGTATTAATTTGTGATTCCAATGAGAACTTATTATCGGATATATCTCTATTAGCTCTGAAAACCCTTAGCCCATGGTTCCTTTTTGCTTGATTATTACTTCAACACCAAATTCACATTCCAATAACCCACCTTAATGTGACTATGTATCCTTATTCTACTATTCTACTATTTATATGGCAATTTTCCTTGTTTAAAGGCATCATTAACAAAAATTCATTCATGTTTATTTATAAATAGATAATATCGATAATCCATTTGCAAATAGGAATATACTAGAGAAATAGAGATGTCATTATGATTTATATATAATATCTAAAACATACAAATAATTTTTTAAAATTATACAGAGGAACGGAAGAATGATTTGAATTTTTCTTTGAAGGAAACTTTGTGGTCCTTCTCATAGTATTCTAGTGCAAGCTTAATGCATTTTCCAGGATCGCCGATTTGAAGATTTTGAAGAGCTTGAAGCGCAACCGAGAATTTTGCACCAATAAGTCTATCTTCAACAATCTTAATTTGTGCAACTCCAAAATAGAATGCATATTCAAGAATTTCATCTACATGGGCAAATAATAAGTCCCAAATTGGCAAAATTGAAGGCATATCATATTCTTGAGCAAATAACAAATTAAACCATTTGTAGCAATATGTTGCTGGATGAATATTAAGTGCTTCGAGCTGATTATGGACGGTTGGGATATGGCGCTTCAAAATATCTGTAAATTCAGATAATTTATGCAAAATAATGGATGACTTGTCTTGTGTTGTATACATTTCATGAATTGGTGTCGAAGTGATGAGTAATTGTAACATTGTGAAAGCCAAACCTTCAATATCATCTTGGTTGTTTCTAAATAGATGTGTTGACTTAAGCAACACATAATACATCGGAGTTACAAGCTCATTAAACCCCTGTGTGTAACTTAACCCAACATTGAAATTGGCAAAAACATAAAGAACTCGTTCAATTCTGCGCATATATCCCTCAAATGGTGCTAAATCTGGTGTTAAAAGAGAATTTGGATTTGGTTCTTCGGGAGGGAAAAACATAATTTGTCTCGCGGTACGCAGAATATCAACGAAGATTTGATGCATTAGTGGCTTATTTGGAACATCAAATTGCTGTTGTTTATGTGCTTTATCAAAAGTCTTCGTATGCCAATCTCTGACACCAAATTCATCAACAAATTGCCAGTAATTTTGTATACTTTCACGCTTTTCACTTTCCCATTTGTTTGGATTTGACGGATATAAACCCAACATTACCATCCATGCTAATGCTCGATCTTCTGGTGGGTAGTCTTCAAGAGTTTGCTCGCAAATTGTAGATATGATAGTTTTGTCTATAGGTGTTTCTTCTGGATTTGGTTGAACAAGCGGGAAAATAATGAAATCGAGTTCCTTTTTGCTCATTTTGGATTTGTCAGAATTAAAATAAAAATGAAATTGAATACATTTGATAAAAAAATAAAAACCGACTTGGTTTAAATATAGATCCTTACTCATCCTACTCTATTTTTGCGTTTTCAAGAAGTTAAATTTTCAATTCAATTCAAACCGTTGATTTCAGCAAGTTCTGCTTTCATGATCTAAATTGATCGCTTCGTTTTCCCGAGTTTATAATTTTTCATCCACACAACTAGGGAACCCTTTTCGAGTAAAACCTCCAATTCTATTTTCTAATTTGTATCCAAAATAGAGACATTCTAAAAAACTCAGGGATCTGGCAATGAATAATAGATCCATTATTTAACAATATGATATTTATTATATTGTATTTGTAAGCCTTCTTCCATGAATGGAAAATTTCGAAGAATTTCAAAAATTATAAAATAATCAGTGGATTGCTTATCATATGCAATACACACAAGGATTTATTGCTATTCACAATATATCAAGCCAAAATGTTATTCTATTCAGCATCAAACCATCATTACATTTACAAATGTCACTTTTTAAATTCAGATGAAGAAACAAATACTTCCACAGGAAGATGCTGAATTCCAATCACAATTTTTGGAACCTCCGGACTTCTTTGGAATAGTTACAGACAAAATTTTTCGATGCGGTGCACTCTCTCCAACTCATTTTTCATTTTTAGATCTTTACAGCTTCAAAACAGTTCTTTTCTTGGGTGACGACTCACCACATCCAAGAATTACAGAGTATTTCAACAACAGGGAAATATCTTATATTCGAATTCCAACACGTTCAAATACAAATCGAATTTTATGGAGAACTCAATTGGATGAACTCGTAAAAATGACATTGCAATATATATTAGATAATGATAATCTACCTGTTTTAATATCATCTCCATCAGAACTCTTAGTTTGTACAGTTATTGGTTGTCTGAGGAGACTACAAAAATGGAATGTTAGTAGCATACTTGATGAGTTCAGAAGATTTAGTTCTGAAATACCACAAACACAAAATATTAACTACGTTGAACTTTTTGACTTCGATCTGATTGAAATACCAGAAAATAGCTTCCTTAATGGAGCATAATGATATTTTTGTTGATAATGTTACTGTAAAACTTTTCTATATTCTATTATTTTCGTTGTTTCAAAATTATACCATCATTATCTCTTATAAATATAATAAACTCTTTTCATTATAAATAAGAATCAATAAGCAGATGCTCAATTTACATAAATTGCTTTAAAATCATCCAATATTTTTAAAGGTACTTCCATTTCCTTTGATTCATTGGTAAATTAAGTATAAAGAATCAAAAATCTTAAAAATTTAGTAAAATTGTGATAATTTCTATTATTCTAATTGAATTTTGGTAAAATATTTTGTTCTAATTCAGAAAAAGAGTTCGATTATAAGGGAAACTAATATAAATTTACAAAAACAAATACAATTATAACAAGATGAATATTTTCAAAATAATATAAAACAATTATGAGAAACCTGGGACATTTCTCATACAACTATTGCATCAGGTGGATCTTCATTGATAATGTTGTCGTTATTTGACGACATTGCCTTTAATGCGGGTAATAATCGAACAGTTTCGATTGCAATGAAAACCATATCATAAAGTTCATTGCATACGAAATGAAGTGGTGGTTTCTTGGCTTTGAGAACGTCCATGACGAAATCTACAATTAATGGGATGAAATTAACAGGAATAAACGTCATATAATGAAAAACAATGTATTTGTTGGACATTCTTTTCTTTCTAACTGCTTGTCCAACCATAAAAACGAGTGCGAAAAAAGATATTCTGATACTTTCTCGATAACCGAGACAAAGAGAATAAAATCTCTCTTTCTGTTTCTTAGAGATCTTAATTAGCGGCAAACATTGTCTAATAAACGTTGCTATAAAGACTGTCAGCATCAAACACATAAATAAGCCAAGAAGACATCTTTTGCTCATGGAAGGAGGCATAAGAGGCAACATAACAGCGGAAACATACGCAATTGAGAACATTTCGCGTGTACTTACAACAATTATTTTCAATGTATATAAAATTGAGAGATTCGGGCTTGTAGCTGTAATGAAATGTAACAATGAGTATATGGATGATACTAAATAGTAGCTTTTCATGATTGTTACAAACCATTTTCGTTCTGCAGAGCCACAAGTAAGTTTCTGAAGGATAAACCAGATCCATAAGAATACAAATGATGCTAAAAGATAGTAATATGTCTTAACTGTAAACAATGGATCGCATTCGAAGGAGACTCGAAAATCTAAGTCAATCGATTTGGAAACAACAGTTTTAACCCATATATTTATGTCTATTTTCGATATTTTTTTGGTATTCATTGAATAAATTTCTACATATTTCGGTAAGGTTGGGTTACAAACTAAGTTTTTTATCGTTATGTTGTTGATTGTCCAAGAATCTCCTTTATATACTGTTAGGAAACCTTTGTATTCTATTTTTTCTTGGATTGATGATAAATTTGCGAGATGCAAAAATCCAACTGAAAACTTGATTACATTTCGTGGTATGTTGTAAACATAGAGTGTATTTACGCGTGTGATATCGCTTGATATCGCATTTAGTCTGATTTTCTGATCACACTGGAAATTTGGAATGAAACACGCCGTGACTGTTGCAAATAGTAAACCTGCAACAAAAACTGTAATTAGCTTTCGCTCAGGAAGAAATTCATTGCTGTGACCGCTGCGTTCTCGCCGCGGTTGCCGGACATGCATCGATTTCTATGAAATTCCGCTCATGTTTATTTCATAACCCCCTCAATATTTTTATATACTCCTTTAAAATTTTATATAAAATTTAGTGGTCGAGGACAAAAATCTCATATAGGAGGGTAAAACACAATACTCTTAGTTGGTTTCCATCAATTCAAGGGATATTCCGGCATATCATGCATATCGATCATAATGTCAACATATATAACATGAAAAAATTAATTCTTTGCTTAGTTCATTTAGCACTTCGAAAATACACGCAAAAGAAAACTAATTGTTGATTCACAATACCTCAATTACCCTTCTTATTCTTTGTTCGATCAATATATTCTTAATAAATGTTACTGTCGGTTGTTGTTTGTTCAATATAATAGTATGAGGATCCTAAATAATACTGTAATTTTTCAATTACATTTGATTTTATCTGCCAGAATTTTGCTTGAATCTGCTAGTTTTGAAACCTTTTTAGTGGTTTTTGAAGTTCATTCATACATAATCATAATGCATAAATAAAATCAAATATTCGTAAATTAAGGTTCGGCCGATCGTGATGTAAAAATTGCAAACTTTTTCATAATTATACTACCTTTTGATTGACTATCAAACAAAGTTAAAAATAATCTAAATTAACTGTGAATAGTCAGTTTTTTTTTGAAATAATTTTTCAGATCAAAAAAAAAATTATGTCAGGCAAAATATTAATATCCTGTCATAGAATAATTTCATTGTACTCACCATTCTCAATTTTTTTGACAAGATATTCAAAATTTTCTCACTTTTTAAGGTGTAACAATAATCTTTAAAGTTTCATGTCTGGATTACCACCACCTCCATTAAACGGGCTTCCCCCGCCACCAACGAGTGGTTTTCCCTCACCACCATCAGGTGGTATGGGTGGATTGCCTCCACCTCCTTTAGGCGGCATGGGTGGATTACCTCCAGCACCATTAGGTACTGGTTTCGGATCAGGACGCGGATTACCACCGCCTCCTGGAGGAATATCAAGCATTTCTAATTCAACTTCATTTGGATCTGGTCGCGGATTACCACCTCCGCCCGGATCTGGCAATAGCTCACCATTCGGATCAAGTTCTGGCCTACCACCACCTCCAGGTTCTGGAAATGGATTACCTCCAGCACCATTAGGTACTGGTTTCGGATCAGGACGTGGATTACCACCACCTCCTGGTTCCAGTAATGGTTTACCACCACCACTAACAAATGGATTACCTCCACCACCAGGAAACGGTCTACCGCCATCACCAGGCTTTGGTTCTAATCGCGGATTACCACCTCCACCAAGTTCTGGCACAGGATTGCCACCTCCACCAACAAATTCAGGATTACCTCCACCTCCTTTAAGTACAGGCTTTGGATCCAGTCGTGGCTTACCACCACATCCATTAGGTACAGGAGTACCACCACCAGGCAGTGGATTGCCTCCACCTCCTGGATCTAATAATGCTTTTCCTCCTCCACCAGGAATGGGCATGAATTCAAGAATCGGAGCACCAGTATCAACAAATCTTCCATCTGCACAATCTGGAGGCCTTCCTCCTCCACCTCTTAGCAATCAATTTTCTCAACCTGCTACATCCAATGGTCTTCCATCACAAGTTACAATGAGATTACCTCCTCCACCAAGTTCAGGCCTTCAATCCCCACCAATGAGCACTAGTTTTGTCTTATCACGTGGAATTGCCCCAATTGGAACAATGTTACCACAAAACAACGGACCAAACAACTTACCACCTCCACCATTAGCAAGCGGATTCATTCATCCAATGCCAACAAACAATTTCGCTAGCGGACAATTGACAATTAAAACAGGAAATGCAGGATTACCTCCTCCACCATTAGCAAGCGGATTCATTCATCCAATGCCAACAAACAATTTCGCTAGCGGACAATTGACAATTAAAACAGGAAATGCAGGATTACCTCCTCCACCAGCTACTCAATTCAATGTAGGTCTTCCACCACCTCCAGCAACACAATTCAACACAGGAATGCCTCCACCACCAGCAAGTAGCTTCCAAAGTACAATGATTCCAACAAATCAGACTATGGCATTCCAGAGTCAGGCCATGGCTGCACCACCGCCAGCACCAATGTCAATGGGATTCCCTTCTACACCAACAACGATGAAAGGAGAGGAAAAAGACGATTTACCTGAAACATCTCTTTTAAAGACATGCAAAGTCTGTGCAAAGCCATGCAAGGACAAATACATATTCGCATTTGGTTGCTGCTATTGCCCAGAATGCCTCAAATGCGCAAAATGTGGAAAAATTTTGCAACCACCTGAATGCGTCATGTACAAAGAGCAGACAATTTGTTTTGGATGCGCAAAGGTCAATGGAAAGCTCAACAGATGTCCAGTTTGCACAGAATTTTTGGATGATCCAACTGATCTTATCAATTTAAGGGATCTCGACATGACAATTCACAAGGATTGCTTGAGATGCTACGAATGCGGTATCAAATTGAAGGAAGATACTTATCAAATCATTATGAACCAAATTTGCTGTGAAAATTGCAAGAGAATTGCTACACAAAGAGCATGCAAGAGATGCGACCAACCAATCTTAGGAAGGTATGTATTCGATAGATCTTTTTATTTCCATGTAAAATGCTTCGCTTGTTACGAATGCGACAAACAACTCAACGGAAAGAACTTTGTTGTGCACCATAACAGATATTACTGCCCAGAACAAGGCATACGATACTTAAAGACTTGTTCTTACTGCAGGAATGAAATACAACTTACAGATTACAACAAAATCAGATGGCAGAACAAGTTTTACCATAAGAGATGCTTCTGCTGCAGAGTTTGTGGCCAAGTACTTCTCCCACAAGATGCAGTTTGCTGCCACAACAGACCTCATTGCAGAAGATGCTTCGAACAAAGAGTTAGAGAGGGTGATGTTACAGAAGAAGGAAGGACTCCATCGGATCATAACCATCGCCACAATCCTGAAACATCTCAGCAACAAAGACAGAGATTTATGAAGAAATTCGGATCATCGAACTTCAATTTACCGAGATACGCCAACCAACAAGAAGAACAAGAATCAGAATCAAGCGATGAAGATGAACGTCATCATCATAGTTCGCACCATAGACATTCTTCTGGATCATCCGAGAAAAACTCAAAGCATGGATCGAGAAGAGGCCACGAAAGCCACAGAGGACATAGACACGAGTCAACAACAAGTGATGAGCCACAGGATAGCAGTAGTGAAGAGAAGAATAACAGCAGCGAAGAAAAGAATAGCAGTAGTAGCTCTGATAAGCCTAAGAAGAGCCATAGATCTCATAGATCACATAGACATTAAAATAAAACTATCTTTAATTTTTATCTATTTTTTTTTCATGTAAGAAAAAGTAACAAAATTGAATTAGATTCAAACCCATTAGAATTTTTAAGTTATAATTCATTTTTTTTGTAAAGCTTTGAACTCATAAGTCCATAGAATTTTGAATTTTGTCTAATTTTTAAACAAATTAAAGCTAGAATTTTCATCGAACAATTTCAAAGAATTGAGAAGAGTAGGTGACAAAAGTGCATACTCTTAAACAACCGTCGGATTTCCGGGTGAAATCGTGACACACTTTCGTCTTTCGTAGGCAGTGGTGGTTGTTACAAAAGGTAACTTCGAATGTAGCGTGAAATCTGCAAAAAAAATTCTGAAATTTGAATGGAGAACACAAAAATTGAATAGTTTACGTCAATAAAAAAGAGAAAAATGAAGCCAATGTGTCTCGAACCTAGGACTTAGAACAGCAATCCCACTGTTTATAACATTACACTACATGCATCTCTCACCTCAGTGAATGAGATCAACTATATGATAACTTTTTCCCCATTATATTCTTGTGGAAAAGTGACAAATAGCAACTTTGACCCTCTCTCGAATTGAGAACCGCTTCTCACCACTCAATTCTCTGAAAAGTCCGAGTTAATTTATTCTATTTTTAGGTAAATCAGCATTAGACAGAACAGGTTATTAATTTATTATTATATTATTTTTTTGAAAGCCATCTGACTCAAATTCGAAATACATACATTTTCAATAACATATAATATGATAATCACAATTTCTCAGAGCATCACAATTTAACACTTTTGAATGTTCAATGATTTAATTACACAATAAATTGTATTCAAGAAATGGAGTACACCGTAAATCTTTAAACAAATTATAATTGAAATGGCGTCAAAAAGTTTAATGAAAACAGATTCAGATTTTATAATGATTAAATTTATTCTTAAATACAATATGTAATCAAATTTTGCGAATTTTGACAAAACCGTCATAAAGCTTTCTCAAATAAGTATTACCAATGATTCTTTTCCTTTTAGGTATGATAGATAAAGGATATAATAAATTGTCTCTTGACAGACCAACGACCGTTTCAGTCAAACAATATGTTGCTATTTATCCTAATGATCTTGAAAATTTTAAATTTCAAGACACATCTGATAATAATTTGACCTGGCCTTATTGGTCTAGAGATTTAACGGAGATTGTCATCACACCAATATTTCCATTTGGTCTTGATCCTTTTTATATTGACCTTGAAATTATCGGCGCTCACGTTTTCGAAAATTGCTACGCTGTGGAAGGCGTTTACAATGGTTATTTGAGAACAAATCCTTATCCAGGCTATTACAATAATCCTATATGCTACGCTTTTTTTGATCAATTTTCTGTTGAAAGATATTACAAAAAGATTGAAATGCCTAACGACAACATAGTTTATAACTACAATGTTTTTGTAAATCTTAATCCAAATTCTGCTGTTTCAGATGGTAAACACGACATTTATTCAATTTCAATTAAAAATCCAAAACCAAGTAGTGTTGTAAACATAGTTGTATATAATTACCACTTAATGAAGACAGGAGATTTCACTGAATCTTTCAATAACGAGATATCATATGTTATTCCTCCAAGATCAGTATTCGTTGCCTTCAATCCCGATGGATTTACATTTGAATCGTCTGCCCAGCCAATTAAACCGGGTGTTTTTTATAGTGATTCACTTACAGAACCTTTGGCGATTACAGTCAAAAAACAAGGTAAAGCAAAAAATAATTTACAGTATTTCAGATGTACATCCATTTACTGAATGCGATGATCTTTTTGTTGAAGTAGTTAATGACAATGTTTCTACGTATTTTTCAACATCAGGTTACGACTATGACCTTGAACAAGGAAGGCAGCTTTGTTATATATTCACATCTCCATTAGTTAGAAGATATAAATTCGCAAGTTCAAATGGTTTAAAACCTCTGGTATTTCTGCCAAATCGTTTAGAACCTCCGATCTATTCGGTAATGGGTTATCATGAACCCCTATTCAACACGGAAAATAATGGTTATCCTATATATACCAGAACAGTTCAATTATATTATACTCAAACAGATTATAAATCTTATACATTCGCTCTTGAAGCTGCAGATCTTTTTATCACGGAGCCACTAAATGATAAACTAAGATACAGCGAAACAATAAAAATTTTAGGAACACTAAAAAGAAACGATAAAAAATCAACTGCTTATCAATTAAACATAGATGAAAAGAATTACAATTACCGCAATGGTACTTATCCATTGGTAATACCAGCAGATGGTAGAAAACTTACATTCCAAAAGTATTCTTTTGTTGTATTTCATAATGCAAAATCATTTACTGGACAACTTGATGGAGTTGAAGTTCTCGGTGACACAGGCAATTATGTATTCAATTTCACAGATAAATTGGCTGCCTTTACGATCAAAACAAAGGACAATAAATATTCAATTGCTAACATAACAATTTTTAGCTACGATCAATTTCCCATTACTTATGAATCAAACAATATAGTTGTTGTGACTCAATACACTCCATATATCCAAGTCAGTAAAGTATCGCGGTCAGATTCAAATTTATTAATAATAGATGATCAATTGATCAATTTCTTTGTATTCTCAACCTATCCAATCAGAGTTGCTGGATATCACGACTATAATGATCAGGGCTGTTATAAATTTAGCGCTGTGGAAATTAGAGCCTATCCAAACATATCAGATTGGAACTCGACGATAGCAAATGTTGTTTATGATAGTAATATACCAGGATTTGATAGAGAGGGCTTGCTTTTCACTCGAGAATATCCTCCAAAATACGGTAAAACATATAACCTTAATGATAATTCTGATATTAATGATATATATGGAGTGTTCAGAGGATCTTATTCATATATGGACCTGCATAATGCAGTCAACATCCCAAATAACACTCAAAGCGTTTACATTTACGGCACAAGATACAATGCAACTTCAAAGTCTGGATCATCTCCTGCATCTAAAGTAGGTATCATCATTGGTATATGCATCCCAGTAATTGTGATTTTGATTGTTATTATAGTTATAGTTATTTGTTGTAAGGGCAGACATAAATCACAGCGTCAGTCTTCGTCGTCACTTCCTAGCGAGAGTTCAAAATCCAACAACAACAATAATAATGTTGTTTATATTATAGTAAATGAAAATCCAGAGCAACAACAACAAGAAGAACCTAAACCACAAGCACCCAAACAACAAGAATCCAAACCACAGAAATCACACAGTCAACGTAGGAATAGCAGACAACAACAGGAACAAAGACAACAAAAATCACACAGTCAACGTAGGAATAGCAGACACCAGCCGAAACATCATAGAAAACACCAGGAACGCAAACATCAATCAAAGAATCACAGACATCATAAAAGAGAATATTCATCTGATTATTCATTAGATTATTCATCAGACTATTCATCAGACTATTCATCAGACTATTCACACGAAGATCACGTATATCATCCACCAGAACAAAACCAACTTTATCCACCTCCACCACAACAATATCAAGTTTATCCACCTCCACCAGAAAACTACCAAACAAATCCTTACGAGGGTCTCAAGACTCCTGGTCCTACAAATTATTACAACCAACCAGCACCTTATTACGCTCCTCCTCCAATTCCACCTAAACAATATGACAATGAAGAAAAATAAATATTCTCACAGTTATTTTTTTTTCAGATTAAAAGTTATTATAAATAGTTATATATTATATATAATAAGAGTGCTCTACTTTTTTTTAGTCTGATTGAATAAGGATTTACTGATAAAAAACGGTTATTTCTAGAGTGATGCTGATTCTAGAGATCATATATATATGATTCGGTGCTTATCAATATTGTTTTTTTTTTCAGATTGATATTTACTTTTTATGAATAATCATGCCACAACTCACTACATTAGATGATTATTCCATTAATATTAATTTTTAAGGAGGTTCTATATGACACAACTGACTATATTAGATGGTTAATCAATAAATTAACGATGTGTAATAGATTTATTATAAAATAAAAGATTTATGAAATGAAATCTTATAATCTTATTAATAAACTTAAAATTTTTAATACAGAAGAGAATAACAATAACGTTTCGAAATATAGAATTCGATGGAGTAAGAAGATTTTCACAAATCAAAGAGAAAATCTTTTCTGTCACTTTTTATCAGTAAAAGAATCATATCATTGACATTCATTTCTCTTCTTGCACACTCTCGCATTCATCAGTAGATCTCATTTCATAGCAGAAAATAAAGGAAAACTCTTTGTTTTTAAGTTCATTTTAATTTCATTAAAGCAAATCTTCAAATTTAAGTTTGAAACATCCTAACATACACACAGGATTAGAAGGATAAGTGCTTTTTGTTTGTTTAGATAATTTTTTAAAGTCTATTTTGTTTATTATCTTTAGAAGTATTTAGAAAGATGTTGTTCATAGCTCTTAATAGCTTGTTCGTAGTTTAAGTTGTGAACAACGTCATCTAAGTGGAAAGAAGGTATTTGTTTCATTCCAACGAATTCGAAAGACTTGATTATTGATCCATGAACAGAATCTGGACTTGCACCTTTGAAAAACTGTTGGTGCACCCCATGTAAACGAGAGCATAAACTTCTTGTTTTGGCAACACAGTAACTTTTGACATTATGAATTTACAGTAAATTAGCATCCTATATTTCTATTTTTTATGACTTAATTTTGATAGTTTTCGTTCAGAAATTTTAATCATATTTTAAGTAAGCATATATTAGTATTCTTCAAAAATTGATTTAATTTTGCCGAAGGTGGCGTGCTTGCCCGAAGGGCAAGCGAAGCCACCTGAGGCCCCAATTTATATTTGATCAAATATACATCTTCACACTGCAGATCAATAAATCACATGATATGCTTGTTTTTTTCATGTAAGAAAAAGTAACAAAATTGAATTAGATTCAAACCCATTAGAATTTTTAAGTTTTAATTCAATTTTTTTGTAAAGCTTTGAACTCTTAAGTCCATAGAATTTTGAATTTTGTCTAATTTTTGAACAAATTAAAGCTTGAAATATTATTGAACTATTTCAACGAATTGAGAACCGATTCTCACCACTCAATTCTCTGAAAAGCCCGAGTTAATTTATTCTATTTTTAGGTAAATCAGCATTATATAGAGCACTTTATTAATTTATTAATATTTATTTTGAAAGTTATCTGACTCTAATTTGAAATTCAAACATTTTCAATTACAATCAATTTTGTCATCAATCAATAACAATATGTTAATCACAATCCATCAGTAATATCAGAATTTACACTTTTGAGTAAACAAGTAAACTTTTTTCTTACATAATAAATTCTATTCAACAAATGGAGCATACTATAAACCATTAACTGAATAATAATTGAGAGGATGTCAAAACTTTAATGACAACAGAATTTTATTAAATAATTATTAGGTTTGGTTATGATATGTGATCAAATTTTGCGAATTTTGACAAAACTGTTCTCAAAACCGTCTGAAAACTTTCTAAAATAAGTTATATCAATGATTCTTTTCCTATTAGGTTTAATCACGGAAGGTTATAATAAATATAATCTTTATCAGCGAGAGACCATTTCAGTCAAAGCAAATACCGCTATTTATCCTTCTGATCTTGAAAATCTTACATATCAAGATACATCTAATAAAAATTTGACCTGGCCTTATTGGTCTCCACGAGAAACCGAGATTGTCATCACACCAATATTCCCACCTGATTCTGATATTGATTATCGTAAAGTTGAAATTATCGGTGCTACTATTCCCGAAGAGTGCTACGCTGTGGAAGGAGTTTTCAACGATTATTTGAGAACAAACCCTTATCCAGGCTATTATAGTGAGCCAATATGCTACGCATTTTTTAACTCCAAGTTCGGTTATAAGACAATATGTTTATTCGGAAGTGAAAAACGACAACATAATCACGCCATACACTACTAAAGTTAGTTCTGGAAAAGATATTTATGTACTTCTTATTCAAAATCCAAAACCAAAAAGTGTTGTTGAAATTATTGTATACAATTACTACATAATTAAGAGCGGAGATTTCAATGAATATTTCGATGACGAGAAAACTTGTGTTATTCCTCCAAGATCAGTATTCGTTGCCTTCAATCCCGATGGATTAACATTTGAATCATCTGTCCAGCCAATTAAACCTGGCGTTTTTTATTGTGAATCACTTACAGAACCTTTGTCAATTAAAGTCAAAGGTCAAGGTAGATCAAAAATCATTTACAATGTCTCACCTATATTTGCATTTACAAAATGCGATGATCTTTTTGTTGAAGTAGTTAATGACAATGTTTCTACGTATTTTTCAACATCAGGATACGACTATGACATTGAACAAGCAAGGCAGCTTTGTTATGTATTCACATCTCCTATAAATAGAAGATATAAATTCGTAAATCCAAATGGTTTAAAACCTCTGGTAATTGCGACAAATAATTTCTTTGCTCAACCAATTCTATCGGAAAATAATGGACACCCAATTTATTCAAAATCAATTATTGTATATTATACTCAAGCAGATTATAAATCTTATACATTCGCTCTTGAATCTGCAGATATTTTTAACGCGGAGCTACTAAATGATAAACTAAGATACAGCGAAACAATAAAAATTTTAGGAACACTAAAAAGAAACGATAAAAAATCAACTGCTTATCAATTAAACATAGATGAAAAGAATTACAATTACCGCAATGGTACTTATCCATTGGTAATACCAGCAGATGGTAGAAAACTTACATTCCAAAAGTATTCTTTTGTTGTATTTCATAATGCAAAATCATTTACTGGACAACTTGATGGAGTTGAAGTTCTCGGTGACACAGGCAATTATGTATTCAATTTCACAGATAAATTGGCTGCCTTTACGATCAAAACAAAGGACAATAAATATTCAATTGCTAACATAACAATTTTTAGCTACGATCAAATTAATATCAGCGGTGAAACAAATGATATTATTGTAACCAATGGCGAAAGTTATTTATACGTCCAAGCCGGAGGCGATGAGTACTTAATTGCAAATTTCTCATTAATAGAAGATCAAAAGTTAGATTTCTTTGTATTCTCAACATATCCACTCCATGCATTTAAATTTAGTGGAACTGGTTCAGTACACGAAAGTGAAAAATTTAGCGTTGAGGAAATTGATGGATATCCGAACATAGCAAGTTGGAACTCCACGATATTACATGTCTTATATGAAGGAAGTGAATATGGTTATCAAACTGAAGGCGTAAGTTTTGCTCGAGCATCTTCTCCAAAATCTGGTGAAACATATAATTCTTATGATGAATCTGATAGTAATGATATAGCAGGAGTGTTCAGAGGATCTTATTCTTATATAGAACTACCTAATGCAATCTTATTCAAAGATCGTGATCACACTCAACGCGTTTATATCTACGGCACAAGTTACAATTCAACTTCAGGGTCTGGATTATCTTAGGCAGCTAAAAGGGGTATAGTCATAGCAATCTGCAGCATTATAGTTGTGATTATTATTATTGGTTTAATTGTATGCTGTCTGGCCAGACGTCAATCAAAGCGTAAAGCTTCATCATCTGATTCTCTTCCTAACATTAATTCAAATGCCAATAATGACAATAACAATAACAATAACAATAGCAATAACGGCAGTAATGTTGTTTTTATCGTAGTACAAGAAAATCCAGAGCAGCAGCAACAACAAGAACCTAAACCAAAAGAATCCAAACAACAAGAAACTAAACCACAAAAATCACACAGACAACGTCGGAATAGCAAACAACAGGAACCAAGACACCGCCATGATAGCAGACAAGAAAGATCTCACAGTCAACGTAGGAATAGTAAACAACAATCGAAATCTAATAGAAAACACCAGGAACGCAAACATCAATCAAAGAATCACAAACATCATAAAAGAGAATATTCATCTGATTATTCATCAGACTATTCATCAGAATATTCACTTGAAGATCACTTATATCAAGACCAACTTTATCCACCTCCACCACAACAATATCAAGTATATCCACCTCCACCAGAAAACTACCAAACAAATCCTTACGAGGGTCTCAAGACTCCTGGTCCTACAAATTATTACAACCAACCAGCACCTTATTACGCTCCTCCTCCTCCAATTCCTCCTCAACAATATGACAATGAAGAAAAATAAATATTCTCATAGATTTTTTTTTTCAGATGAAAAGTAAATAAAAAATTATATAGTATCTAATATGACTGTTATACTTTTTTGGTCTATTTGAATAAAGATTTACTGAAAACAAATAATATCTCCAGAGTTCATATGAGTAATTGAATCATAAATATGATTCAGTGCTTATCCATATGATTTTGTCAAATGGGTATTTATTTTTTATGAATCATCATGAGTAAAACTCACTAAATTAAATGATTATTCCATTAATATTTATTTTTTATGAATTCCTATATGACAAAACTGACTATATTAGATGGTTAATCAATAAATTAACGATGTATAATGGATTTATTATAAAATAAAAGATTTATGAAATGAAATCTTATAATCTTATTAATAAACTTAAAATTTTTAATACAAAAGAGAATAATAATAGTAGTTATAAGAGTTAGTTAACTCTATTCTTTGAAATGTGACCAATGATGCTGACATCGTCGTCTTCGTTTTCTTGCTCCTCAAAAACAATGCCATTATCGCCATCTAAAACTCCGAGAAGTTCTATCTTATTAAGAGCAATGCATGGTGGATCGCCTGGGCAAGTATCGTCTTGAATAAGACGAACGTACTTTGTAGTGTATGTTTCACTGAATTTGTAGATTTTCTCTTTGCATCTCCTCATTTCGGAGTCTTTCTCGACCTTGTGAACTGTTTTCCAGGTTGTGTTATCGTTTGAAATCTGAAGTGACCAACTGTACAAGCAGCAATCGCAACAATACAAGTTATCAAAGCAACAGCATTCGGCGCCATCATCACAACATCCTGCTTTAAGGTAATAACCCTGTATCCGCATAACTCTGTTTTTGATGGAATAAATTGCCCATGGATGTTCATCATGTGAACGACCGCAGTTGGAGCACCAGTCATATACTTTATCTACTTGATCAAAAGCGTATTCTGGCTTAGTAAGCTGTTTGCTTCCATTTATATATTGTGAGGATGATCCACTCACATATACTTCTATCAATTTGTCTTTGTAAGCGTTTCGAAATATAGAATTCGATGGAGTAAGAAGATTTTCACAAATCAAAGAGAAAATCATTTTTCTGTCACTTTTTATCAGCAAAAGAATCAATGGTACACCCACTTCTTTAAGGTTATTTTTTTGGATATGAAGGCTAACTTTACTCAGCTTTATTGTCTGAACTACTGATTTTGCTTCAACAAAAATTGCTCGATTCCGTTTTAAACAGCATAAAAAAGCATTGCCAGTATTTCTTTTGAAAACAATTTGAAGAAAAACAACTCATATTGCGAATTAAAAAATGAATATGTTATTTTGCTCCCACAAACTAGAACATCCCTTAAAATCATCATACATTAGATAACATGCACGAAAACGTGTACCTTAGAATCGCAATTTTCAACCCTCAAAATCCACTGATAGAAAATCTTTATAACTTAATTAATTCTTATACTCTGCTAGTAACAGTATCATTGCTAAAACTTCACAGATTTTCGTCTATACGATTTCGAGATACGAGATGCATTTCTCAAAATTCATTACTTTAATACGGATATTTACATTAAAACACGATGTTTATTACTAATATATCTTTTCTACATACTTTTTTTCTTCATATTATCCAAATATTATTTTACCATATTTCGAAATATAGCATTCAATGCAAAAATACAAATATTTTATGACTCAAATCCAATATGATAATATATTTCAATTGTATGAGCTCAATTAGCATAGTCCGAATATATTGAAATTTCCAAAATTTCAATATATGATTATTTTAGTGCTACCGTATGGTTTTATGATAATAAGTACACATATCTATAATAAAATTAAGTGTTAATAATAAAATTAATTCAAAAAATATCGAAAATAAATTAATGAAATTTCACAATAAAACAGTTACTTGTGATTAATAATGCAAATTTGTCGTTTTAATTTATTCATGTTTTGCCTTTGACACACAAATTTTTTAAAAAATGATGAAAATAATGGAATTTATTATATTTTTTCGTCGACATCTAACTCAAAATCCTATAGAAGGAATTTCCAAATTCCTTGATGAAACACTTTCAGATACCATGTAGAATCTACATAACAAAATTCAAACAAAAACTATCAGTGGAAGTTTAGTGGGTGTACCTTTAAAGAATCATATCATTAACATTCATTTCTCTTTTCGGACACTCTCGCATACATCTGCAGATCTCATTTCATAATAGAAAATGAAGGAAAACTCTTTGTTTGTAAGATCATTTTATTTCCAATAAAGCTAATTTCCAAATTTAAGTTTGAAACATCCTCATACACATACAGGATTAGAAAAATAAGCCTTTTTTGTTAGTTTAGATAATTTTTAAAGTCTTTATTACTTGCAATCTTTAGAAGTATTTTGAAAGATGTTGTTCATAGCTCTTAATGGCTTGTTCGTAGTTTAAGTTGTGAACAACATCATCTAAGTGGAATGAAGGTATTTGTTTCATTCCAACGAATTCGAGAGACTTGATCATTGGACCATGAACAGAATCTGGACTTGCACCTTTGAAAAACTGTTTTGGATCTGTGATTGCTTCTGTTGGTGCACCCCATGTAAACGAGAGCATGAACTTCTTGTTTTGGCAAAGACCACCATCACCGTACTTCTTGCTTGGATCTGTCTTGCTTCTGCCATCACCGTTCCAAAGTGTTCCAAATGATGTTGCTAAAACATCTTCAAGATACTTCTTGACAAACCATGGTGCACCCATCCACCAGATTGGGAATTGCCAAAGTAATACATCAGCTTTAACAAACTTCTGAACTTCTTCTTGTGGGTTGTAGTTAGAATCTGCTTTTGTGACTTCAACGTCATGTCCCTTAGCTGTTAATGTCTTAACAGCAAAATCAACTAAACTCTGGTTTAATTTTCCATTGCCAACGCCTTGTTTCTTAGCTCCGTTGATGATGAGGATCCTCATTTATGTTTCCAGAAAAGAAAGTGATATGAATTAAAAATTGAGAAACTCTATTGAAATTCAATGATCTAAGAAAATTCTACTTTCAATCTTCAAAATTTTTCCCTCTCGAAATTAATTTCAATTAAGATCCAAATGTACACTTAATATAATAAGTTTTTCATTGAAATCATTGCATCGTTATTTTTGAATGGTATTCAAAAGAGTTCAAGAGATTCGATTTCCATATTTAACTGCATAAATATGATATACCAATAAGGGTTTCGTTTTGCGAAAAAAACGTACAATACGCAATTTCGCTAAAAAACATTTAGCTAGCAATTTCGACCTTTGACTCCACTCAAGACGTCACTTTTTTAATTTTGCGGTATCATATTTTTGGAAAATCTTTATGAATATTATATAAAAAGTCTCTTTAATATCTATATTTCATATTTTTATCGATTTTTAAAGTTTTTGCGAAAAGTATTCAATTATTTTTGCTATTTGGTCGGGTAAATGTCAGATTTGCGACATTTTCTGATATGATATTCAGATTCTACGTTGATAATAATGCTTATAGAACCCTCTTGCTATTGTGTCAAAATTGCGAAACCGATAGCAAAAATATCTCGCAATATCAAAATTGAGATATTGAGTGAATTATGCATTATAGAGATTAAAAATCTGATTTGTGAAAACATCTCATCAGTTTCTAGCTAATTCAAAAATCTTTACTATCTTATTCGATTAAAATGAAAAGGGAATAGTTTCATTATGCTTTAAATGACAGCCTTATAATATAATCATAGTTTTCGCTCAATATGCAGCATTTTTTTTTCGAAATCTATGGTCAATGTCCTAAATACTGATTGCTTTGCATTCATATCTCTTACATTTTCTATACCCACATCACTATTCATTGCTATTCCTATCTTTTTCATTTTTGTTTGTTTCTCATAATTTCTCAAAAAACATGATAACTTGATATTTGTAAATATCATACTTTATAACGTAAATAAGAACTTGACCTATTAAGAAAAGCAGTAATGAAAAGAAAATCTGAAATTCATAAAAATTACAAGTTTCTGATGACAATTAGCTTAATTAAACCAGGTACAAGATTATATAATTGTATTTTCTATCCAATTATCCATATAATATCTTATCCAGAAAAAAAAACTTGATCAATACCAAATGATTTTTTAACTAGTAAATAAAGTATTTTCTTTACACACACATTGTATATCATAGTTTTTTTTTTTGGTTTCGCAAAACATCCAAAAACAAATATGCTACAAAAGTGACAATTTTAGCAAAACGAAACCCTTAATACCAACTCTATTTTAATTTCAAATATTTGACAGAATACAAAATTTTAAAAAGTGACAATGTGAATTCATACAACTAATCATCATCAATTTATTGATTTACTTCTGAATTTTGTCATATTCAGAATTGCATACAATTAATAAGCAAAGATGATTCCAAAATGCATATTAATTTTTAAAATTTTATTTTTCATTGTTCTAATTTGATAAAAAGAATGTTCATTTCCATTACCAAATAGTAAGTTTTTGATCCATATACATGAAATATAATTATAATTGATTTCAAATAAATCTATAAATTAAATTATTTAACGTTTCCAAATTGGGAGGGTTCAAATTATCTGACGGGTTCAAATTGGGTTTTGAGGGAATTTGTAAATTCTATCGTACTCATTTGTGAGAATTGGAGGTTTTTTACATTAAAATATTTTTGCCATTGTGTCAAAAATAAAGTAGCCGATAATAAAAATGGCTCAAAGGGATTTTATTGTTTTCGTGTGCATTTGAAAATTTATCATTAGATCGGCATCTGAACCCGTCAGCTTATTTTGAGCCCGACAAATTTTGAAACGTTATTTAACAAGTATATAAATTAATCATGGAAATATCTCTTTGATATTATAGTCAATGCAATGATCAATAGTATTGCACATACGAGAATTACTATATTTATGATCTGCCCATTTAATGAATCAATTACGTTTGATTCATTTTTAATTATTTGAGGTTCAGAAATTGCAAATTTTAATTTAAGTTTTTCTCCACTTTCTTTGTGTTTAAATGTAACTATTTGTGTTCCTTTAAATACACTTGGAGCTCTTACAATTGCATTTCTTCCTCTGAATGAGATGGACCATCCATCAGGACAGTTGTAGTCAAGTTTATCTTCTCCGAAATTGAGTTCTAAAACAGATTTCCTCGAATCCTTTTCCATTTCGAAAAGGTGCCAGTTTGGATATCCAAAATCAACAACTCCTACAAAAGGAATGTTCGTGTCTGTCTTGAGATGTAATGCAGATGAAGGTGAAGCAATTTGTGCCTTGATTCTACTAAACTCCGGACATTTATGATGTTTCAATCTTTCAACAAAACAGAAGAAACCACTCGAGTTGTAAATTGACCTCACCTGACCACAATCATTTGAATCCCAAGAACAAACTAGTGAAATATCACTTGGATAAATAATTTTATCGTGCTCATTATCATCATATACAGGAATTACTTGGTATTTATCAATATCAACCTTTTCTAAACCCAAACTCTTCATCGATAAAACTTTTACAGATGTTTTGAGACTTTTATCGCAAGAAATCGTAACTTTTCCTGAAGAAATCGCTTTAAATTGCCCATTATTTGATATCTTTCCAATCTTTGGATCTGATGTTGTCCATTTAACATCATTTGATGTACAAGTAAATGGAACAACTGCTCCTTTCATTACAGTGATGCTTCCTGAAGGAGAAATCAAAGATGTAGTTGAAATCATGAAATCTTTTTCAATATAAAACAAATTTGTTTTCGCAACTAAAGTAACAGCAACACTCTTGTTTTCCGAAGTAGATATCTGTACAAATCCTTTATCATCAAATGCACCATGTCTAAAGTCTTTTCCTGGCATTAATTCCAAAGAAACACCCGAAAGAGAAGTGTAAAATCTTCCGTATTTGTCAACCATTAAACATTTGAAAACAAAAATAGCTGTTCTATTAAGAAAAACAGCTGCTGGTTCAATAACTTCAAGAATTACAGAGCACTGTTGGAAACCACAAACAGCGTTGATAGTTGTAATTCCTTTGTTGAAAATAGACTTAGCAAAATGTCCATCAATTGTTACAATTGAATTATCATTTGAAGACAAAACAAAAGGCAAATCATTCTTTGATTTGAACTCGAAATAACTTCCCTGAGAAATCAAAACAGTTTGGGGACATAACAACTCAAACTTTTCTTCAATCCTGAACTTGACGGAATTATACAAATTGTAGCAACTACAAGATATCGTTACTAAACCTGGATTTTCGCATTCAAGGATAATATGAGAAGAATTAACAGCTGAATATTCAGAACCTTGTACAGTAATTTCTGAATACAAAGGATATCTATCATCCAAATCTGTTTTGATGATGAAAGATGCAAATAACAAACCACCACTCACAACAATATCTGAAGAACGTTCTATCAAAATTTCAATTGGTTTCAAAACTCTGACATAAATAATTGCAGGGGGAATTGCTGTTTCATAAGGACAGAAAACTTTAACAGTTGTGTTTCCAGGAGAAACAGCAACAATTGAGTTACCATAAACTCTTGAAATACTGACATCATCAGATACAAAAGTGACATCATATTTAATGTCTTTGATGTCAATTTCGAAAATTTCTTTTGGCATCAAAATGATGTATTGTGGATTAACAACAATTGGTTCAACAACAGTTATTATCTTTGTTGCCTTTGAACAACCAGTTGCTGTTGCAGTAACTGTTTTATCACCAAGAGAATCTGGTTTATAAATCCATTTATTGAAAGAAATTCTTTCGCAATATTTTGGTTCAATCAATTCTATATTTGCACGTTCTAAAACACTCTCAGGAATCAATCTATTCGTAGATGTATAAGCATTAACAGTTATCACAGTTTCACTTTTAACAATTACCTTTCTTGGACATTCAATTTCTAAATGGTCAATGGTTACAACATCCAATGCGGTTTTGACAGGTTCTTGGTCAGTACAATTGTCAGAAATAATGTATTCATAATGACCAACGGTTTGCGGTTTGACAGTGAATGTTCCATTGTCATTAATTACTGCGTTATTTCCGAAAACACTGAAAATTCCACTGCCACCTGTAATTGCGAAATTACTTTTCATATTTTTCGTGAAATAAACAATTTTTGAAGATTCAACAATTATAGGAGATATAACATTAATTGTTACACTACTATCTATTGCGTTATTTGTGTGTGCAAGAACATCAATTGTTTTTGTCACTTTTATTTTGTAAACTGAATAACCAGTATCTTCATCAATTAAAACTCTTTCGATGAATGTATCATCAGCAGTGAAAGTTATGGGATTTGCAGAGTAATAGTTGATGATTTCATCTCTAGCATTGAAACAATAAACATAAAATGAAATCAAATGATTAGAAACAACATTATATAAATTCTTGACTTCATTTGTTATTTTCACTCCACTTCTGATTAAATTACACTTTTCTATGTCTTTGTTACTGTTTAATTGGTCAACAGGAATAATTCTCAAATATTGAACATTAGAAACATGCAATTCAAAGTTCACTTCACATCTAACCGGTAACGGATTTATTGAACAAGCTTTGTTTCGTATTTTGAGAGTACATAAACCATCATATTCTTTGTCAACAGAGAAATAATGTTTTGAAAGAGTTGCTGCAATATTTTCACATGAAATCTCTATTTGAGGGGGTGACAGACTCTGCCATTTTAAGGAACCCCCTGTATAATGTAGAGGAATGTGAGAATTTGGAGAAGCAATTCCTTTTATTTTGTATTCAAGTTTGTCAATGACAGAAACGGTTATTTCTTCGGTTTTGACATTATTTGACATACAAAACAATTTTGTGAAACCAGGAGATTTCGACATCATCTGTTGGTCAACAATTAAAATGTTTGTTGACAATATTTCGTGTTGCAAAGTTATGGAATAATTGTGGCCACTTTCACTTGTGAATCCACACAAAGGAAGGAATTTCTCATTCACGTATTTCTCCCTCTCATCTAATACAATATAAGAACTCTTAACAGGTGAAACCAATACCTTACAACTGGCTGTCAAACCGTTAATCATGTTATCGGCAACGATTAATTCGGTTTCACCAATATTTGAATTAGAACGGATTTGGCGGTTACCAGCATCAGCTATTTTTGTGTCTTTTACCGAAATATTGAAGTGGCCAGAACCGCCTGTCAAACCGTAAATAAACCAGTTACTTTTTGGTGGCAAAACGATTAAATCCGGATTAATTTTGATTGGAGGACACACAATGACTAAACAAGTGAATGAGAATGAGAAATAAGAGAAAGTAATTGTGTTCTCACCTAGTTCTGACCATTTTCCTGTGATTGTCCACTCAATTTGATCTGATCCGTAAATTTCTTGGCCAAATTCATCGAAAACTTTGGGAGAAAATACAGGATCAGTGCCTTGTAATATGTATTGGTCTTTCTGATAGCCTGAATATGGTAAAGTTACGTTGACAATTGTTGTTGCAGTGTTATCATCGGAAAGAAGGTCACTTGCAATGATAGAAGCAACACCAAGTTCATGAGTATGAGATAGACCTTCGTTGTTTATAGTAATTATTTGTTTGTTCGATGAAGAAAAAGTAAATTGATTTTGATTTGCTTTATTTATTGGTTTGCATTGGGATAATGATGTCGCCAAGTTTGTGCATAAGTGGAATGGTAAGTTAACATCCGGTAAAACTCTGATATAATTTGGTGGATACAAATTTATTTGTTCAACAATAGAAATTTCTGCTGTAGCAACCAAATTGAATAACTTAGCTTGTATCGTAGATTTTCCGACTGAAATTCCTTTCAAACTTAATGTTGGATTTAATGGATCTTTTTGAATTGAATTTTTATCGAGAATAAAGTAATTGGAATCATATTGCCAGTTTGCTTCATGTCCAATAGATGTAAAAATGTTCTGTTTTCCATCGAATCCCTGTAAGGATATTGTTTGTGAATAACTATCAACGTAAACAGTTCGAGTAGATGTAAGAATTTCGATCTCTTTGACTTCATCAATATAAACATTGCATGATTGTTTCTCTCCTGCTTCATTTTCAGCTATAATTAAAGTATTCATTCGGGTCATTCCAGTATATAGAACTTCAACTTTCGCAGATTTATAGCATTTGTCATTATCTTTTATTGGAGTAACTTTTAAAATCGAAGGATTTGATGATGACCAATTTACGCATGAATCTTGGATATTTGATATAACAAACGAGGGCATTACTGATGTGCTATCTCTTCTGAATGGTAGAAGAGCATTGTTATGTGATAATTTAATGCCTTGCTTAAAAATTGCAATAGAAAAACATAAAAACATTTATGAAAAAATTCAATTTTTAGGTCAAAATCTTCAAATTGAACTAAAATTTATCATAATTTCATAATGCTCAAAATAAAACATATCTCGAAACAATATTAAAAAACATATAAAGACATAAATTAATTTTAACAATAAAAGATATTAGACATTTTATTCAATCTAAGGAGTGTAACAATTATGAATCGATCATAACCATATTCTGAACAACAATTAAAGTGTATTCATCTGTTGGAGAAATGAGAATTTCTAATTTTTCTGTACGAATTCTTAAAAATGTTAAGCTATTATCTGGATCGCAATCTTTAACCATACTTGCTGCTCTTTCTAAAAGAGGTGGAAGTTTTTCAGCGTATTTAGCTGGGTCTGAATTTTTGAATGCGGAATGAATGACTTTGTATTCAGCATCAAGAACTAAAGTGCCAATGACACTCTTGTTAGCTTCTATTCTCTTTAATGTTTCAATAATATCGCTCATTCTATGATTCCCGAAAAAAAAAATTAAAAAAATTGAGTAACGTATCATTAATCCCCCTTCATAAAAAATTAGACCCCCATTTTAATAAATTAACGATAAAATTTTTTAAATTCTGGATTTTGACGGACAATCTTTTTCATACTCTTTTAGAAGATAACCAGATTGAGCCGGAGGACTATGAAGCAAATCCTGACAAGTTCAAAATACTTGAGTGTTTCCACTTCAATCTTCCAGCACATCCAAATTTTGATAAATTTAGACAATTAACAGAAATCAGAGTCATCGAGCAAGATGTAACCGATTTAGAATGGCTCAAAGACTTACTTAATCTTGAAAAATTACATGTTTACCATACATTATTAAAAGATACATCTGGATTAAAATATTGTCCAAACATTAAGCATTTAATTCTCGAAGGAAATAAACTAACAAAGCTTCCTGATTGTTCTTCTCTACAACATCTCGAAATCCTTTCAGTTGCTGAAAATCCATTCGAACAAAATCCAGATTTTACACAGTGTAAGCACATAAAAGACTTAAATATTGCTAATTGCAGACTACCAGACATATCATCTACCATTAGACATATGACAAAACTCGAAATTTTGAACGTTGCTGGTAATCAGATTCATACTTTCAAGATTTTCGATATCCTACAGCAAATGCAGAACTTAAAAGAAGTTTATTTCTACGATCCTAACTATGGAACAAATCCAATTTGTGAATTTCCAAATTATGATATAATGGTTGGTTGTTTATTGCCTCAGATTGAAACAATCGATACATTTAGTATTACAAAGAAGTTTAGATCCATTTGTGAATCCAGAAAACGCGAAGTTAAAATTTATTATTCAGCAATCTCTGCAAACGAAGCTTCTTACTGCGAATCATTGAAATCTGAGTTCTATAGGAATCTTGACAAGATTATTTCAGATATTCCATTTACAATTGAGCTAAATCACGAAGTTTTTGATAAAATTAATGAAATTGCATCAAGATTTGATCATTATTACAAAGAATTCAAATACACAGCAACAGAATTACCAATGCTTGAATACAAGACAGCCGGATTATTGCATTCCACCCGACTTCTTGAAGATTATCAAGAATGGAATGATTTTTCATCGAATATCTCTCAATTTGTTGAAAGATCGACCAAACTAGATATCGCTGCCATTTGGGAAATCTCAAATGTTGGAGCAACTCATTTTTTGGAAGAATTTAAAGCCCAGAAGACTCCAAAAGTGATAGTTTATGATTTAGCAAGTGAAGCAATATCAGCACTATGCAACTGGACTGAAAGCCAGCATGAATTTTCTTCAATTATAAATCCAAAATCACAAGATACGTATTTTGTCGTTTTCTGTGATGTTGTTGAGCAGAACAATGAAGTAGAGTCAGCACCAACATACTTAATGATGGTTTCAACACCAACAGACTCTCTTTTGACCGAATGCGAAAATTTGATTTCACAAATGATCAAGCAAAGTCAGAAATTGAAGGAAATCTCTGATGGAGAAACACTTGTTCAAGTCCAAAACAAATTCACATTAACAGAAACTCTTACAAAAATCACTTTAATCAATTGTGAAATTAATTCTTTGGCAGCATTCAATGGATTGATCAATCTTAAGGAGTTAAATGTTCCATTCAACAGGATAGAATCCATTACAGACCTTCCTCCTCTACCTGCTCTTTCTGTTTTAGATATTTCATTTAATTTGGTTGAAAACGTCAATTATCTGATTCCTAATGATAAATCCATGATCGATAACATATCCCAAATGTATATAATAGGAAATCCTGTTTATTCACATACGACCAACATGTTTATCAAAACAATTTTCAAAGGTTTACAAAACGATAAACCAAGTTCTGTTCTATTTTCTCCTCCTAACGATGATACCTTTTATTTGACATCATTATCGAATAATTTCTCATCATTGGAGAATCTTCAGACATTGGACATCTCTTCTAACGCTATAACAACATTAAAACCACTTTGTAAACTTCAGAAATTGACAAAGTTGATGGCAAGTGGCAACCAATTAACAAAAATCGACATTGCCAGCCAAAATTTGACATATTTAGATGTTTCATCTAATTTCATCGAAGAAATGCCAATAAGTCAGACATTACCATCATTACAATTCCTTTTGATGCCAAATAACAAATTGAAGAAATTACAACAATTCACTTCACTTTTGGCACTTTTCATCGGTAACAATGACATTGATGAGATTCCACAGAGTAATTTCTATCCCAATTTGATTATTCTTTCCATGGAAAACAATCCTTTGATGGAAGAAGTTGACATGAACAGACTTTTGTTCCAATTCAAGACCCTGAAAATGCTAAATGGCCAGCCAATTAAACAATCACAACATAACAAAGTACAGAATCAGTTGCAAGGAATTTTGTTCCCAGAGGAAATCGGCGCCTTATTAAAGAAAGGTCAAACTTCCCTCGATTTGTCAGAGAAAAACTATAAAAATGTTGATATTTTGGCATCTGACACTTTACAAGCTCTCAATTTGTCAAATAACAATTTGAGTGAAATCAAATGGCCAAAGAATCCATTCCCTAAGCTTCAGAATTTGATGATTTCAGGAAACTCACTCACAAACTTCGACTTCTTACTTTGTTTGCCTCATTTAAGAGCTTTGGATCTCTCAAACAACAAAATTGGTGACTCCTTATGTAAAATACTTGTCACTTTTCAGCTACATAACCTTAAATCACTTAACTTATCATATAATTCAATTAAAACACATCCGATATTGCCAAGGAGCAATTTCCCGAATATTGAATTATTAGATTTATCTCATAATTACGTGATGACAATAGAAAGAGGAACATTTAGTGAATTACAGTTGTTGAGTTCGGATTTATCATATAATTCACTCAAAAAACTTGATAACATCAATTGCCAATCATTGACATTTTTAGATGTTTCTCATAACAGAATAACAACAGTTGATGAAGTTGAAAAATTGAGAAATTTGACAAATCTCGCGAAATTCAACTTCAACGACAATCCTTTGAACCAAAGAACGATCCACAGAATCAGAGTTTTGTGTATCTTAAGGAGCGTCAAAGAAATTGATGGAAAACCAGTCACAGAAAGTGATTTGATGCAAGTTAAACAAATTTTGGAACAAAATTCTGCAATGGGAGTTTTACCTCCAGAACCACAAGCTCCTCCTGGAAAAGTTAATAGGATTAATAACATCATTATGTCACCTAACTTACCTGCACTTCACGAAGCACCTACTCCAAAGAGAAACAAAGATAGACCTAATCCAAGATTCCCTAGATAATAATTTTTTTAAAAAAAAAATCATATTGTTTATTTTGAATTAAAAATATTTCCGTGTAAACCTTTGAATAAAATCGAAATTTTGTGAACAAACGTCTTAAATTTTGTATTATCTCAAAACTTTACATTTCAATTTAGCATTAATAATATAATAATGGTTCAAATTTTTTTTCATTCTGAATTCTCAAAATTTTCAATTGACAAAAAAGTCGATAATAGTTTTTTTTAAATGGATTTTCTTTTTAGACCACCAGTTTTTAAAGGGAATCTAAATGAGTATCCACCAATATTTGTAGATGAAGCTAATCAAGATAAACCTGATCAAACTTTCATTGTTCAAAAAATTAAAGAAAAATTAAAAAATATTGAACAGTTTTATCCATCATTACCTCAAATATACCACAATCTTAAAGTAATGATCAGAGATGAATTCGAAAAATCCATCAAAAGCACAAACAGATTCCAAATGGTGCCATTATCTGGCGATGAAAAATTTTACCAAGAATATACATCAGATATACCATTAGATAAAATGCCTCCACAGCAGCTATTCAATTTTCTCGATCAACACTTTGAAAAAATGACAGTTGAACAATATCCAATTTTATTGAATTTCGGATTGTCTCCAAGCACACATACATTATCAAAACTAGCAATAATATCGAAATTAATAGCTACACAAACGAATTTCCCTCTCAATCAAAAAATACAAAAAGGAAATTTTCAAAAAGATGCAAATCAGAACGAAGAAGCATCAGATCAGAACCAGTTAGTTACAGAATATAAACAAATAAGTGATCATCCACTCGAAAAATGGAAAGACAGCAAAGAAATTTCATATTTAATAGGAAAAACAAAAAACAATACAATTTACATTGAATCATTAGAAGGCTTATACATTATACTTCAAAATACTGTTGGTAGATACATTTTCGATATTAATTCCAAGAAATATTATTTTAATAACGAAGCAAAACCAATAAGTGATATCTATCAATATGATCTTGTTGATACATCAATAATCGATGGTCATCTCGTGTTTATTGGTTTAAATAATTATGAAATTGTTATAACTCGGTTTAATGACGATCAACTACCAAATGACGATAATGAATGTGAAGAATATAATATTGGAGAAACAATTTCGATGTCAGAATCATCTATTCGCATAATTGAAGATAAATTATATTTATATACTACAGAACATGAAATTGTTATCTATAATTTAAATGATATGAACATTATTGAAGAAGAACCACGTTATTATTTGTTTTCTCACGTCAATTTCTCAAATGACGAAATATTCCAAATTAATTTCAACAAAAACGAATTATTTATTGATACAAGAAAACTTATAATGTCTGAAAAGTATCTTACAATGATTCGTCCCAGTTTTGCAATCAGTTCATATGAAACTGTTTCATTAATTATTGATGACATTTTGCAAGAAATGATGAAAACTTTTTGTGTGATAATAAAAGGCGAAAATTGTTCGAATAACTATGCAGAGAATCCAGAACAGCATGTAGATTACGCATTACAAGTTATCAAAGACTTAGAAGATAAAGAAATTCCAAGGGATTTAATGAATTTCTTAAATGTTTTTCTGACAAGATTTTTTGTATTAAACTGCCGCCAAATTTATTCAATCAATAAAATGGTCAATGACAGGGACCAACAAAAGATCACCGCATTTTTCGGAAGGATTGTTCCTAACAAGCTTTTGCTAGAGACTTATGATATATTAATAAGAACTGTTAAATATGGAATGTATTGGCCATTTCTCGTTGAAAATATTAATTATGATTATTTGAAATACAACGCAAAAGTTGATTTGTTTAAATTGCCGCAAAGTATATTTTTGTATTATGATATTTCCATTATGAATTGTATAGGAGATGAAGAACAATGTACTAAATTCATTTTGCAAAGGATAAATGATATGTACCAATTAGTACAATTAACAAGAAACATAAATATTAATCAAAATGTTTCTTTTTATGACAAAGAATTTACTTCTTTTATTAATTTCGCTTTCGATTATCTCAAGACATTGAATCTTGATAACAAAGAGACAAAAGCAACTGTTATTTTGGAACAGTTATTTGCTGTTTTATCTGTTATTCCAATGAGTTGTTCATTGGCTGAATGCGTTTTGGAAAATTTGAAAGAAATTTCGGAAGAAAAATCAAATATCGCATACAAAATTTCACTTTTTGATAAATCTTTCAAAAATTTCATGAAGTATTTAATGAACTTCGCAACAAGGAATGATAACAATACTAATGATTTCCCATGTATTTCTATGAATACTACAATCCTTGCTCCTGAAAATATATTCGGAGATATTGAAACAGTTTTGGAAACCCCTTTCGAAAAAATCACTGTAAAACAAAAAGATTTTGTCAAAGGAAATATCAACCAAAACGCGTTTTTCAATAACGAAGAGATAAAATCCGAATCAACGGATATACAAGGAAAATTTGTTTCAATTGATATCATTGGAAATAATAAGAATTCTCAGTTTTTCTTGGAAGGAAATGTGACAAATGACAAAAATTTTCCAATTTTAAATCCTAATTGTGCAAAATTGTGTTTGTTGCCTTATTTGTATGCGAAAACAAGTAAGATATTAATGGCAACAATTCCTGAAACGGATTTCGAAAGCAAGCACAAGGAAATACTGAACTTGATATCATTTAGACAAGGAGATATTTCGTTGTTTGATTTTCATGATAAAATTCAAAATTTGTCAAAATTTGAAGAATTAAAAGAAAACGAAATTCCAACAATAATTTCGACTGTTACAACGAAACAATTCTTGAGGAAAAGAATGAAGCAGATTAAAATTGAAGTCCATCAATCTGCAACTAAAATTGTTTTGTCTATTTTGTGGTCTTGCAATTACAAAAATGAATTTGAAGAGTTTTTGAAAAATCCAACTTTACAAAATTTCGAAAAAACTTTTTCGGATTTCATTCCAAAAGTCCAAAAAATCAAAGAATCTTTAATGGAAAACAGCAAGAAGAAATCATTTGATACTATTCTAAACTCATTAAACAGGAAATTTAGTTTATTAATGAGTTCTTCCGCATTGAAAAATCCAAATGAACAAAGAAATACTTGGATTTCAAAAATCATTGATTTTTATAATTTCGAATTTGATGCATTCGAATTGAAAAGAATTGATCAGCTTAGAACAAGAAGAAATACTCTTCCAAAGCTTGCAAATGAAAGAATTATTGGCTTCTTAACAAAACAAAAATCTTTGAATCATTATTACTTGAAAAACAACAAATTATCTATTTTTATTCCTTTCGCAAGGGCTTTGATACAAAAAATAGATGTAAAGAAGTTTGATCTAAATGAAATTTGTTCTGATATCAATGATTTCTTGATAAATATTCATTTCATGATCAATGAAAATGATCCGAAAAATCTCAAACAAAAAACTGAAAAATTTTTGTCTTTGGAAACTGAAAATTCTTTGTTTATGGGACAAGCAATTCAACCTATTGACAGATCCAGATTATTAGATCTTCCATTTAGAGCTCACATTGGTCCACAACAAGTCTTTGGAATTCCTGCAGAAGTTGCTTTGAATTCAGGAAATTACTGGGATGTTGCAAGAAACATTTGTATGTTAAGAAACAAAAATTGTTGGAAAGACATGAAATATCCTGATTTCATTGTTAACAATATTAAATTGGATAATAATGAATTGTCATTAATGAGTTTAGGAGCAATGATTGCTTTGGGAGCTGAGATTTTTGATTCCGAAATTACAAGATTTATCAAAATCAATAGAAACACAGAAAAATCCAAAGATTTTGATATAAATCTTAGAAGAAATTCTGAAAGTTGTTTCGAAATAGATCCTCCTAATTTCGAAATCACTGATAATTTGATCAGATCAATGGCAGAAATTCTCAAAAAAGTTGATTTAAGAACTACAAATACATCTGTTTCAATTCAGAATTGTATTATTTTGTCTTTTGTTACGAAATTGTTCCAAATTTCAAAAGACAAACAAAATCTTGCTATGTATTTTATTCAGTTAAAGCCATTAGTAGATATTGCACAAAATGTTGATGTTCCGAATTACTCTAATACAACATTTTGCTATTTAATTCGTCAGCAACTTAAAAAGTCAAAAATCGAAAAAGAAAATGACGACAGATTCATTCCTTTGACACATTTCTCCAAATGCGATAACAAAATAATAAGTGGACATGATAGTACAACATCATTTTTTGTACACACGAAACAGATTTCGAATTTAAATGGTATTTCATTTAAATTTGATTCATTGAAGAATTCATTGAAATATATTGGTTTCATTTCTGAAGATTGGGATTCAGTTTTCCTCAGTTTCCTTGATAGAAACATTTACTCCGATAGAGGATATGTTCCTTACAAAGAATCAATATCTGAGATTGTTTTGTCTGTTGAAGGTTCTTGTTTGAAATTCGGAAATGTTAAAATAGAAACCGAAGAAACAAAGAAGAGATGGATTTTCGTAATTACTAATTTCGATGATTCTATAATTAATTATCAGTTTATTGATAAAATTACGAAATCAAATAATTCTGTTTCTTTGTTGAAACAACATAATTTCGATTTAACAGCAATTTTCCCTAAAATTTGCTTAGGAATGCAAGCAAACATTCAAAGACATTCTGATATAATTGTTTCTGAAATCCTAAGTGATTACAAATATAAAATCAAAGGAATAGATGATGAATCTAATTCTAGTGTTGAATATGAAGTTTCCGCAAACCAAATCAATAAACAAAACACGAGTTTTGAAACAGTAATGATTAATTCCGAAATGTTCCATCAAATCGGACACAAAAAAGATCTTGAAAACAAACTAATTGAAACATGTAATTTTTATTCATATTCATTGTTGAATTCTATTTCTGAATATTTCGGTCAACAAAATCTTGACAAACTATTATTATCATTATCAAGATTGAGTGATACATCATCATATGAAGAAATAGAATAAGTCCGAATTTTAGTTGAAAACCAGAAGCAACAAATCATCGAATTGATTGAAACAGGAATCAAAAAAGGAGGAAATGACAATGAATTCACTAAAGGCAGAGATTTGAATCAATTGAGATCTTCTAAATATGGAAAATACCAACTTGCATTGTTCCAATCATGGAATCACAATATTTTATATGAAAAAACATTCATGAATGGATTAAGTTTGTATTATAATTATCCAAAGATTTGTTCAGGCTTTGTTCCAATGATTTTAGAATCATTTGATTTTATTATTCCAAATAATATTGAACAATGCAAGATGATTTTGAATTTCTTTAATTCATCAATCCATGACATTTATTTCTCTGATTTAATTATCGAAGGATATGCAGATTACATTGATAATTTAGTTACAAAAGTTTTCATGTCTGATCCAATAACAATTGTAAATAAGAAACCACATTCTAATTTCATTATTAAATGTGCAGAATCATTATTACCAGATTTACTTGAATTAGGCATGAAAGCAGAGAATGCAGAGAAAAGAATGCCTCCTTTATTGATATATGCTGATTTAGCAATTAAATACAATAGATGTGTTGAATCAGCTAGTTTTACATATTATCCAATCGAAATCAAATACAAGAATGAAAATACAAAGATTATTAGAGGTCGTTTCCAATACAATGATAAAATTGTTGGATTTCGATATCATTTCGGAACAGGCGAGAATGTTTTGACAGATTGGTTAAGTAATAAATCTAAAGATTTCTCTAAGTGGTATAAAATGGTTTTGATTGATTCTTTGTTAATGAACAAAATTACAGGTTCTGCATTTGACAATGCTCCTCCTGTTGTTGTTTATTTCGCATGCTTAAGTTTCTCAGTATTAGATGAAATCCCAGATAAATATTTGAACTTCAAAGGTCGAGAATTTAATGCAATCAATCAATACATCAATCCCAGTGTTTTGATTGGATTTTATGGAGATTTCTACCACTGGGCACAAGCAAAGAAAATTGCACATATATTTGTTGATATTGAGAAAACTCATGCACATGGTGTTGATTATGATTCACCAGAAAATATCAAACTTATTGATGTTCTTGCAAATTCAAGATCAAATTTCCCATCAAAGCTATTTGCATGCGAAAATTTGTATAACAAACTTATTTATTTTGTTGAATACAAGAACTTATCAGGTCTTGACGCCGGAGGATTATTTAGAGATAGTTTCTATCACATGGTTAATGAAATCATGGATGTTAATGCCAGATATTTCATCAATCCTCCAAATACATTACATTGTGAAAATGATAAATTGGTTCCTTCGACTAATTTACCTGACAACATCGCATTCACAGTTGGTTCATTACTTGCTAGTGCAATTGCGACACAGAATTCACATAAAGCATGGAATTTACCACGTTTTATTTGGTATAGTTTCTCAACTAATTCAAGTATCAGCACATTAGTTGATTGTGATGATTCTGAATATTTCAAACAGCTTTCGCGTGTTGTTTTGAACACCAGAAAAGGTTTTTGGAAAGTTTTGCCTATGAGTGTCATCAAAAACGTTTCCGGACGAATTCTTGAAGGAATGGCATGTGGAAACAAGGCAGCATTAGATTACATAACATTTTTGAACTATTTCAACAGAGCATCTCATGATTATGATGTTTGGGAAACATTTGAAACCGCATGCGCGATGATGACATCAGAAGAATTGTCTAAGTTGTTAGCATTCATTACAGGAAACGAAACACCAAAGATAACTCGAGCTTTCTTCTTGAGATTATGCGAAGTCTTTCCGGCCAGATATTACGATGAACCAGAGATAGATGAAACTAAGTTCCGTCTTCCAGAAGCACACACATGTTTCAATCAAATCGATATCATGCCATACAGAGATGCTGATTTATTGAAGAAACAATTATTAATCTGTATTTCTTATGCATCCACAATTGAAGATAATCATTGATCAAAATGTTATTTATTATTTGTTTATATATTAATTTTAAAACTATAATTTTTATTGATGAAATATATTAAATTATTATGAAATTATAGATTATGAAATATATATTTTCTTCTATCTATAATTAATTAAATAAATCATCTTCGAAGATAAATTGAGTATCATCATAAAAATCAAAAAATGAATTATCAAATGTATCATTTTGTTGGACCTGGTTATTTTCTCTGATAAGTTGATTATATCTAATTCGTACTTGTGTTGAGCTTCGATTTTTTAAACATCTTGAAATATATGCCCACTTATTTCCAAGATTTTCATGAAGATATAGAATTAACATATCCTCTTCTGCAGTGAAAGAATCAGCATCTTTGGAAAGAAAATTTTTCCATCTATCTCTTATAGCCCTTTTCGAATGACATCCCTTGAAAATCTTGAACAATGCATTAATGCAAAAATCATATCCCATCGAATTCAAATGTTCTTTAAAATGAGAAAGAATAAGCTCATCTTCAGTCTTTGTAAATCTACGTACTCTCCTATCCAACCGCATTATCAGATAATGAATTGATGGATTGAATATGAATTCAAATAATTCTATTGGAAAATAACGGTTATTAGTGGAAAACTTCAGAAAAATGCCTGATATTGACTATTTATATTTATATTTTTTTATTCAATTGTGTGATTTAACCAAAAACTGACATTAAGATATTCAAAATTAAATGGAAAATATCAAATTAATTTTTCGTTTTATCATGTTATTGCAAATGTCTTGAATCTTTCATATCATTAAATTATGTCCAACTCAGAAATATTTTGTTAACTAACATTGAAATCAGAGTGTGTCTTTCCATAAACTTCTCAATTTTGAAGAGTGCAAATTATTGAATTCAAATGGTGTAATTTTTTAAAAAATCACACATTTTAAATTAAATGATGGAAGAATTTAAATCGCAATCACACAGGTAATTAAATAATTAGTTCTGTTTTTCAAAAAAAAAACATTATTAGAAATTGGCAATGATTATTATTACATTCAGAATTAATATTAAAGCATATGTTATTCAAGGGCACCAAGCATCTTAGAGAAAATCATACAATTTTGCCAAATGATCGAATTAATTAATTTTGAATATTACAAAAAATCATTTTTTTTATGAGAAAGGTTTGCCAAACTTGACATTGATGATTGATATATTTTGAAGCGACCTGGAAATGCTCGTCACATTTTTGCAAAATCCAGGATCCGATTTGGAACTATCTGCAAGTTCTTAGTTTACAAAATAGGTTATTGGATGAAATCGGGTGCTTCTCTAGCTCCGATTTCTTGAAGTTTTGGGCAACTTGTTGGCGTTTTTGAATCCTTGGGAGCAGAGGAGCTTGTAATTCCACCTCGAGTTTGATATTAATTTGTCCAAAAAATAAAGTTGCACATAATTTAATCCAATTCCATTCGTCATTTCATCCTATTTGTCCAATTTGGATTTAGTTTCATAAATAAAATTTGGAAAATACGCTTAAGGTCGCCCAAAAAAGTGCGGAATTTAAAAACCGCAGTTTGAGTACTTTCTGAGAGTCTGTTTGTCAGAAAGTATATATTTGTAAACTTTCTGACACTAAATTTTTTTGGTCCTTTCAAAGTTTTTGACAATGTCAAAAAGTATACATTGGAGCTCTCAATTTTCCTCTCAAACGGCGGTTTTTAAAAAACGCTCAATTTTTCATTGACCTTAATAAGCGTCATTTTGTTGTAAACAGAAATTCATCAAAAGTGACACCTCAGAAAAGCTAAAATATTGAATTTTTGGAACTTTTGATAGAGCACGTTTTTAAATATTAATTAAAGTAAATGTATATTTTGTAAAGATTCTTTTTAATAAAAAAATAAAATTTTGAAGAAGAACACAAAATCTTCTGAAAAATAATATCACATAAACTCATATTATTTTCTAATATATAACTATTTTATATAAAAATCAAATTCAATGATCTTAAAAGCGAATGATAAACCTCAAATTTACGAATATTAATGAGTGGTAATATAATGCTTATCTATCATAAAACCATATGAAATATCAATTTTTGCTTTACGCCTAATTTTGACGACAATTAGCAAAAAATGTTTAAATGTTAACACTCAGTCCATTTGAATATGAAAAATAAAAATTGACTTTGATTAAATGTTTTTATTTATCATGCAATTCTTCTTGCGACCAAAGATTTGAATAAAAGTTCAAAAAATAAGATAGCTTAAAAAATAATATACGGTAGTGTTTACTAATAGATGAATAGTATATAAATTCTATTAAAATGGATTTGATCCAAAAAAATATAAAACCAAAAATAATTGTTATAATTTAAATGAAGAAGTAATTTAAAACGATTTTATTTATGATCAAATTTTATATATTTTTTGGATCAAATCCATTTTAATAGAATTTATATACTATTCATCTATTAGTAAACACTACCGTATATTATTTTTTAAGCTATCTTATTTTTTGAACTTTTATTCAAATCTTTGGTCGCAAGAAGAATTGCATGATAAATAAAAACATTTAATCAAAGTCAATTTTATTTTTCATATTCAAATGGACTGAGTGTTAACATTTAACATTTTTTTGCTAATTGTCGTCAAAAATTAGGCGTAAAGCAAAAATTGATATTTCATATGGTTTTATGATAGATAAGCATTATATTACCACTCATTATATTCGTAAATTTTGAGGTTTATCATTCGCTTTTAAGATCATTGAATTTGATTTTTATATAAAATAGTTATATATTAGAAAATAATATGAGTTTATGTGATATTATTTTTCAGAAGATTTCATTCTATATGCCTATGAAAAGTACTCTCAAAACTAACTTTTCCCTAATTATAATTAAATCTAGAATATTGTATTATGCTTAGTATTATTTCATTTTTCTCATTCAATTTAGAATTTACAAATGTCAAAAAATTGAGAGCTGTTACTTTTGATGAATTTCTGTTTATTACAATTTGGCATATTTTCTTACTTGAGTTTTTGATTGATTTTCTAAATGAGAAATAGAGCTAAATGATTAAATTATTCTCTTGAATAATTATTTGTCACCTTAAGGCTGCACAAACGCCCATCTGAAATTAATTCAAATTTTTGACAACTGACGTGAAACGTCCTTGAAAATTAACCTTAAACATCTGAATTGAAGGCCATGTCATAGGGGCGTAAGAGCACACTTAATAAAGAACAAAAATGTTCACATATCTTATGCAAAATACAAGCAAATGGATAAAAAAATCGCAACGGCGAGTCTCAAAAATTAAGAGAAAATAACGTTCATTGTTTACAAATTTAGAAAATTCTTGTTCATTGTTTACAAATTTAAACTAAATTTGATAAGAATATTTGTCGAATTTGATTGAAAATTAGGCTTCTAAATGGTTAATGCCAAAAATGTGCAATTTGTATGAACTGAAATTGATCATCAATTAAAGCAAGGGATGATCCTGATGATGATCTTCAGTGACTCGAATATTAATTCATACCAACATATCGGGCGTAGACGGATGATGCCCGAAATTAATTCATATCAAATTTGATTTTTTGAGCCAAAGAAATGTAGTAAGCTTATATATTAGCTCAATAGAAACGAAAACCTTATATGTTTCTCAATTAATGCTAAAAATATGATGTTTTAAAAAGCAATCGCTATGATATTATTAATACTAAATAATTCTAGGAGCTTGTTGAAAATTGGAAAGAGGAACTTCCTCCAAAAAAACTGACAAAAATTTTTGGATGTCTCTTCTTGAGTTTCTTATTGCTCAGGACGAACCATTAACAACACAAATTATCTGTGAGAAATATGGAAAGCCAGAGGAAACCATATTACCAGAAATAGAAAAATTATTAAGTGAAAATCAAATTCATAAACGAGATTTTCAAGATAAAGACGGAAAAACAGTTTCAGTATATTGGTCTGCAAGATTAATACCTTTTGTTGAATCCAAACCCATTGTTACATCACCATTTTCTGATCCATTTGATCATTCAAAGGCTTTAGAACGATTAAATGACGCACAACTCGCGCAAGAGAAAATATGGCTTCAAACTCACTTGAGAAAACTTAATTCAGAATACGAAAACCTTGCTCATCGCTCAAAACACAAATTTTCACCTGAAGATGAGAAAGAATTGGACGATGTTACAATCAAATGGGTAAATGCTTGCCAGGAAATGCTTTACGAGCTCAAAAGTAAACTACGCCAAAAAGGTACTGAAATGTCAATGACTGATTTAATTAAGAACTTACAGATAGATCCAAGGCTCGTTTATTGGAATCCTGATGAAGAAGACTTCGAAACACCTAAGTAATTTCTTTTTAATAATGTATTTTGTTGATAAATTATTTTATTTTTTTAATGAATTCATTTTTCTTTATTAAAACCGATGTAAACTCATCAAATGGTCATTCTTTGTTAATAACTATTAGTATTTAAATCCAATATTTATTAAAATTTTAGTTTATCTGATAATTCTGTTAATTTTCTTTAATGAGAAATAGCCAAATTAAAATTCAAGATGATTTTATATGATGACTCGCAAATATTTTCATTCCTTTAGTAATTTTTCGAAAATAATATCATATTTGAAGGCTAATGATTCTATCTATCTGGAAATATATTGTTTGGACTACATTTTGATTAATTTTGTTTAAGAATTTTTAAAATTTTTATTAAAAATTCCAAAAAAACAGAATAACAATTAAACATCAAAAATGCTGTAAGTATAATCGCTAGTTTAAACATTAGTCACGTTTTCTCTTTCTGAAAATTCGTCAACTGCGGCAAAGCAATATGACTCAGCTTCTTCCCAAACAAGATGATATTTTCCGCGTGAATTCTCTGCTTCATTTACAGCGGAATTGTAGCTTGGTGAGTCAAAATATCTCTTAAATTGTTCTGAAATTGCAAATGCTTGTTCTTCGGGTTTCCATTTCACGGGTGTATCATTTTCTCTCAAAAATCCCAAATATATGGCCCAAGAAACCGCCGCAAGTCCACGGTTCTGAATATCTGATGCCAAATCTCGTTTCATTGCTCTGAAATTACCTTCAACATCGGCATCCAAGAAGAGGAACCCTTCGTATATGAAAGCGTTGTGGAAATGTTCTGGCGTATTGACAATTCCGTCGCGTTCTGATTTTGTGCAGAGTTGTATAAAGAATTCGAAAACATGTCGGCCAGCACCAGTTCCTGGGAAGCGTTGGCCGGGGAGACGAGGTCGCTTTGCGCTGAATTTTGATAAAGGATCTTGAAGTGAAAGCCATTTAACGTTTAGTAGGTTAAGAGATTTTGGTAAATATTGGCTTAATATTGCCGTACCTTTTCCTTTAGCTGAAGTTTCTTTCAGTTGAAATTCGCCGACTTCTATTGCAAGAAAAGCAATATATTTTTCTTTTCCTTCAAGATGACGGCTAAATACATAAGCTAAATGTGTAAAACAGTCACTTAGATCGAATTCGATGTACCAGTCAGGATAACCCATCCTTTGGAAATCATCGTTAAATTTGCTATTACGAATAAGCTCAGTGCATTGCTCGATAGAGTACTTGCCTAAATAAAGCGTTCCACCACGATTTACGCCAAAAGCATTTTCAATATCGGATTCATTTGCAAAAACGTTTTCTTCTGGAGTAAAATCTGGGGTCATTGAACTAAATATAGAATAGAAACGTCGTATGTTAAAAAGATTAATCGCGTTTGATAAGAAATTATAAGCATTTGTAAAATACCAATTTTGATGTGTTTGATCATCATCTCTTTCCTCTCTATTTCCTGTGAAAAAGTGCATTCTTCTATTTAAGGCTGTTAATGTAGACATAAATCGCGTTTTCATGGCGCTTCCTATGCCTCCCATTGATTCTAGGAAGCTCATTGCATCCCATAATTTATTCTCATGGGCTTCATTTTTCTCTTCCTCTTCTTCTGTCATTGATTCTTTCACTACGTCGTTTTTCATCTGAATTTCACTTTTTAAAACATGTCAAAATTTTTTATGTGTTTTCTTTTATTTTGCGAAATAATTATCAGCAATATATAATTTGCAAATATACGTTCATCGTAATTCCATTCAATTAGAGTTTTTGAAAGTGGGATTGTTTTATTACCGAATTTCAAAGTGTATTTATTGCAGCATAGAAATAATGAATACATACAAGGCACTTTCAACTCAAAAAATCGTAGTTTGTCCGAATCTTTAAAATTTTTAAACGTGATTGATAGTTGAAAATCAGATCAATGAGGTATAATGTACAATTTAAAATCATTTATCACTATATAATTATATTTGGGGCTAATTTTTAAATGAAATATTAAATTAATTATATTACAGCGTAAATGCATAACCAAAAGATCATCCATGACAAGGATATTAATCCAATTGATAAGCCAATACTCTTGCATATTATTGAAATTTAACTTGTAATTAGAAGTGATAACTTTTCATTACAATACAAGATTCGCAATATTATTATTACTGAAACATTGTAATTAAAGAATTGAAGCCATGAAGACTTAATAAAATTTGAGAAATTCATGTGAGCACTATTTTATCTCTTCGGAAACAAAAATTGAAATTAAATGATATAGGACAACAATGTTATTAAATAAACGTTAACAATTTTCATAATTTTTATTGGTGTAATGATTTCTTTGAGCTCACAAGGGCTTTCTGCTGTCCAAAATTATGAATCAAAGGAATTGTTTACTTTCGTTGTTGGCTCAACAAAGTACAGAGTCCCCAAACTTATAGCAATTTTCATTTCTCCAATAATTTCAAAGATGTTGCAGGATAATCCCGAATTAAACAGATTCGAAATCAATGTAAAGGATGAAACTAAAACATTTAGACTCTTAATTCAAATGGCTTTCGGAAATCAAGTTCAATTAGACCAAAATCAATCTGAAATGATGCAAGCATTTGGAAAAGCTCTAGGTAATGATGAATTAGTAGCAATTTGTCAGTCTTCTTCTCCAAAATCCAATTTAGATAACATAAATATCGATAATGCAGTTATTCTACTTAATTCAAAGAAGAAACTTCATGCCAAATACGATTTCATCATCGAGTACATTGCATCTCACTTCTCAGATATCTCTGAGCAAGAGTTAGAAAAATTAGATATCGAAGATGTCCAAAAGATACTATCACATAGTAAACTTCGCTCCAGATCTGAAAGCTGTATTTTCAGATACGTATTTGGCTTATACATGGAACATAATGATGATCCAAGATATTCTGAACTTTTCTCAAAGATTAAGTTTGAAAAGCTTGATGAAGAAGAAATGTCAGACTTTGTCAATAATTTCTCATCAAATCAAATGACAGATGGCATTTGGCTTGCATTATCTCGAAGATTAATTCTTCCTGTAGCTGAATCAGGCAAACAAAGCATGATTGCAGATAAAATGTCTGATCCTACATCTCGCGCTACAAGTCGCCATGAATCTCCAGGAAATGAATCTAAACCAGTCAAAAAACCAACAAAAGTTTTGGAATTTAATGGTACTGATTATTTCCATGGATGTTTTGCATCATTACGCTCAAAGAAGAAGAACATTTCCGTCTCTTCAAGTAGTGTAAACACAGGAACAATTACATCACTTATAAATCCATCAAACAAAACAAACTTTTGGACAGGAAATCAACCAGACAGTTGGGTGAAAGTGGAATTAAAGAAGTTCAGAGTTAGGCCTACATCGTATACAATCAGAGGACGCTATGACCACGATTTTAACCAGCCACAATCATGGAATTTCGAAGGAATGCATGCAGGCAAGTGGGAAATCCTTGATACACATGTTAATGAACCTCTTCGTGTTAAAGAACCTCGGAATTTCAAACTTTCTACACAAAACAAATATTCATCCTTTAGAATTAAACAGACAGGACCAAACACATATGGCGATCAAGATTTAGTTCTGAGTGCCTTTGAAGTTTTTGGTGAAATCTTTGAAAATTAAGCCTGTTTTCCTCATAAAATTTATTTATTGATTTTTAATTAATTTTTTTTTACTCTCTTCATATCTTTGCAGTGTAATGAGTATTGCTTTGTTATATTTGTCTCTTTATTGTTAAGATAGATCACAATTGAACATGATCTTGTATTAATCCTTCAAAGCCTCAATCTTATAATTCATTGAAGTTTTTCTATCTCATTATCTAAAAAATTTAAGAGGAAATTTCCTATGGTAAAATTGATTTATGAATATAATTCATCGCTATAATATTCATGCATACAATGCGCAATAATAATTGCTGTGCAATAAAAAGCAATTCTAGTAATTAGTTCATATAGAAGGCATATCATATTCTTTTTTTATTCATACAGTTATTCCAATAATTACTTTGGAGCAGGACCGAGTTGCTGAACGATCCATGGGTGGGAACGGACCTGGTTGAGTGGCATTCTCTTAGCTGGATCCTTTTGCAATAAGCGCAAGATCAAATCACGAGCAAGTGGTGTAACGAATGATGGGAAGCGAATATCGACATTGATGATACGGCGGCATGTGTTGCGCTGAGAATCAGTCTCGAACGGTGGTTCACCAACCAAGAATTCGTATAAAAGAACACCAAGGGTCCAAATATCAACAGACTTATCATGATCATGACCTTCAATCATTTCTGGTGGAAGATAATCAAGTGTTCCGCAAAGTGTTGTACGGCGGGATGTTGGAGCATGAACAGACCAGCCGAAGTCTGCAATCTTCAACTCTCCGTTTAAGCCGACAAGGATATTTTCTGGCTTGATATCACGGTGAATGATATGCTTTGAATGGCAGTAATCAATAGCATCGCACATCTGAACGATATATTCAGCTGCTGTATGTTCGTCGAATCTGCCTGCATCTCTAAGAATTGAGAAAAGCTCACCACGAGCTGCGTACTCAATGATAAGGCAAATTCTTGTAGCATCGTAGAAGTATCCATAGAGACGGATAATGTTTGGATGACGAAGATGGGACTGAATTTCGATTTCACGACGAAGCTGGTGCTCAATTGAAGCCTTTTGAAGCTGAGCCTTATTGAGAACCTTGATACCAACAATAAACTTTGACTTGGCCTCACGAGCTAAGTATACACGTCCGAATTTACCTGTTCCAAGTGGGCGACCGATCTCAAAATCATCAAGAGACCACTTCTTTGTCTGTGTACGGCTAGCAGCTCCATTTCTACGTGGTGATTTGCTGACTGGAGTGTTGGATGGGGAAATATTCTCCTTAGCAATACTCATCTAAATATAATGCCTAAACGTATGCTGATTCAAAAATCAAGAAAGCTTTCAATATCGGACGTTTAAAATTGAATTGATTATAATTTTATGCAAATTTATTATTTTGCTTTCTTATATAATGGTTATTATAATTTATGAATTTCGAAAAACAAAAGTGATATGATTGAAATTCAAACGATGGCATTTGCCCTCAATGGTTCTTGAAATAAGACAGAAAATAATGATCAGATAACAATGTAGGAGCTGCATTTCTTTTAAATAGTAATTATTTTAATTTTAGCCAAATTTGAGTGAGTTTCATTTCAGATCCTTCATATGAAATTAAAACACAGAAGAGAATCGAATAATTGTTCATTCTTTAAACATTTTATTAGAGTTCCTAGTAATTTTTTTCAACCTAAATATCTGTATAGGAAAAGGTCATTTGTCAATGATCAACTCAATCACACCATGCCTATGGTGTGCGAACGGCCTATATAACTTTGTCAAATTAAAGAATTCAACACTCAAAAGATATCTGAGAATGAGCTAGATTAGTTATCCCATACCAATAGTCAATGAGTAGAAGAATATAATCAGCTCTTTGGTGGAAAGAGAGTTACAATGAGAAATCGAGATTTTCCAAAATTGACAAGTAAAAAAATAAGAAATTTCGCATGATAATTTCGATTCTTCTTCTGAAGAATAAAGTAATTACCATCGATTTTGGTTCATATTACACTAAAGCAGCTCATGAAGGATCAAATAACGTACCAGATATGCTTTTAAATACATTTTCAAAGAGATTAACACCTTCATTTGTTGCTTTTAATACGCCAAAGGATTTCGATAATATAACATCTGATCCTTTAAGTCCAGAAGAAATTGAATCATTAGTACCTATAATTGGTGATCATGCATATACAAAATTATTATCTTATCCATGGCTCGGCGGTGGATATTTTCAACCATATATCGATTTAGATAAAAATGAAACACGAGATCTTGCAGATAGACTACTATCTTACCCTCCTTGCGAAACTAGATTCAAAAATTTCAATTTAACAGCAACATTTCTTCACTTCTACACTAAAATGATGTTAAAAGATGGATTTGAAAACACAAAAGTTAACTTCGTCGTTCCAGGATCATTTACAGAACCACAAATTTTAGAATTACATGACATTGCTAGAGCAGCTAAACTCCAAAACGAAACAATTACATGGGATTGGGAAGCAGCTGCGAATTTATTCGCTCAGAGGCGTCCAGATGTTATACAGCCTGATAATCGAATTGGATTATTTGTTGACATCGGCGCAACGTCATCAAAAGCTTATGCAATCAGATTTGAAGAGCAGAAGGGTGTTCCCAAATACAATGCGCGCCTTCTTGACTATCATATTGATTATGATACAGGAGGAGCTTATTTAACAGCCGGATTAGCCAGATTTGTAAAGAAAAAGCTTACATCCAAAGAAATTTCGCCAGCAGAAATGGGCAGAATTCTTGAACAGTGCGAAAAAGCTAAAAGAACTTTAAGTTTGTTGGAAGAGACTAAAATAACAATAGAAAACATTTCTGGCAAAGACAGAATAGTAACTATTACAAGGGATGACTTAGATGAAGTTGCAAAGCCTCATGTTTTGAGAATTTCCAAATTAATAAAATTATCTTACAGAAAATCGAAAGTTGACTTTGTAGAAATAATTGGTGGAGGCTCTAGATCACCACCTATTCGCAGAGCCATTATGAAAGAAATTGGAGCTGAAAAATTAAACTCATCAATGAATGTTGATGAAGCATTGGCAATGGGCGGCCAATGCCAAGTCCTAACTAATTGGGTGGCTGGACAGATGAACGAGTCATTTTATAAGATAGATATCTGCGCATTATATAATTGTCATGATGTTTTACTTGGAACTTCCAAAGAACTTGGTTTTAGTAATAATCCAGAGTTCGTGTACTTCAATATCACAACTCCTTTGAGAAGAGGACTTTTCTCATATAATTGGACTTATTACGTTCCGAAACCAGGTTACGGACTCACGAACTACTTCTATTATACAAGAGGCCCCGTCAGGCTTGATCGTGTCCTCTCTTGTTACCTTGGAGATTGTAAACCAAATTCGGCCACTCTTTTGCGACCATACTATGGTAATTTTGTTAACTACCTCGAAGCAGTAACAAATGATAGAAGAAAACTAGAGTATTTGACTAATGAATTGGAAGAAATGTATAATGTTGTGAAATCGTCAACAAATGATACCAAACTATATTTAGAATCCAAAGGTATTATGTTAGATACAATATTAGAAAGAATTGACCAATATCTCTTCGGAAATGATTTTAATATTTCTTCGACAACGCAATTGTTGGAGGAAATGATTAACATTCAGAAATATTTGGTCATTAGATCCGAAGCTTTGGGTTCTAAAGAGAAACTACAAGATAGTATCGATAGAGCTTTCACAATTTTGAATGTGACCTATCCAATGAATCCGAAATGGCTTGAACCGAATGTTCTCAGAGCTTTCATGGAGAAAACAGAATCTGTTGTTCAATTTATGAATTCAATCGATTCTATTGACATTAATAAAGAACAAATAGATGAAGTAACAGCATCTCTTGATACATGGTGTGATGCTCTTCCTCCTGTTCCAAAGAAAATAAGTCATGAAATTATTATTCAATATCTTAACAAATTTTTAGACAAAATTCTCAACTTGTTTGTTGATTTATAAATACCTATATTAAATTCTTGTTTATTTTTAACATTTTAATTATACATGCTTCAATTCGAATAATATGGTGAAAAGGTTAAAACAATTGATTGCTACACATGTCAATTTAGCTTAGCAAGCGATCAATTAGCAAATGATCCTGTAACCTCTATAATTTCCATTCTCTAGAGGTAATTTTCAAAGTTTGAATAGTTTACAAACCTAGCAAATGCATTTCGGAAAAATCATCGAAACACGAATTGCAAAATATAAAGCACATCTTATCAATTTTAAATCGCAATCAATTTTTTATTATTATTTGTTGCATTTTAATGAAAGATAGTTCAATTTAGCCATAATCAGTTTAATTTTGGAACAATTGATGACAACACATACCAGCTTGGCTTATCAAATGATCAATACGCTAATGCACCTGTTATTGGAAATAAGATTTCAGGAAAACTCAATATTCCAAGTTTTGCAATCAATGGAATCAAATCATATAAAGTCGTTAAAACAGCAAAGTTTGCATTCAGAACATGCTCTTCCATTACTTCAATTTCAATTTCAGACACTCTTGAGATTATTTCTACTGACTCTTTTTGGGGTACAGGTGCCACAGAGTTATTCATCCCTAAGTATGTTAAGTTTCTAGATGAATATGCCCTATCTACTATGCCAAATTTACAATTTGTTATTTTCCAAGAAGGAATTTCTCTAAATCTTAGTCCCTATATCTTTTATGATAGTTCAAATCTTCATTCAGTTATATTGCCATCAAATGTTAATTATCCTAACGATTTCCTTTTCTGCAGATCGAATTTTGAGAGAGTTTTCATATGTTCAAGTACAGTTAAATTGACCAATGCTAATAATAATCAATTTCATCAAGCATCAAGAACCCCAACAATTTTTGTTACCAAGTCGTATAAAGGAAGTACATTCCTTGGAGTTCCTGTTAAATACATGGAACATGAAGAATATTTTTGTCCTTATAGTAATAAGAATAGCTGTGTCTGCAACAGATATTTGCGTATCTCTATTTCTTTATTCTTATTCTTTTGTATAATATTATAAAATTAATCTGTAAAACTATCATGATTAAATAATTCTTTATATCATTGCATAATGAAGTGCAGTTCATCCTCATAGAATTTATGAAATATAGAATTGCTTCCGCACTCAATATCAGTATGCTAGCTTTACAACTCGAGCATCATAGAGTACAAGTTGGCTGTATCTCAGGGCTATAGATGGTTTAGATTTGGAGTGAACAAGCATCCATTTCAGAGCGCAATTGAATCATTAATTCTAATCTGATAGGAAAAGATGTGATAAATTCATATTCAAGGCAAAATTGAGTCATAGATAGCTAAATTTAGATTTCAACAGTATAATTTTGAAACAATTGATGATTATACATGCCAAATTGGTTTATCTAATGAACAATTTGCTAATGCTCCTATTATTGGCAATTCCATTTCTGGAAAAGTCATTATTCCGAGTTTTGCATCTGATGGAACCAAATCTTATAAGGTTATTAAAACACCAATCTATGCATTCAAATCATGCTACTCTATTACATCAATATCTATTCCGGACACACTGGAATTTCTTGCTACAGATTCTTTCTGGGGTGCTGCTGCTACCCAACTGTTTATTCCTAAATCAGTAAAGATAATGGACAATTATTCATTGTCCTCAATGCCAAAATTAGAAATTGTAATTTTCCAGAAAGGAATTTCATTAAACCTGAATATACATCCTTTTTTCAATTGTACAATTTTGCACTCAGTTATTCTACCATCAATTATTGAATATCCTTCCACATTATTTTTCGCGAAAACAAATTTTGAAAGAGTTTTTGTATGTTCAAAAACAGTTATTTTGAATGACAAAGAGCATTGTAGAGATGCTTTAAGGAAGCCAACTTTCTATGTTACAAGTGCATATAAAGGAGGCAGGTTCCTTGGAGTTCCTGTTAAATTCATGGAACATGAAGAATATTTCTGTCCACATGATAAGGATAGCTGTGTCTATAATAGATATTTGCGAAATTCTATTTCATTATTCTATATTTTTTGTATTTTGACATAAAAGAGTCTTAAAACAACATTATTATCTAATTCTTTTATGATTCATTGCCCAGATGATGTAGGCAAACCCAAATTTTAGCTAAAAGTGACAGGGGAAAAAAACGTTTAGTATTAAAAAAAAGACCGATGAGAGCTTCGTTCGAAATATAGAGGGAACTGAGAATGCGCAACCATTCTCAGGGAATATTGGATGCTATTCCCGTTCCCTCTGTATGGAAAATTGAGGTTTTCAAAGGGAGTTAAAATAATATCAAATTTATACTAATTTACTTCAAAATACAAAAGTATTTGACAGCTAAAATTAGTTACTTTAGCAAGCCTATCAATACCCTTTTACGATTATTGTTACTTTTTCGAAATAAAAGTAAAAACAAATTTATACTAATTTACTTCAAAATACAAAAGTATTTGACAGCTAAAATTAGTTACTTTAGCAAGCCTATCAATACCCTTTTACGATTATTGCTACTTTTTCGAAATAAAAGTAAAAACAAATTTATACTAATTTACTTCAAAATACAAAAGTATTTGACAGCTAAAATTAGTTACTTTAGCAAGCCTATCAATACCCTTTTACGATTATTGCTACTTTTTCGAAATAAAATAAATTTATTATCAAAAACCTTTTTTTCTTAGTAAAAATAAAAATGTTATTTTATATCAAGTTTTTATTCATAAATTTTTATAATGTTGTATAAATTTGAAGGTGGAAATCTGTAATAATTTTATCTTGAAAAGACTTGGCATTCTCAACAATGAATTGAGGGTATTGCATCCAAATTCTGTAATTTGCGTGAGAATACTAAGCTTGATTTCCATTGGGATACTTAATTTCGAAAAATACTGGGTCATTCGTTTTTGAACCTTTGCTGCCTTGACAACTTTATCAAGTAGGTCATCTAAACCCAATTGAAGCGTATTTAAGTTTGCTGATGAGTTAACTATTAACGATTTAATTTTATCAGTGAGCATTATACATTTTTCTGTATCCAGTCTGATTGTAGACTTTTTTGGCTTTTTTTCAGATGGCAACGGATTTGGAATTTTGTCTCTGAGCCTTATATCTTGAGAAATTCTGTAATAAAATGAAGGAACGATAAAATCGATTAATTTCATCACAAATCGATCAAATCTCATGAAAATTGTTCCGCCAAAGTAGTAATATTTAATTTTTTTGTTAATCGATTCTGAAATGTTATTTGTGAGAGCTAAATTTTCATCTCTTTCAGCGGCTGTCCATCTTTCTTGGTTTGATATCCATTGATTTTGTATGTATTTTGAAAATTCTGGGAATTTTTCGGCTATTTCCAGAATTTTTTTGAACGTTGGTTCAATCCATTCTTTCTTGCCATTTCTGCCGTATGCAAGATAGTTCATTTTTGTATCTAATATCAATTTGTCTGAACTCTCAAATGCATAATCTTTCAAATTTTTTCTGAACGCCCTCATTACATGAACTGCACACCAATGAAGGATAACTTCTGGAAAAGAGTTGATAATCGCATTTTCGATTTCTTGTGCACAATCTGACATAAAATATTTTGGTTTTACTTTTGCCCAGTTAAAAAATGCCTTGAGACAGAATGCAATATTTTCTGAAGTGTTTGGATAAACGACAAATTGAAAAATTGGGAATGCATGTGTATTTGGAAATTTGGCTGATATCATGTAAAACAACATTTTAAATTCAAGTAATGAATGGGTTGCATCAATAAAATGCTCTTTCACAATTTTGATTATGTCCAGGAATTTGAAAGAAGCATAATAAAAGATTAATTTCTTTGGTTTGTTGTAATTATCGACATCGAAATAAATTAAATCTTTTGGTGACTCTTGTTCTTTGATACCCTTAAATAATTGAGTTGACTTGAATTGATTATCATCGTACTTTTGAATACCTTTGATCTTTTTATTTCCTTTTTCCTGAATTGTTTTCATTTGATCTGAAGATGCATTCAAAAAAGATGGCCTGTTAAGTGGATCATCCAGATCAAGTTTTTTGTCGCATTCAATTTGAGCCATTTTCGGATCACCCCCTGTTTTATAAAATTAATAAGTACCCGACGATAGCATTGTGATAATGTGTGGTATTTCTTTGTCTCATCTTTGATTTGATTGTGATTATGTGTTCCATTATATTCTGTTAGGATATATTCTTCATCATCCTTTAGAAATGAGATACATGCTTCACATTTATCTGCACTGCACCTGAATTTTAATTTTGTTCCCCCTAAATTTGGATTTTTTTAATTGATATGGACAACCTGCATGGCATTCGTTATCAATGACAGCTTTCATAGCATCTATATAAGATAGCCTTTCTTTAAGTTCGCATGGTGCATCGATATGCATCAAAAAAATGAAATGAAATTTCAATATCAAAAAAAGCACAAAATTTGAAAAAATTCACAAATCTCGGTTTCTGAAAGAAAATGGCCTCTTAAACTTTGTGCATATATTCATCTATAAGACACCTTGTATCCATATATAAAAAAAAAAAAAAAAAAAGGTAGTGGGGCTTCCAGGCACTTCGTGCCCTCTAGCCCCGAAGATGTTTAGTATAAATGAAGTTTTTATTCGGATAATTGTTAGTCTTCTGGTGTGAATTCGGAGGACTCTTCTTCTTCCTCCTCCTCTTCTTCCTCTTCTTCGTCATCGTCGGCGTAGTGGAGGAGGACGTAGTTCATCCAAATTCTGTATGGACGTCCTGATTTGGATTTAAATGAGATGGACATATTTTGTGTGAGTGTTATTTCAGTTTCGATAAAGAGTTGGTGTGCTGGTTTGAATATATGTTCGACGTAGGAGAATTTGTGCAACTCATCTTCTCCCAATTCTGTATTGATACAGACTTCGATGAAGTCACCACTGAGAATGTCTTCACCTGTGGGCATATCCACAACAATTAAATGAACGACACAATAG